GCCGTTGGTGATGGTCGTTGAACCGCAGCAGTATTGCAGCAGTTTCTAGAGGCTTTTCCTACCTCATTGGCCGAAAATACACATCCTGGTGCCATAAGTCGTAGTCGCAAGTCCTCGATTTCCCTTTCTACCGCTGTCTGGCTGCCGCCTGGCACTTGGTTCGAGAAACGTTGAGCGTTTCGGTACAGTTTCCCCCATTTTGGCTGGCAGTCTGAACTCTTACTTCGACTATGCTCCACTACCCCAAAGCTTTGGAAAAGAAATGCTTTTCACAGTCACACTCAGTTTTTGGGGTGTGGTGAGTCGGAAAGAGGAAGTGCCAGGACATGGAGCTGGGCCTTACAGTGTTTATGGCTTAGAGGAAATTAGAGTTGAGCCTTCGAAAAAAGAGGCTAGAAAATACTCTTACAAGCGCCATCTATGGGAGGAGTTGCTTACTGAGCGTTAGCAGAATATTTTTGTTGCCTACTTTTGGGCGGAAAGATGGCTTTATCACCATTTCCGGTTGGGGGAAGCCATTGTTTTTTTTACAATGTTCATTAAAAATTAAATTTTTGATTTTTTTAATTCCTATTTTTTTTTATATATTTAGTAAAATAATAGAAATAGACAAGATCGCCTCATTTCTAAAATATTAATATGGCAAAATGTTTGTAGGGAAAATTTAGTTAAATATTAGTAGTTTAAATAAAGAATATTAATTCTACTATTATTATTAATATAATTTCTTTTCTAAAACAAAAATTTTAATTAAAGAAAATAATTTTCTTTTAAGGGTAAAATATTTTTATTAAATTTCTTATTCAGGCCTGCTCCGGTAATCGTAAAATTTTTTCGATTTCGTTTTGGGCGAAAACGAACCGTTTTCGTTTTTAGCTGCTCCGGTTTTCGGCAAATTTCTGCTATCGGATGTTCCGTTTTCTCATCGTTTCTCACTGCTCAAGCAGCTAACTTGTGTTGTTGGTAATAAGCAAACAACGTAAAGTACTGCCTATTATATTTACAATTGCCCTTTTTCTAAGCCAGAAAAAGGCAAAAAATGGTAGAATTAAGCAAATTCAGGCACCTAAGATGCTGCCACACTTTTCACAGTTTTAATTCCGGTGGTCTCAAATGATTATTTGGTTAATTTTGACCATTTAAGTAATCACATTAAATAGCATTATTTATAAACAACCATTTTGGCGGTCCTTTAAAGTTATTAATGTATTAATTTATATTTTATAAGTATTTTTAACTGGATGTTTCGTTCCACCAACAATATGGCAACCTTGGCGATAACTTTTTGCGGTGAACTTATCGGCCTATCGCCAAAACGAGAAAACTGGTTGAACACGGCAAAAATTTTGTTGTCAAATCTGAGGAGGGGTCAGAAATAAATTTTTTATAAAATAACTACCTGCCAGAATGATCTTGTGGTGGTGTGAAATAAACATCAATAGACCACCGAGTTAACTATTTTTTTCCTTTTGTAAATAAGATCTGATTTCATATAAAAAAAGCCATTTACTTTTCATTCCGGCCAGAAAAAGGTGCCCGTTTTTCAAATCGAAAAAATCTTTCGTTTTCGATTACCGGAGCACCAATTTCTCGTTTTCAAAAACGAAAAAATCTTGCCGTTTTCGATTACCGGAGCAGGCCTGATTATTTTTATATTTATTTATAATTATTTAATTTTAAATTTAATCTGATAAAACTACATAAAATTTTTCAAAAATGTAATACAACTTGTTTATGATTTATAAATTCAAAATATGTTCTCTAAATTCACATCCTTTATTGTATTTTTCAAAATCCGATCAACTTTTAACCTAGCCAACCTCAACACGACCCCTGTTTTACCCTCTATAAACAAATTTTTCGAAATTAGCTGACGTGAAATTGGTTTATCAAAGCGAAATCAGATTTATGGCGCTATTTACGGCTGAAACCCAATATCGTTTGGACTCGCCATAAAACTCCGAAAAAGCCAGACGCGGAGTTGCAGGCCACAGCTGCCGACAGGACTTGCCCGAGATAGAGAGAGAGAGACAGGCAAACAGAGAGAGAGAGACACAGAGAGCTCGCGAGAAAGGGAAAGAATGAAAAAACCGAAAAAGCATTTCGTCGTTTTTAGCCGGCACGAACGGATCAATGACCTGCATTTCACAGCCGGAGACACAATTCAATCGATAAAAGTGAAGAGTTGGGGCACCAGCACACAGACACTGCACACAAACACACACACAGAGGCACTGCACACACTGACACAGCGAGGAAAAAACAACATGGCGAACGTGAAATATGCAAGGAGCTTCCTGCAGGAAAAGCCAAAATGGCAGACAGCATGCGGCGAACGTGACGCAGTGCAGGAAAACCAAAAGCAGGAGAGGGGGAAGTAGGAGGGGTTCTGGTGGCGCCGCAGGGTTGAAACTTTCTAAAATTTCTAGAACAGTGGAACGAGTGCCAAGCCTTGTATATTTTATTCCATTCAATCAAATCGGGGGAAGCCGCCAGGCTGATTAAAAATTCAGCAAGTGGTAACAACTATGCTGGCCAAGTTCCCAGACAGAAAGAGATGGCCAACAAAGGAAGTGTGGGCCGTCGTCGTTGCATGCATTCGAGCGTTAAATAAAAAGGCAACAAACAAAATTCGCATTACCAGTGACAGTGGCAGTAGCAACCCCCCAACAGCAACAACAAGCAGTCAAGCCAACGCCTGTTGTCTGAGCCATTATCCTTCGAGCCAGAGATCCCCCCCACAACTGACCAAAACTGTAGACAAAAAGGTAAAAATGCACAAAAGTTGTTGTCAACTTTTTCTTGAGGGTCTTAACACCCTGCCTGTGTGAGTGACTTTTGGGGTTGTTTGCTGGCCAAAAAATAAGAAATTAATGGATATTTGCTTTATGATTTTTCTGAGATTTGATATGATTAATTAGAAAATGTAAATATTTAAAATATATTTGAATTTGCAAGGCTTTTCCAAAGAACAACCTAGTTACCCAGCTTCATTTGTCTTTATTTAAATCTAAAAAAATAGCACTTACCTTTTTTATATATTTTCCAACAATCAAATTTAATTTCTATCCGGATTATAGCCAAGGAGTATGGAACCGAGTATTGCCAGAGAAATCATTATTAAGTAGAATACAAGAAAGCCAAAGATGATGTATATACAGGCAGTCAAAAGGAAAAACATTTTCAAGAAATAATTTTTTATACTTAGAGTACTAAAAAGAAGCAAGAAATTTAACAAGTTTTAGAGTACTAAAAAAAAACAAGAAATTTGACAAATTTTAGAGTACTAAAAAGAAGCAAGAAACTTGATAAATTTTTGCCAGGTGATATTAAATATTTAAAAACACTTTTTCAAGTTAAATTTTTGGTGACAGTTGACATATCCATATCCGTATTAGAACCAGCAGGCAAAGCTAATGTGGTTTGATTTAAGCATTTCACAATCTTTTTTCTTTTTATTTTGTTGTACACCAAAGGTAAAATATAATTAGTTTCTAGTAAAACCTCAATAAATGTAGAAGTAATTGTTGAGATTTGGGTATTTTATTTCTAAAAAATATATATACCTATATGACTGTAGAAGTAAGACTGACTAGGAGAATGTTTAAGGACACAAAGAATACCCCGTAAAATATTATTTTAAAATAACAAAGACTAAAACGTTTAACATTTTGAAGTTAGCTATCATTATCTTCTTTGTTTTTTCAACCCTTTAATTTACAATTTAATATAAAAATATATTATTAATATTTAATTTGAATTATAAGAGAAATTATATGCATTATTTTGTTAAAAAGTCGGAAATTTATATAGCAAATAGGACAGAATTATATAAATATAATTGATACATATTTATAATTCATCAACAACCTTAGAAACTGATAGATCCTGTCTTCAAAAAGGTTTAAAAAGATTCCAAATCCCAAACTACACCACAAAGTCCCACAAAAAATGTCTGGAATCATAAATGTAGAAATAAAATCTGAAATAAACCCTTATTAGGAAGCAGTCCTTGCTGGTCTACGGTTACTTGCAATATAAATTTGTCTCTTTTTGCATATATTCATCATACCACCCGTGGACCCTGGAGCTGTGTGTGTGTGTGTGGCAGTCCAATTAGCCTTACTAACACACTCCCACGCCACATTTTTTTGTCGGTTTCCCCTCGTTATTTTTTCTTGTTTTTGTTGATTTTGATATTTCCTTGTCGGAGTTGCGCTCGGAAATGAAAACTGCAGCGAAAGTCTGGAAGCAGGGAAAAAAGCGAAATTTTTTGCAGTCAAACCGAAAAGTGCAGCCCTGCAAAATAGGAGTTATCCTAGCTCTCTCTATCTCTCTTTCTCTTAGCCAAACTCCCTCGTAGTATCTTTCTCTCTCTCTCTCTCTCTGTTCATCTATCTCTGTCACTTGCAGACACAGACAGTTGGAGAAGGGGCTTTTCCAGAAGGGAGTTCAGTTCGGTTTTTGGGGAGTTGCCCGCGGAGTTTGGGCTTCTACTGTCTGGCCAGCTTCTTCTCCAACTCCCTTTTTGGGAGCGTTGTCATGACAACCAACCAATATTCCGGCAGAGTCCAGAGTCCAGACTGGGTGTAGCCAAATCCCGGGCACTGAAAATACGAGCAAAATATCAAACTTCTCTCCCCGAAGCGCAATGGGTCAGTGTACAATTATTTTAACAATCGAAAAAAAATGCTAAAATTGGTAGGTAGCATGACAGGATTTTTGGGTGAGAGTTTTGTGGCTAATATTATTGACATAGAAATGTGGTTTTATTAAGGAAATTTAAAAAAAACTGTTTTAAATTTTAAGTAATTATTTAAGAGTCCAAAAGGCTGTAATTAAATACAAAATATTTCTATGTTTATATCTTCAAAAAGGAAAATTTATGTCAAAATTTCCAGTTTGGAGATTTAGCTTAATTTTAGTATAGATTTTTCTTGCATCTGTAATTCAAGTTCTTCAAAAAACTTTTACAAATATATATTCTTCAAAAATTAACTTTTATTTTCCCAAATTAATCATAATTTATTCAAGAAAAAATACTACAAAATTTCCATAAATAAATACAAAGTGTTAAGTGTTCTTTATTGCTTTTGCTGGACCTTAACAGCTGGTGGCATTATTCCAAAGTAGCCATTACCCATATAGATTTGTGGAATTTCGGGTCCACTACCATCTGGATTTGTCTTCCAGGTGATCGTGAGACAGGGTTCATTTGGCCTAGGATCCTTTGGTATTGTTATTTGATAATTAGGGGCATCCTCCGGCCTGATATTGCTTTTAATAAAGATAACCGATTGCGGGGCTACTGGCAGCTGTTGACGTTGCTGAGTTGAATCCACTGAAAATGTATGAAAATTGAATGAAGAAATATAATTTTAATAGATTTTTTATTATTGAATATAATAAAATAAAATATATATATTATACACAATGAAATCAGGGAAATTTTATAAATAAGTTTTCCTTAATATTATTTTTTAGATGAGCTTATGGGAGATATTTTAATAAATGGTGAGCTACAAGCTCTTTTTTATACTTTTTAAATTTGTTATCCCTTAAAAATCCTTTGTGTTTTGCCTAATAAAATGCTTAATTAATATATACCATATATTTCTTTAAAACAATTGTAAAATTTCTTATTTATAAGTGACATAAAAGTCTGAAAATCGTTTCGAAATCTATTAAACTTACATGGCTGGCTCCACGCGCAGGCAATCAGCAGCGGAAAGAAAGCCAGAAACTTGTGCAACGCCTCTGATTTCATATTTATTTATATATGTATATGTAGCCTATGTGGAAATATAAACAAAAACCGTTGGTGTTGTTGTCTGGCTTCCTATACTAGATGCACTAGCTCGGTATTATCTCACGACGACGTCTTCACTCCCAGAGTTCTCGGCTCAAACTGAGCCTCAGCACTTGGGAACGATCGTGGGGCTCTCTTTCTGGAGCACTATATTACCTGGTATTCTCTGGATTTACTTATCAATTTTTCTGAATGAAAGCCAGAGGGAATTTGTAAACAAAAGCAGAGCTCAGCAGCATCGATGGGAGATTATAAATCGCAGCAGCTGATAACAGAGATCGTGTGCCTATGAAATCAAATGAAAAGTCTGTGTCTGCATTGTGGCTATATATATATTTATATACATATATATATATATGGGGTCGTCGATTGCTAAGAACATTAATCCCAATCTGGAATGTCAGTCAGACTTTAAAAAAATATGCCTTCAATGAAAATAAATAATAATTTGGCCAGTGTATTTCCCCTAGCGCAGACACTAACCAAAGCACAGACGCTAACCAAAGCACGGGCGCCAACCACAGCACGGATACAAACCTAGTTAAATTTTATAGTAGTTTTCCAGGTTTCACACCCTGCTTCGTTCAGTTTTTATTGGTTTAAAAAATTAAGTTAAAATTTTAAATTAATTTTATAATAAAAAATACAAAACCAAATCACCAGCAGTCTCTGTCTTTCCAAATTTTGTTTCTGCCGAAAAATTCAATAATAATATAATAATACTTATATTTTAAAATTCCCCTACCTTGAATAAAAAACCGTATCTTTTTATTAAATTCACAAATAATTTGAATTTTTCCTTTTATTTAGTAATATTTCTTAGCCTACAGGGAAATGCGCATTAAAACACGCTTTTCAATTAAATTACAAAAAAACTAAACAAACAAGCTTAGCAATTAAACTAAGTGTCCTTCAATAGTGAAATCTTAGCGCAACAATTAATTATTAATTATTATTCTCTGATTAATCAATCGAAAGTTTTGGCTAACAATAACATACAATTATCGAAACTATTTCAAATGCTCTCAAGTCGCGGCATTCACTTAAACTTAATTATAAATAACAATTTGTGTCATTGTTTCGATTTTTATGTATTTTACAAATGTTGCTTTTAATGCTTACGTTTATCGGTATAATTATTTAATGTATTTTTGTTAAATAAGAATATATTGCAAATCATTTTTAATTAGAGTTTAGAGTAGAGGGTATTCCAGTTTTGATACGTTCTTTTTTTATATCGCTGACAGTGGTGCTGAGTGGGACTGGGCGTGGTGGTAAGGGCACTTGGGGAAGGTGGTTACACTTGAAGAAAACCAAATTAAATACTCTTGCCTTTGCCCGTGGACGGAAACCGTTGCTTACAGAAATACAAAAAAATTATAATCAAAAAATGCATCCTTCTTGGAAGACAAATGAGAATGAATTTTCTGCAGAGTTTCTTTTTGATGTAATGATCCATTAATTAATTTGAGAAACTTATAAAATAAGGTTTCTTTTTCTTCGTGTTGTTGTGTTCTTTTTTTGCTACTGTACACAGTCTTTGTATATATTTTTTATCTTTTGCTGGCTGCTTATTTTTATTTTAATTTTATTTGAAACCATATTTTTTCCCTTTACACCTCAGTGCTGTGCGTCTGTATTCGAACTTTCTTTACGCTGCCATTGCGACGCATTGGCGGCGGCGAGCTGCCCGATCCTGAGTAACCTGGATTCTGTATACCCAACGTGGGATCCGGCCGGGGCCTGGGCTTTTTGAGGCTCGATCTCAAGGGTGAACGGGTCACCGAATCTAGAGTGGAGCCATTGGACACACTGGTCACCGTTGTGCTCATGGAGGCCACACTTCCCGCCGTTCCAGCTCCATTTCGAATGCCACTATACGGCTTGCCAGAGGCATCCGTCACCGAGACACCGTTGCGAGAACGCGGCTCCTTAAAGCCAGGATTATTAAAAGTGGTGGCACTACCCGGAGATGCAGCATCCAGGGCCATAGTGGGATCCCCACCAGGACTGCGTGAATAGATCATATCGTACAGGGCAGCCACAAACAAGGCAACAGTAAGAACAATTGCCACAATCTGAAATAAATGAAGATTAATTAATTATTACAAAAATAAACTCGATTCTAAGGTCCTCACCTGTATGTAAAAGGAAATGCCCCGCGATATCTTGAAGCCAAAACGCTCCTGCTCATCAATTTGCAGAGCAAACAATACCGTCGCTATGATGGCCAGTACACCTGTTAAGGTAAATTTAATTAAATTACATGACTTATCAGTTCTGCTGTCCCTCTGTTTCCACTCACCTCCCAGCAGTGCCAGCATTAACTTCACTATCACTAGAGTTGTGTAGGGCATCACCACCTTCTCCCTGGATGAGATCATCGCATGTTGAATGACCGACAGAATGCAGAAGATTCCCAGCACAGCTGAGCTGCCAATGGCCAGGAGACCACTGACAAAAACTGCATCTAAAAAGGGTTAGAAAAGGGAATTAATATTTATTTTAAATTAAAAAATTTATATTAATAAATTAAAGAGAGGTTAAAAGTTTTCAGAAGCAAAAATAGAAACCAAGATGATTAAATTTTCTTATTTATTTTCTTTTTCATAGAAATTTTGCATGGAATTTCCTTTTTAAATCTTAAAAAATAGATTAGAATTAATAAATTAATTAATAAAATTTTAGTTACATAATTTTTAATAAATTGTTTAAAAATCAAAGATAAAAACTAATTATATTACATTTTTTCTGTTTTATTTTTGTTTTTTCATAGAAATTTTGAATATTATTTCCTTTTTAAATCTTAAAAAATTGATTAGGATTAATTCATTTGATTAATTATTTAGATAAACATGTAAACATGATTTTTAATAAGTTAAAAAGAGTTTAAAAGTGTTTAAATAACAAAGATAAAATAAAAATTTATTAACTTTTCCTTTTTGTTTTCTTTATCATAGAGATTTTTCAAATAATTTTCTTTTTGTAACTTTCAAAAATGATAAATTTCTAAGCATTCATAAATTTCTTTAACTTTAATTACTTATTTAAAATACAACTTACTGCTTAGCCTAAACTTGGATACATCATTGCCGCATTTCTCGCGATTATATGTCAATTGTTTGCAGACCTTAAACGGTCCGAAATAGCCTCGATCGAAGTCATAGCCGCCTGTTTAAGGGTAAAGCCAAATTAATTTTAATCAAATTTTTAAATAAAAAAGTATATTATATATAGTACTCACCCGATCGACTATCGTAGTAGCCCCAAATGGGTATGCCGATGGCCACAGATGCCAAGGCGAAGCAAACGAAGCCAAGACAGGTCACCCCAGCAGCATAAAGTGTCGACTTTGCCATGTTTTACTGTACAGCATAACGAAAGCAATGCAATTGAGGTCCAAAGAACTGCAAAAAATACAAAAAATATAGAAAAAGTGGAAACAAACATTAGCATTTTAAATTATAGATACATAAATCTGCTTAACTGTGACTTTGAGCTACATTTATGGCAAAGCTTAGGCCGAAAATCTGCTTACAGGGCACAACCAACCCACCCACATGACATACTCGTAGCACTTGTAACCCATAAGCCACCTCCTATCCATCCGAGAGCACTTTGTCATGCTCACATCGAGCCGTGTTCTCATCACGAACAATTAGATCCCATTCATACATAAAGAGCTACTTGCCGCCGACCTTGAGATTGCATATACAAAAAAAAAAAGACAAGAAAAATAAATGCTTACGCAGAGGAATTTTTCTTTGCCTCTGTGTGTGTGAGTGCCTCAATTCAGTTTTTCTGTAAGCGGATTTCAGCCATAAACCGATTTCCTCTTACATGTAATTAAATTGCAATTTATAAAAAAGTATTTTCACGAGTATATCGATACTCTAAGGCAGGTTAAAACCAAGAAATTTCAGTTATTTTTGACAGCTCTTGGCTAATTGATGAGCTATTTGAGAATATGATGCAAAAAATAGCATTTAGTAGTTAAGTAGCAAAACGGGGCGTATGCGTAATATTTTTGTTAGTGTGGGAACAACGTAACGAAACGAAAAGTAAACGTTAAATATGGGTTATAAAACAATGTGATATATAGCAGGGGGTTATTAAAATGGATAATTTGCTAAGTTAAATATTAATTAATATAAAGAGAATAAGCAAGCCTTAGGGAAAGATCTTTTAACAAGTTTTTAAAATCTGAAAATTAAATAAGATAGAAATTTATATTTAGAATTTATATTTAGGGGAATAAAATATATAATTATTCCCCTAAATTATGTTTATCTCTCCCTGAAAATTCCTCAAAATATAATACCTCTTCCTTTTCTTCACTCTCCTTCTGCCCTTCACAACCTTCCTTAACAACCTTCTCAATAAGCCACTCAAAAGAATCCGCCTCGTTGTCGGTTAATGACACAAATGGTATCACATGCAAGAAGATCGCAGTAGCTCAGCCTGAAACCAGAAACCAGAGACACACACTCTACTACTTTACTCAAGAAATCAGAAATGAATCCGAGACGAGGTTGCCTCATCTCTGGGCAAACTGAATTGGAGTGGAGAGTCGTCCGATTCTGATGATGTCTGTGTTGCTTTTAGCGGTAAATAGACAGGCCCGAGTGCAATATGTGTGCCGTCTGGCTTAAATTACCTCAGCGAATGCTGATGGTTCTGCTTCTTGGCTCGAAAGTTGGCCAAAACGAAGGCTCAACCTGGGGCTCGCTTGAGTGGAATGTGGGGAAACTGTGGCAAAACCTACTAAAAAGATTTGAAAAAGAGACAGTCTACGATTGAAGAATTAAGAACCATTTAAGTAATTGATTTTTTACAGATGTAATTTTTATTGAAATTTTTATAATTTAAGGTAATTTGAGGTATTAGAGATAGTAAGTTAAACAATAAATTCTTAGAGAAAGTTTAAGTTGATATTAGTGATTTATTTCTGAGACTTTATAGTTCCCTTACATTTTTTAACTATTATTTAATTTAAAAATTACATTTTTAATTTTAATTTTTTTTTTTTTAAATTAAATAATAGTTAAAAAATGTAAGGGAACTATAAAGTCATAGAAATAAATCACTAATATCAACTTAAACTTTCTCTAAGAGTTTATTGTTTAAATATTAAATATTAAATATTCTATACCATTTCTTCTCCCATCTAAGACTTCTTTCTATTCTTTTTTATCTTCTTTTACCAATTCATTCTGCAACTTTGTTGTGCGGTTAACAAATGGCAGCTAACCTACAAGTCTAAGCCGAGGCAAAAGCCAAATCAAAAGCCAAAGCCAGGCCAAGTCAAAGTCAATGGAATGAACTTTTCTCAATTGTGTCACGATTTTCAACTTGCATAAATTTATCCCCCCCCTCCGATTTTCCCCCCTCTCATTCATTTCAGACTCGTCGCGTGGCTTCGTTTTCTGTCTCTTCTTTTTACTGGCCTCATCCGTTGATCGTGTGTAGGTGGTCAAAAAGGTGGAGAGAAGGCCCAAAGAGGCGGGATTTGACTTGGTATCTGGGAGTCTGAGAGACTGAGTTATAGAGCTCTGGGCCATTTTGATTGCCCGGCTAAGAGCGTGATTCAGAGGTGATGTTCATATGTTTATATGATTTACACGCCGTGCGTTGGTGTCGAGGGAAAAAAAAGGAAATATAAACAGTCGGAATTCTTGAAAAGAAAAAGAAATATAAAGCTTAATTCGATTAGTTATTTGAGCTGTAAAATGAATGAAATGGAATGAATTTCTGGCTAAGGAAATTCGAAGATTTTATAAACTGTAAAGCAGAAAAAAGGGTATAGATTTGATCTGATTTTGAAGAAAAATAAGCAAACAAAAGCTAACTAAAGCAAAAATAGGGAAATTTTCATAATATAAACTTGATTTTTGATTAAATGATTTACTTTTTATTATAAAGAATATTTTCCTAAATTGTAAAAATTAAATTTGTTATATTATTTGTTTTAATTTAAATCGTTTTACGTTTCAGGGAAGTTTTAATTTAGGTTTTAAATGGTAACCAAAGCTTGTGAGTTTTATAAAATATTAAATAAAATATTTTAAAAAAATTTTAATTAAATAATTTGAATTATATAATAATAAACAATCAAGCTTTACTGTATAGACTCTCAGTTTTTGGTGTAGCTTATCGACCAACTACGACTGGTCAAGCCACCTAGGCACCAAGTGTAATTGTCAGCGGGCCGTCCGTCCCAGGAAAGTCAACCACACTTGGTATTGCCACATCATGGGGCAGCCACTTTGTGTGGGTTTTACAAGTCTCTTAAGAAGTCTAAAATACGACATGTCTAGGTCTAACTATGAGTCTTTCAAACCAAAAGATACAGTCATAAATCAAGCCACATTAAAAAGGCATTTAAAACTCACAGAATTATCAATTTAAATAATATAATAATAATAATACATAAAATAACATAACAACCCTCCTATTTTATATTCCTGAAACTCAAATTCAAGCAGTTCCACTTCCTCTCTTCAATTGTCGTGTTTTAAACCAATTAATAACACCTCAAATCCTTCTCAATCCAATTTAACTCGGACACAACTCTCAACTTTAACTCAAGGCGCATTTCCATTTACATTTAAAACAAAAAAAAAACCAAATCAATTAATTTTGGGAACGAAAACCAGCTAAATAAAGCCATTTAACGAAGATCACAGAGGAAAGGAAAGGCCAACAACCTTTTGAGGTTTGTCCAATCCATTCCCAGACCCATTACCTCTACTCACTTAATCAGGGAAATGTGCAAAATTTTCCAGCCAACCCAAATAAAAGGGAACTTTGACTAATGAAAAGTCGCCTTTTCCGCGGAAAATTGGGTCACCAGTGGGAACCCAGACCCAAAGCAGACAGGAAATTTACTTCAATTTGTCGGCCGGCTTGGCTAGGCTCGCACGCCTGCAAATCAAATGGAAAAACGTGTCGCGGGTTGGCTCTCTAATGGTTGGTTGCCTCTCACCTTTCCACCCTCCGTCGCCACAGTTTACCCCACCTGTGTAGACCACCTTCTTCTTTTTTTTTTGCTATTGATTTTCAACCGAATCGTGGCTGGACGACTTATTGTTTGATTTTTATATCGTGGAATGTAAAGGTATACGTTGTTTATACAAAAAAATAAAAGGGAAAGAAAAATATATTTTGGTCTAAAAACATGGTGAAAATATGATGAAAAGATGATGAAAATATGATGAAAATACGATGAAAATATGGTGAAAGTATGATGAAAATATATTGAAAATATGATGAAAAGATGAAGAAAAGATAATGAAATTATAATGAAAATATGATGAAAGTATGATGAAAATTTTGTGAAAATATGATAAAAATATTATAAAAATATGATGAAAATATAGAATAAATATTTTTTGTTTTTTACAAATTAAAATATTTTAAATATGAAAGCAATTAATTAGCTCTTTTAATAAATATTTTAGGTATAAAAAAATAATATTTTTGTTAGGTATTTATTTTATTTGGAGAATAAATGCTTTCCCATAAATTAAACGCCTAAAAAACTATTGTATTATAATTTAAAGAAATTTATTCCCTTTAAATATTTTAAGCTGCTTTTTTGACAGTTTTTAGTAATTTAATAATTTTTGTGATAAAGAAAATAAAATTATAATAAAATAAATACCAAAATAAAAACTACTTATTCCAAAGGATACTCCCCATGTCCATATATTTACAACGTTCTGACTCCCAGCTAGTTGGCAACGCGAGTTGAGAGTTTTCCGTGCCGTATTTTCCTCGTTTTGTTTATGTTTGGCAGCACTTGTTGCCATGGCAAAGTGCAAAACAGGCCACAACAGCTGCGGGAAAGAAAAGTTTGTGCCGTTTCTGCATTGGCTGTTGCCTTGGAAAACTGTATGTCTATGTGTGAAATTGGGAACAGTGGAAAATGCAATTTTCCTGGGGGGTCAACACTTTTTTTGGGGTAGGATATACATATGTATATACTAAATATACTCTAGTGAGAGATCAGGCAGCTAACTAAATTTTGGGGTTATTCTGTTGGCTTAAACTGGGGTTAGTTGGGAAAAGTTCTTTCTTTCAGAAAGTTCTTTCACCTGTCAAATTAATAAAAATATTCCATAAAACTAGATATTTTATTAAATTAGTTTAATTTAATAAAATTAAAAAGAGACTTAATAGAGACTTCTTTGAGATTTGTTATACTTCCTTAGTCTAACAAGATCCCCTTTTTTAAGACAACAACTATTTATTAACTCAGATAAACGACAAAAGATACAACATCCGCTAGATCAGCAGATCTTCAAGCTTTTCTAAAGAAAAGACAGATTCCCAAGCTCCAGAATTCAAAGAGCTGACAAGCTAATGCTCTGTTCTAAAAACAGGAAAACATACAGAGCTCGGGAAGGTCTTGAAAATGGGTCAAACTTGGTCTGTAGAAATGGAAATAAGGTAGCTCCAAGACCAGACATGTCTTGGTTGGGTTTTATAATTGCTGTTCTTGTTTGATTTGTTGGTTAACACATATCACTGCGGGCTGCCAACGGAAGCTGCCATCCCGTCTGCTTCCCTATTTCCCATTCGATTCTGTGAAAGATTTTTACGTTTCGTTGGGCTGTGAAAAACTTTTACTTTGTTGCCGCTTCTTTAAACACTTTATTTTTTTTTTCTCTCTCTATTTTTTTGGGTGAAAGTTTCCGCTTGACAAAGGCCCTAGCGATGGCATATCTTCCGCTCCTTGAGGCACACACAAAGGCACACTCTGCAGTAAGTAGTTCAGTAAACTGTCAGCGTTCAGCTTCTTCATTTTTCTCTAGTTTTCTGTTAGTATTTATCTATCGTTATGACAAGCGTGCAACATGCTGCAAGTAAGACAAGTTGTGCAAACAACAATCAAACTGCCAACGCCCACAAAAACTTGTTCTCTGTCCCTTTTACGCAAAAAGAAAATTAATTTTTAAACTAGGAAATTGTTGTAAAAAATTTTTAAATGATTTTAAAATAGATCAATTAATATGTTTTTAAGAATAATAATAATTTTTTATTTAAAAATGTTTATATTCTTATTATTTAAACTCTTAAATGTGGAAATTGAAATTGTATATGAAAATATATTTCTCACAGGCTCATAGGCTGCATTTCGTGATGAGCGTTTTTTCGTCATTATAAAACTCTAGAACTAATTTATTAATTAATAACATTTAACTTTCTGAGCTTAATTTATTAATAATTCCCCTATATTTTATTTGCTTACTATTTTTATTACAATTTATAACAAGTTGAAAGGTTGATTATTTCTTAAAAAGCTTTAAGCTGTGAAATAGATTTTATATAATATCACCTAGAATTATTTCCAGGTGTAAACTCCCACAAAACTCTTCCCCATTCCCCCCCCACCCTTTCCCCCTTTGCCCCCTTTGTCATATGTGTGTCAGACATTGTCATTAACCGAAAAGGGAGGAAAACTGAGTGGAGCAGGAGGAGCTGGCTTCCTACCGCTGGAAACAGTTTGCTCTGCGGCCAGCTGTTGTCTGTCCCACTCCGACCCCCCCCTTTCATATTTCCCCCTTCCCCCTGCTCTTAGTTGTTGTTTTTGCATAGGTAAAGCCGTTATTTACATAACATGCGCATGCATTTTACATGACACGGTTAACCATCTTCTTCTGGCCGTGTCAAACAATTAAGCATAATTGCTATATGAGGCAGAGACAGGCGAAGGAAGATGAGTTGGGGTGCGGCATGTTTTTCCTTGGGTATTAAGTTTTAAGTCTTGAGCTTGGTTAAACTTTAATATTTATAGCCTAGACAACATTTTGTTGAAAGTATTTGCTCTAAACCAAGTTAGTTATAAGTTAAGGTAGACGAGTTTCAAGTTTCTGGAGTGAGAGTGTGGATTAATTTATAAATTAGCTTCATGTTAACATTTTCCTAGATTTTTTGAAATTAAATAATTAACTAACAAATAATTCTAGCTAGCTTTCAGAGAGAGTTTTCCACAATAAGATCTGTTAATAACAAGATCTCAAGTGCCACCCAAGGCGATTTCAACACATTCTGAATAATGATGATGATTGGCCGATTGTCGTCTATTCATTTAATTTGCTTGTGCTAATTTTCTAGCTTGATACGGCAAAAGTCACACGAAGAGTCCGGGGCTATGCCTCTCGGTCGATTCAATAAAGTCATTAGCTAAAGTAGCCAATGCATCCATCGGGGAGATGAGACCAGAAATTGCAGAGAGATGCGGGATGCGGCCCACTGACTTGGCAAATGGAAAGTGCAACGAGGCAGCGACTGATGCTATATTGCTACACAGAAAATATTTTGATAGAAATCTAATTTAATTAACATTTCTAAACGTTGATATATAATACTGATAAGGAAATATAAGAACACTTGCATATAGAGTACCTAAAGTATATTAGAAAGTATGTCAAAAATATGTTTTCTGGATTTTTATTATTTTTTTTTATTAGTTCCTTTTAAGTGGAAAAAATAGTTTACTAAGAATAAAAATTGCAAATTGTCGGGAAAAAATTATTTTACTAAGAATAAATATTGCAAATTGTCAGGAAAAATTATATTAAATTTAGAAGTTTAATAAAAAATATAATAAAAATAAATAAAAATACAAAACTAATTCTTACAAAATTATTTCATGATTATTGTCAGCCAACTTTGTTTAATTAATTATTTAAAATTAGATTTAAACCTTTTGTTTTTTATATAAAGCTCTAAAAATTTAGCTAAATATCCAAATTTATAAAATAGATTTTCTCTCTGTGTAATATCTGCTGCTGCAATTGCTGCTGATGTTGGAAGAACAAGTCGTGTGCATGTGTGCGCATTGTTAATGGCTGCCGCTGTCAGTTAATAATTCTGCGTGCCGCTCTCCACGCCCCAGGGCGTTGCCAACCAACTAACTAACTAACTAACCATCCAACTCCCAAGATGGTCCGTTATCTGGCTAGAAGACGATTTATGGTCTAGAAAAGGCGGAAGCACAAAGATTTATAAGAGATGGAGTTGGAGTAGAACTTTGAGGGAGGTTCCAAAACTGTAATTGCCATTTAATTAATTTCAAGGAATTAGTTTTGAATGTATTTTTTACACTAATATATATTTTTCTAAATTAAAAAAGAAAAGCTTTAAAAAAAAACTCAAAAAATAAATAATTCCAAATTAAAATAAATATTTCATTAATAAACAAAAATTCACTCGTTTGACACTATAATTCCCAACTAGTTCTAGCATCTTCCAAGTGATAAACCAACTGAAAGTTGAGTTCGAGTTGTTTTAAAGAAAATTCCACAATTCCTTCTTTATTTATTTACTTCAATATTAATCTTTAAGTTCCTAAGCCCCTTTTCCTGCCTTCCAATCAGATTCTTTCGACACTTGAAACTTTTCTTTGTAAAATAAATAAACAGAACGGAACAAAGCCGGAGGAGAATTCCCAGAGACTTTTGCTGCTCAGATGGATTAGAATGGCCAACTGGCACTCGAGTGTGTCTGGATTTAGCTTATGGTTTGAGTTTTTTTTGGAGAGTCTACTCACCGATGCAGTCGATAAATCACGTGCGCCGCTCATCCCGACAAGTGATTGTGATTGCAAAATTTAAACCCGGTTGCCATGACTCCTGGGCTTCTGTTTGTCTTTGGATGACTAATTATATAGGCAACTGCTTTCTTTTTAAAGCCTAATTAACAGACACCTTTAGGTATGAATACACAACTAAATTAAATAAATTTCAACGTCTAGTTAATACGAAAACCATTCATACATTTTCCCAACAAAACCCACACAACAATTGTCTCTCAGACAAGTTTCTCTGATATGCAGATAAATATATAGACATATAAATTCGTATGTATGAGCTCCCACATCAAAATGGAATTAACATATTGTTAATCAGTCGCAGATATTGTTGAAAAACAAGTTTTCATTGGGAGGGGAAGCCAAAGGTTAGGCTTAAAGAAAAACCTCTAATGAGGCCGCCCAAGTACTTCAAACATAAACCTAAGAATTTTTTTCTAGCTTGATTAAATAGACCTCGAGTGCGTATTGTGAAAATATATATGTATGTATATGTATCGTTTAAGTTGAGTCATGCGAATATTTTCTGATCATCTTTTGGCCGCTGCCCTTTTAATGTAATTTAATTTGTGCCTCATTCCAGTTGTCAGTTATTGAACCGGTTGGCTATTGTCTCTGGCCCCACAGTTCCCTCTGGCTCAGTCATACATTTATTTATGATTTTTTAAGGCAGTGTTAAATATATTTTAAGTTTTATAACTTGAGCAAAACAAAAACCATATTAAATATATATTTTTAAATTTTAAATATTTATTAAGTCAGCCTAAGGTATTTCTTATTCGCTTTATATTTTTTTCTACTTTTCTTGTTGCCTTTGGCACATTTTAATTTTATTTGTGTGCCATCAGTGCCTTTTCTTTGACCTTTTTTTTTTTGCTGTTTGGGGTCCATGGGGCGTATACATAATTTCATAATTTAATTATGTCGTACATTTGTTTCGGCTCCGGTTTTTGCCTTTTCATTGTTGCGCGTATAAAAATGCGTAAAAATTAATAAGAATGAGAATTTTCAGAATTGAAGAAAATTAAGGCAAAAGGCAGAAGAGGCGCGCTATAAGGTTAACAACCTTGACCGCGAATTTTTGACGAGCAAGACGAGTGGGTAACATTCTTTTATTTCACTTTATTTTTCTTCTTTTTTTTCTTGTGTGGAATTTAGCTGATTCTGCAAATATTTTTATTTTCTTGGTAAAGAAAACCCTAAAAAGTTTTTGGTGGTTTTAGCTTTCATACGAAAAGCGTTGAGGTTGAGCCATATTAATATTTTAATAACAGAACCTTGAGGGGTTTAATTAAAATAGACTTATAAATAATTTTATCAATAAACTTACTTTAAGCTTCTTTTTTAAATTAACTTACTTGAAGCTTATTTTATAAATCCAAACTGACTTTAATCAAGCAAACTTTGATTTTTCTTCTGCTACAATCCATGACTTAGAAATGCCTTGTGGTTTTATAAGGATTTATCTAAAAAGGAAGATAAATTATTTAGAATAAAGAGTCAAAAATGATAAATATATATTTTATGAACTAATAGGAAGAATATATTTATACATAATATACTTTTTTCTAATTGTAAAAAATGTATTTATTTTATTTAAATAGGAATAAAGTGCAAATAACTTTATACAAAATTCTATAAAAATAAAAATGCTTTATTAGTTCCTAGATTTGATAGTCACTCACCTATAACCAATTAGTTTAATTATTTAATTATATTTCAATCTCAATAAATCAGTTAAATTACTTGAAAGACATCTACTTAATTTGTCACTAATCAAACTCTCAAATCGACAGCCGGTAATCACTTCCCCTAATTAAAAGATAAACTATAAACCTTAAACTATGCACAATAGCAACTATAATTACTTAAACTCTTATCAACAAATAAGGGGGAGTGTGTTGGCAATCGTGCCTTGAATCGTTGTCAAGTCAAAATTGCATTGACAATTACCCCAGAGACTCGGAGAGTCGGAGCAAGAGAATTTCAACAAAAATTTGTATGCCAGTTGCGCCAGCAATGACAATGGTTAATGGCAACCCGAACCCACCTCCTCGACCTTCCCATTCCGCACCCCCTCTCCAAGTCCATGAAAATTGCGTGAATCACGTTAGTCGGCGGCGTGACAATGGGTGAAACGCAATCAAAAGTACTTAAAAACCTAACCGAAAGTTGACAAGCATCCAAACTACAATTCGAAATGGCTCCCCGTTGATGTTGATGGCTTTCTAATTTCCTCATGTTTCTCTTCTTTTTGGTGGGGGGTTCGGGTGGGGGGTTCGGGTGGGGCAAGAGGAAAACACTTTAATTAGAGAGACTTGCAGTTCAGCATATGAATTATAATTGACCCCCAAACTCAAAGCAAATTGTTGTCTCTCTGTTTTGTTTTTGTGTTATGCAAGTCGCAGTCTCTGCTCTGAGTTAGTCTTGACCTGTTCAAGCATTTTTTTGGTTGATTGAGCAATTGGAAGCCACTGAAAACAAGAGAATACACAGAATACATGGAATTTTGTTCAATTTGAGATGAAGAATTTCGTAATCAAAGTCCGAAAATACAATGAAAATTTATTGACTTATTCAAATGAGTAGAAATGGGAAAATAAATTGAATCAAAGGCGAGTTTAATAATTTCTATAAGAAATCAAATTCAATTATTTACAAAAGGAGAAAGGTTTTAATGTAAAGCTTAAGTATATTATATTATATTATTAAAAATCTTTACTTTAATTTAATAACTAATTTAATAAATTTAATTACAAAATCATAGTTTCCTAAGCATTTAGCTTGGAATATATTTCAATATCTTAGTATATATTAGACAAGTTTTTCTTTCTTTTTTATACTTAATTCATTAGCATGTTGTGAAGTTATAAAGGAAACATTAAAATGAAAACACCATTAAACCATTTACAATTTCTTTGATTACAGAAACGAGTTGTAACCTCATTTTGAAATGAGGAAGCGTATAATAATACAAATTATCAAATGGAAAAGAGGAGTTCTCGGTTAACACAAATGTTCTCTCCGTTAATGTTTATAAAAAAAAAAAATTTTTTAAAACATTTTAACTAAATTTACATTAATTTTACAAGAATATTATGATAAATTTAAGAATAAATTCGAAATTTAATTTAGTTAAAGGCAAGTCTGAAGCTATAACTAACCTTGGCTTTCAATTGAATTGTTACATTTATGTTTATTAATTTATTTATTTCTTTTTAAATTATTAATATTTATTTCTAAATCAATTTAATTTATAAATATCCGAGATATTATTATTTATATTTTATAAAGTATCAAAAACTTGTAAACAAACTAAACAACTTTTCTAGTAACCAGTCAACATATCTTCTTCCATTCAAACTTTTTGCGATAACTTTCCAAACAAAACCCAATACTTTTTGGTAGTCCATTAACATTAAATTAACAATGATTTCCACAGAATTGACGGCTGCACTTTCGTTGAAAGCCTCGCCCCCCGTTTAATTGGAACCAAAAGCATCCGTCTGAGGCAGCTCATCTAATTTCCTGTTCGACAATGGAAAAGCCGTTTCAATTTCGAATCAATACGACGGGAACTCCCGCTTGCATACACTCGAAACAAAGTATATGTATAACAAAAGAATCTCTGAACCGCAGCAGAGCGCAGTGCTTTTAAATAGCTGCATAAATTTCAATTAAAATGCAGCAAAATAAGAAGAAAAAAAATAACAAACGAAACGAAGGAATGGACCCTATATAAGATGAAGCTATTCCAAATCCAATTAAAAGGGCACTTAATTACGCAGTCAAAGTGTGTAAATGTGGAGAGCAGTTGAAGATATAGAAAGAGCTAAAGAACACTTGTAAGAGTAAGAGAGAATTAATGCAAAAAGATAATTTGCATAAGACAAGCAAAAGTTTTGGATTGACCATGAAGACGCCTGCGCAGCCATTGCAATTTTACAGTGGTTTTTAGGTGGTTAATTTTAGCGTACAAATTTATATAGGTTTTTTTCTAAAAATTTAAAAGAATCTATTTTTATATAAAATAAACATAGTAATATTAATAATTAACAGAAATCCATATAGCTTAATATCTGTTAGTCTAGATCGATTTGTCTGCTGCTGCTAATCTAGAATTTAAGCTAGAAATTATCATAAATTTCCTGATGATAAATAAGAAAAATTTAAGCTTGAAATTATCAAAAATTTCATGTTGAAAAATTAGAATTTGTTATAATAATTTAGTTTCCATTAATATAAAATTGATTCTTAAGGGGGTCTTCTCATTCAAAAGCCGTTTTTTGGACCCTTTTTAAAAAAATTCTTATTTGAAAACGCAAAGAATAATTGAAAATTTTTTTTATTTATTGAATTCAAAAATGTTCAAAGTAACTAAAAAAGTTGTTCTTGCCTCGATACGAGGGTTGTTCAAAGAGTAATGAGACTTCAAACTTGGTGGTCGAAAAAAAGTGTCGTCCTGGCGGCCACGATTCAGGGTCTCCAGAGCGTCCGAATTGAAAAATAAAAACGGGGTTATAATCAGAATTGATGTCATTTTCGGGTGACGGAACAGATTTTTTTTAAATTTTTTTAAACAAAATGGCGGCCATTCAAAAAAAAATTTCGATTTCGGGCTTTTTTTTTGTAGTTTAGTGTAAAAAAAAAGAAAAAAAAATTTAAAAAAAATCTGTTCCGTCACCCGAGAATGGTGACAATTCTGCGTCGACTCCACTTTGTTTCATGAAAATCGGTTCAGTTGAACTGGAGATATCATGGCCGCCAGTTCGAAAAACGTGGTTTCGAGATAAACGCGTTTGAAGTTTGAAAAAAGCTCATTTTGCATAGATCTTGCTTCACAAAAAAGGCTGTATCTTCTAAAGTATTTCAAATTTCTAAAAATCCTTTTGGGGACATATACACACCATCCCAAGCTATAAATAAATGCAAAAAAAAAAAAAAAAAAAAAAAAAGTTGCCCAATGAGAAGACCCCCTTAATAGAGATCATTTAGCTTTTTCTGTGTGTTTAGAACCACTGTTGCATGCAAGCCTTATATTAGCTATATCTATCTTCCTCGCTCTTTGCAATGCACAAAAAGCTAACCACGCAAGTGTGACGTTGTCAGTAGTAGTAGTAGTAGTAGAAATTGTTGTTGTTATTTTATTGCTGTTGTTGTTCCTGTTTCCCGCTGTTATTTGGCCACTCAACCAAAGCTCCCCATTTTCCGCTCTCCACTACAGCCCCCTTTCAAGCCACAAACTCAACGCAATGCCGTCCGTCGACCTGCCCACATTATGTAAAAATTGAAGAATGCAATGGGGCGTGGTCGCCAAACAACACACTAAAAACTGAAAACTCTTTAACACGCATCTAAAAAATATGTTTAAATAAACAAAAAGTGCAGATAAAGCGCATCTCACAGAGAGAAAAATATTGCTATACCTTAAATTATATTTCAAGTATTTATAAGTTATTATTAAAACAAAATAATACTGTAAAACTCAAGATAAATATTTTTAAAATATAATTCTAGACAACTAATTAATACATTTAAATATAAAATATATATAAATTCGTATAAAAGCTCTCCCATATTTATAAATATTTTCCACAGTGCATTCACAAAAACATAAAGGGGAAAAGAATCATTCCAGCGACCAGTTTTTGAGGGCTAGCGGTGCTTAACGTCACCTACTTTTCATTTTGGATTTTGGTGTTTTTTTTTTTTTTGGTAGATAAAATACCTTTTCTTCTGCATGAGTGTGTAAGTGTGCGTGTGTACATTGCTCTAACTGTTAAAACCGGTTATGTTTTTGGTTTTCTTCAAGTTTTTCGGGCATTGAAAACGAAATTTATTTTGAAATTGTGTTAAGAGAGAAGAAACTGAGAGGAGAAGAATTGCTACCTGTGGAGTTTTGACCGAGTTTTCATTTTGTTAGCAGTCTCTTGCACAGTTTTCAACTATTTAGCATATTTTCAAATTTATAAGAAAATCTGTGAATATAACAAATAAGATTTCATGAATACAAGTTTTAATCAAGACAAAACATTTCCCACAAAGCTTGGAAATTAAAGTTAGTTTTTAAAAGTTAGGAGTTAATGTTGTATAATTTTTCATTCCATTATGTTACTTTTATTTCTTTCAGCTCAGCCCTAACCAGTTTCATATATAAACACAGCATTTGCATATTTTAGCCATAAGCCATATAACCACTCCTCAAAACTTGATAAGTAACTTGAGAGATAAGACATCCAAACGTGACCATTACGAATAAAGAAAAATAAAAGATGAAAATGAGGAGAAAACGAACAAGAATATAAAGAATATAAGAAAGAATCGAAAAAAGTCATTGGTAAAAAACGCGTGCCAGGGTCAAGTCAAGTCAAAGTCTTATAGAAAGATCGATTTTTAAAAAATTTGAGGAAATTATGATCGTTAGCCCACATATTGAATAATTTTTATATTTTCATTCAGGGGATTTATGTTTAAAACTATATTTTTACAATATTTTATGAAGTTTTGTTTAACAAAAAAGAGGAATTTTCAATAAATAAAAGAGTATCCAAAATAAGTAGTTTATAATCTTTATTACTAGCTCTGTTATCTATTTTAATACATTTTACTTAATAACAATAAAAATTTCTGTAAAACTTTATCGATATTTTATCATTTTTATGCCTAATATATAGCTTAACAAATAACTAAATAAATCATGTTTTATTTAGTACTTCCTTTACATTTTGGCCATTTCTTTTGTATATTTATTTATCGCTTATTGGTGGTATAACAAAAACATAAAAACGTCGCTCCAAAAATAGCCGCAAAAGGCAAAACCTTGGCGTGCCTTAGGAACCTTTTATTATCCTAGTTTTATGGGCCCCTAAAATGTTTCCTTTGGCTAAGAATAAAACGTTAGCGGGGCAACACTTTCGCTAAAGCCCAACAATGAATGCCTTTCACTAATTTTACGTAAGCATATTCCACCTCAAAAAGTCCTCATTTCCTCCCCCCTAACTTGACTTTTCCTTCGTTTAATAGGTCACTTCAGTATCAGGATTAGGTCACATGGGCTGCACCCACTTGCCGGCTGCCTGCTGGCCAAAAAGGTTAAGTTGGTAATTAAATTTGAGGTCAGTTTTTGCAGCCTGCTTGCTATCTCAAAATGTGGCTATGAGGGGGGTTCCTGCTTTTGTTGCCAAGTTGGCTAAAAGCTTTTATCTGCGAGAACGGAAACGTAATGTAATGAAGTCCCTTGCGTGTCAGATTGTCATCATTTGGCTGAGATCATCAGAAGGGAGTCGTAAATATAGTTTGTCAATCTTTCGCCTGGCTGAACGCTCTGATGAAAGGTTAAGATGGTTAAAAAAAAACAACTCAAACAACAAATCATGACAGTAAGCTGGAAAATGAAGGGATTTTCTTAAGTGCTTCGGGCCAATTTTGTTACTGGCCTCTAATACATAAGAATGTGTTTTTGTTTTTACGTTTTCCTGTAACTTTATTACGACTAACTGGTTGGGGGTTGATTCTCAGCCAAATGATGTCAGCAATCGTTGACTTTTGTGGGTTTTTTAACTCAAATTAAATGTGATACATAATTTATAGTATTTAGTTTAAGAATTATTAGAACATTTTTCTTAAAAATTTGTTCTTTTCGGAACTTTCTTTTTCGTGCATGTTTTACCTTTCCATTTCAGGCCTCATGTTTCGCCTTTTTCTATTTGTTTAAATACTTTAATTAGGTGCCAGACTGCAGTGCGACATTTTGCGATAATTATTTTGTATTTTCCCCTCAACAAACACAACATTTCAGAGGGCTAAAAAGAAGAACAACAACAATTCCAGTTTTAATTACTCCACAACATTTGCTAATTAAGTTTTTGCAGTTAGGGCGAAACACTCTTATCACAATTTGCGAAAATTCTCAAAGCACTGTGGAAAAGTTTGCATATTTAAGTTGAAGTCGGAGAACCGCTCCACCGATTTTCCCCCCTTTAACCGACACCTGCTGAGCTGCCGTGACTGAAAGTCGTTTAAACTGTTTCACTTGCTGATGTTGTTGCTGGCATAATTATTTTTATAATTTTTTTTTTCTATTTTGTGCTCGGAGAGTTGTAAGCTGCGCAGCTATGTAAATAAATTTGCAAGCAAATTTTGCATTTGTTCAAGGCAAGACTTTTGACTTTTGTGTTGTGCAGTGCAGTGCACTAAAGTTGTAAATCATTTTTTGAATTTTAAATGACTTTTGTTGATAAGGCAAAGGGGTTAAGACAATGTTGGTGGTTTTTGGTGGGAAAATATAAGAAACTAGGGGCAAGAAAAAGTTGACAATTGATTTAAATAAAAGTTAAGTGTTGAATAAATAAAATATTTATAAAAAAAATAATGAGAAATATCTTCTCCTACTATATGATTCAACAATATAACATTCTTTGTTTATCAACCTCATCTGAGTCACCTTCTTAGATAGCAAATCTTATCCACAATGAACGTATTAATATCTGTGTAAACTTTTCTGGGAAATGTCATCGGATAAGCAAGCAAACTGATCGATTCATAGGATAAGCAGGATAGGATAAGAGCTCAGGTTGCACAGAAAAAAAAAAAGAATTTGTTTTAAAAATCGTATTGGAAAAATTTCAGTGAAAACTGTATGAGATTCTTAAAAAAATAATGTAGATTGTAAATTTAAGTGAAATAAAGTTTGTTTACCTATTAAACATATTCCAATAATTTTTCTATATTTTTTATACCATATATTTACTATGTAATATATGCAAAGTTACAAAATACCATTTTTTAAAACTTATTAAGCACTTTAATATTATTTATTTCCCAATGGATACATTCCAGGCAACCTTTAGCCAACCAATAAAATGTTGTTAAATTAATTAAAAATAATACTATTACTAGAAAACTATTTTAAAATGAATTAATTCATTTTTAATCAATTATTTTTATTTTTATCACCTGATATCACAAAAACAGTACCAATCCCAAAGAATGTCAGGCCCCGAAAATTCCATAAAAAGTAATAATACTATTGTGAAAAAAACATATGAAACAATATTTGCAGGCCAACCAGAAAGAATTCCCATTCCAATCAGAGAGGTAAACAAAATTCACAAAAAGCAACGATATATAAAAAAAATGCCAACAAACCTGTATGAGTTTCTCGCTGCTTCAGCCGCAGTCGCTGTCGCTGCCTCTGCCGACGGCAACGCCAACGCCAAGAACTTCGACTTAAAAGCTCTCACGCGAAGTTGCCGTTGTTGTTGTTGCTGCTGCTGCTGCTGCCTTTTTGCATGCGCCAACGGTGGGAGAGCGAGCGAGAGGGAACGATATTCGAGCGCGCACACCAACACACGCGCAATTTGACAGGTAAGCGAAACACGTCGCGCAAGCAGAAGAAGAAGCAGACGAAGCGGGAGCCAGATATAATGAATGATCGTGGCTTTAACTTTTCAAGCTTTAACTTTTTGACTGCATCGGTATGCGTATTTTGTGCATTATTTGCATTTGAAATGAATATTTCTGCCACTGGAGCACTTGTTGTTAACGGGAATGCACTTAATTTACAATATTAAACGCAACCGGCTGCGCAGGCGATTTATTTAACCCACACGAACACAAGGCGACCAAGCCGGATTTTAATTTTACTGCTTTAACTTTAATGCGGCCAGCGCGGCTTTGAGACAGCGACTAAAACGGAATCTAAACACGAACACCTGAACTGACTGAATTCGAATACGAATACACCACCTCACCACTCACCACGGCAGAGACCGCGCAATTCGAAGAGTAAAAGCTCATGTTAAAAATCTTACACGCTTACAGAACAACAGTGTCAAATTTGTATGGGAATGTTATTTTGGGGTCGAATTCTCATGTAGAATGTTAAAATGTAGACAGAGAGCAATAGCGGCTCTCTGCTCTCTGACTAAGCGAGCTTTTCCGCTCTCTGAAAGAAATCGTGTGGCCAGTTACAGGGGAACCGAAAATACCAAAGTACACAGCATTTTATCAGAAAGTTCTTTTCAGTGTAACCAGTTGCAGTGAAATTTAAAATGCCAAATTTTAATCCAAACGGTCACACTGCAGCAGGGTTATCCAATCAGAAGGCAAAACTAAAATTCGTTTTTGTTAATTAAATTGCTGGAAAAATGCTTCGGGCCGGCTGCCAAGTGCTGACACAAACCGCCCTGCCCGCCGGCAAGACGGGCGGCAACAGTTTTGCCTTGGAGTTTGTGCGCTGGCGAAGGAAACCCCGGTGGCTGCCGGTGGCCAAAAGCAAGGTGTTCCGCGTGCCGGAACGCAAGAAGCAAACGGAGGAGGAGCGAACGGAGCTAATGCGGCTGCACAACCAGTACAAGTGGGTAGCCAAAAACTACCAATAAATCTTAAACTAATGACCATCAATTCCAGAACCCAACTCCGATCGGTGCGTCAGTACCTGCGGGAGGAAGTCGTCCGACATGAGGAAACCTCCACTGCGGATCACATTGTGCTCACACCCGAGCAGGAGGAGGCCGAGTTCCAAAAGTGCCTGGATCTGAATGCCGCCTGGAATGCCAGAATTGCCAAAGAGCGAGAAGCGAGGCTGGCAAAGGAGCGCGAAGAAAAGGTGGCCTATGTGCAGGAGCGACTGGAGGCGAAGCAACTGCGCGAGGAGGAGCGCAGAGAGCAGGCCAATCAGCGGGTGCTCCGCGAGATTGAGCTCTCCAAGACATACATTACCAGGGAAAATCTGGACGCTGCTATCGAGGCGGCCCTGGCCAATCCGGTGGACCACAACTTTGCCATCGACCTGGACGGGAATCTGTACCGCGGACGCAATACCTCTCAGCTAACAGAAGCCAGTCCCAATCCTAACCCGGAACCCAACCAGCAGGCCTTGAGTAATTAATTTTTCTACCTTTGTTCGTTACATTAAAAGTGCTTTTTAGCTTAAATCAGGTCTTGGATCTTGGTTCATGTCCGTAGTACAAAGTTCTATGTATATTTAAAGATTTGTTTACGAAATTTAAGCATAGAAATAACTTAGAATCAGGCGCAGCCTATTTACAATATTACATATCTACTGGGGAGAATTGGATGCAGGAGGATTGTGGTGCCGTGTGCTACGTGTTCGGTAGCGGATTCGATCGCTTGGCTGCCGCTTCCTGCTGCTCGAACAGATGCACCCAATCTGGTGTGGCCTTAAGCTTGGCTTGGATTGGTCCCAAATTGATCATGTTGCCGCTGCGCTGTTCTCGATTCGCCGTAACGGACATGAGCTCTTGCAGGTAGCCCGGATCCAGGCCCATATCCAGATCGAACAGTGTGTCGCCGAGTTGGAGTTTAACTCGACCCGACCTATAGCGCAGGATCTTGCCAATTTGGCCCTCTTCCAACAGACGCAGGACACTCCCCTTGGCAGCATTGGTTGACTTGCCTGCAGCCGGACTTGTTGGTTCCGTTTCACTGGCAGATGGTGGCATCGTAGAGTCATCATTTGGTGGTTCAGCATCCTCCGGTTCATCGCTCACACAGGGCAAAACATCGGGCAGCTGCATTAGAAATATCTGCGATTGGCTCGAGTCCAGGAAGTTGCCAATGCTGCGCGGATATCGTCCATACTGTAGGGGTGGCTCCTCCATTCGAGCCACATGCAACTGCTGCAGGTGCTGAGCCACCGCTAACGTTTCTCGGTTTGGAGATGAACTAGGTACTTCCTGCTTGACCAACGGTAGTGCCTGGTTGCTCCAAAGACCTACGATTTAAAGCGATTATTAAGCATGATTCTCTTTTCATTAGTATGTCGAAATTGGGTCAAAATACGTACCCTCCTTTAGCAGGATGGGCTTCAGGGCCATCTCAGTCTTATTGTCCTCCTCGTCACTGGGCTCCGCATCGCTGTCATCCGACTCGCCCAGCAGCTCGTTTATTCTCTGAGCCTGTGCCCTATCGTCCTTGCGATCCACTCGTTTCCTGGCCACCGCCACCTCCTCGCCTGCTCGGGCATAGGCTGTGCCATTCCCTGTTGATCGGCGTACGTGGACATCACCCGCTCCCTCGGAGAAAAGGCCCTGGGTTTGAATCAGTGTTGAGTTGCCACCACCACCGCCACTAGACGAATTTCCACCACGACCACGTGTTGCTCCTGCACCGTTTCCCCGGCCGCCGCGACGTCCCCCCCTGGGCTGGGTTGTGTCCTTGGAGGTCTTCACATTGCTGGGAATTCCAAACAGGTTAGATATGGTATAAATAATGGAATAAATTAACGATACTCACGTATTTTTATTTCGCACCGCATTCAAGTTGGGGGCAAACACCTTTTTGTTGCCTCCTGCCGCGGCGCCACGACCGCCAAGTGTCAAGTCCCGGGCGGGCGTCAATCTGGTCATCCCGTTCAGCGTCTCCAGTGGGCGTGCCCCGGCTCCCGGTGCCAGATTGCTGCCGTTACTGACATTATTAGTCGTGGTAGATGCACTACCTCCCGGAATGGACGATGCTGCTGCTGTGCTGGCCGTCATTCTCTTCGCTGGCATGGCGTCCCATTCGCGCCGCCCGTCTCCTCCCCGAAAGATCCGCTGTTCCTTCGCTTTAAATTCGTTGGTTTCGTTTATTTCCTTTGAAAATTCCCTTTTGAGAGGCCAGGCCACCACGTGCTAGAGCTGTGAAAACATTGATGACATTTCGATAATACCGATAGAATCAGCGATGCGGGTTGAGTTATTTCCCCGCTAGTTCTGGCGGTTTTTTAACACAATATATCGGCTTCTGGGAACTATTATAGTTTAACTATAGCAAATATTGTTATTAATATTATTTTATTATTAACTATTGATTTGCCTAGTGACTTGAATCCATATTTTATTTTTTAATTGGTAAACTATCTACCCTTAACGACTGAGAGTCTGAATTACTGAAAATATTGGAGATGTATGGCGATAGTTGGCAGTTATTTTTAACTAAAAATTGCTGCTCCCATGGAAAATGTTAAAAATATTGACGATATTGCTATACTTTACCGATATTTTCAATAATTTAAAAATTCTGTCGTCAAGGAAATCCCCTTAATATATATCACTTCACCAATCTAATATAACTCTATGCTGTTAATTTAATTTTTAAATAAACTCATTAATTTTATTTAAAATTTTGCGTAATGCACATATCGAAAAAAAATAAATAAACTGATAATATAATGGATTATTTAATAAATATTTATCATTTATTTATAATTTTTTCTTGAATATGTATGACACAATAATTAATAATAATAAGAATTCTAATAAAAGTAATTGCCGTTGTTGTTAATTTCTTTTTAAATTTAGCAATATAATTATTTTTAAATTTAGAAACCACATTAATCCCTTGACGACTGAATTTCTAAAAATATCGGTAAAGTATAGCAATAGTTTGCCGATATTTTTAGCAGCTATTATGGGAACACTATCGGCTAACTATCGTTATACATCGGCGATATTTTTAGTAATTTAATTATTAATGGAATACCCTCAATGAATCCGTAGGGAGTATCCTAACAGTGTGACCAATTGAAACTGTTTTAATTATCCTAAATACAAAAGATTTATCGAATTTTTGTAAGTTGGTCACACATATCGTGAAAATTGCAATTTGTTTTTATGGGAAATTGTCTGGTTTCTCACCAAAACCATCAAAATAATGGCCGCCAAGCGATTTGGTCCCATGAAGGACTTTGCGCGGGCCAAGAAGCCGCGCCTGGACGTCAGCGTCACCCGCTCCTCGACCCGCCCCAGTCCTCCAAGGAGCATAATGGACTTTTGGGACGACGATGACGATGTTATCCTAATGGCCACCCAGCGGGCGGAGGCAGAAATCGAGGCGGAGGAACGCAAGAGGCGGGCTGGGGAAGGAGAAGTGGAGGCACCAAACAATACCCGCAGCGAGATTACCTTTAGCGAATTCGCACCAACGGTCCAGGGCTGCACCAGCACGCAGCAAATGTTTCCGCCGCCACCGCCGCCCGCCAAGAAGTCCAACGCTCTGGACTTGGAGGAGATATTCGCGGACGACGATGACTTCGACTTCCTGGCCGTCACTCTCATGGATAGCGAGCCCCCAAAGCCCGTGGAGCAAGTCCAGCCCAGCACCAGTTCTGGCAGCAGGATAAGCATTCATCAGAAATCCACAACGAGCACGACAACCATAAATTTCACGCAATCGCGTCAGCAGGAGCACCAAATCAAATTCCTGATGGACCGCATTGAGGCCCTGAAGCGAGACAAGTCCAAGCTGGAGAAGGATCTGGGGGACAGCAACGAACGCAATGAGATTAGGTCGGGGGAGGTAAGCCTGCTTCGCGACGAACTGAAGCATCTGCGGCAGCAGCTGCAGGTCAGCAAAATGGAGAAGCTCGCTTTGGCCGACGAAAAGAACAGGGATTGCAATAAGAAGGTGGCCGAGGCGGCCAAGCAAATAGCTGCCAAGGATATTGAATTGAAGATTAAGAACGCCGAGTACAGCAAGCTGAAGACCCAGCAGCGGGCTCACGAGAAGAGCCTGAACATGAGCATGAACATGAACATGAACATGAGCATGGCTGCCATTGTCCCACCCGATGCCACCGAGCAGCGCACTCTCCTCCGACTCAACCGGCTTAATATACACAGATCGGTGCCAAGATTACGAAGAGCGGATAGTGGCATTGATTTTGAGTATGACGAGGTTCGAGATCAGGAGCAAAGGCAAAAGAAGAGGTCCCTTTTCGAGACGGAACTCAAGCAGTTGCTGCTCCACTATGCTCAGTTGCAGGCGCAACCGGAATCGCTGGACCATCTCATTCCACGAATCCTTTCCACTGTGGGCAAGGTGTTTCTAGAGTTCTCCTCTTATGCTCAGAGCTTAAAGTTTCCGCCCAACTGCACGCTGTATCCTTATAATCCATACAATTTGGACATGGAACCGGAGGTTCAGCGCATCTCCCTTACCCAGCGGGGTCATCTGTTTGAAGGCGAAAGAGCTTCAGTCCTGCGAAGATACATAAGCACATTGGCCTTGATAGGCCGGCAGCACAAAGAGATTTCCAGTGCTCTCCTTAAGTGGAAACATAACGAAGAATTTGGTTTACTGGAGCTGGCCACAGAGGCTGTGGTCAAACTGGGATTTTGCAATGATCTAAGCGAGCATTTTGGTTTGCTAGAGGCTCTGGCTGCCCTGCTAAATAGCCTCCTCCTCCTGCTGGAGGAAGAGGATTTATTGAAAGAAAAGGAGGAGCCAATGTTTGAACTGCTCAGACAGTTGGTGTTTACACGTCCCAGTCCCTGGGTTTTCAAGGAGCTAAGCTCATGCTTGCTAAGTGCCAACCGACAGGCCCAGCTGATGGCCAGGATGTGTGTGAAAAGTCCTAGGAATTGCTTTGTTTCGGATCGCGTGCGTTCCATTTATCGCTTTGCACCGGATTCCTGTTTATTGCAAGTATATGCCGGCCTCCTGGAGCTGTGTTTCTTCAGTGAAACTCCTTTGAGGAGGGATCACTTTCAGCTGCTGCTTGAGATTGGCGGCAATCATGTGCGCTTTGCCTTTGAGTGCTTTAAGAATCCTCCAGATTTTATACTGGAAATGTTGCCATACTTTGCGGACGACGAGGATCAGGAGCAGGATCAAACGACAACTTTGCAGGCTTCGGTGTCCAATGGTTCCACCTCAGCTTCTGCCTCAAACTCCCATCTGAATGGCAACTCGAATTCGAGCTCCTCGCAGCGCAGCAACAGCAGCAAGGTCAACGAGTGCGAGTGTTATGTGAAGTTGTGCCTCAGCGCTGTCACAATTGTCTTCCAGATGATGCACCAATGGATGCTGCACGAGAGGAAAGCAGGTACTTTTAATCCATACAAAAATTAAGATAATCCTATATTAATACGATTCCTTTTCAGGCACCGAAACGGTGGGCGAGATATCCCGCGTGGCCGTCCACCTGCTGAACCTCATCTTCCATGAGTACTATTTGACCTGCCTGTTTCGCGATTCCGAAGAAACCACTAAGCACTACCTCAGCCTCATCTGCAGCTGGTGGCGTGAGCATGCTGACATTTTGGGTTTCCAGCCCATTCAGTGTAAGTTTTAGAAATATTTCCCTTTAAATACTAGACTCATTCATGTGATTTCCTCTCTCTCCACTTAAGTGCGTTTGCTTGGCCGGCTAGAGACCTCCCACTTTATGCTCAAGCCTCTGCATCAGGAGGCAAATCCCAAAAATCCGGCCAACGATCTGGCCGAATGGAGTCGCATTGTCAAGGATGCGGACACCCAAAGGGCAAATAATTCAACACAAATATCGTACAATAGTAAGCTACTCAACGGCGACTTCTTTGCCGGTCTTAAACAAGTGGATTACACATTTGAATAATTAGATATTATCTAGTATTAATAAATTGTCTGATGCCAAGTGCTTGTCTGTGATTTAAAAAATTTGTGGAAAAAAATATAACTGCTGTTTTTTAAACATATTTTCAACTTTTATATATCTCCGGTTTTCTATTAATTTGGCCAAAAATGTTCGAGTCTTAATGATCCCTGATTTTAATGGGTATATTTAACATTAAGATAAAATAAATATGGTACTTAATAAGATATGTTGTACTATCTTTTAAAAACAAAACAATGAAACGAAAAGTAGATTGTTTTCTTTTTTCTTTTGAAGTAAAAAGCTATTTTTAAATAGTAAAAATCATAAAAATAAATCATTCGTAAATTAATTTCAAAATACTCGTAAAATAAATAATATATAAATATATTTTTTTGGTAGTCAGCCAACTTCAGATCATAAAAATTAAAACAGCATTAAAAATAAAATAAAATACTACAAATTATTTAAAATTCATCGTATAAAAGCATTAAAAAATACAATGTTTTTAAAAGGCTAAAACAAAGCAGCTAATTTTGCTTGGAAAATAGCTATATTATCCGCTAGCCCCTAGCGAACAGCTTATTGCGCCTTCTGCTTTTGAAAACCGCCAGATCTAGCGGGGTAATAGCTAAGTCGGCAACGCTGTTCACAAAGTAAGCGCAATTTTTCCTTATCTCGCAGCTTAAACTTTAAAATTTACTTATTCGCGGAGAAATAACAATTTGATTTGCTGACAATTCTAATAATCGGGATTGCGCTTATTCGCGTGTGCTACCTTTTCAGTGGAATCGTCTAAAGGTGCTTTAATTAAAACAAATATACGTGTTTTTATATTGCCGGCTTCTATTTCATTGAGGATCGAGGCTCTTTTAAAGGTAAGTGAATAAATATAAACAAACTTATGTATGTGTACATATGTATGTTCATATATGCATGCATGTAAGTACATATGTAATTAGTAGAATCATCAACTTACATCAGGTTTATGTACAATAATTCAAAACATGCACTTACACGATTGTGTTTGTACATTATGTATGTATGTACATACATATGCACATATGCTAAGAATTTCAGGAAATCATTCATAAAATGGGGGAATCATTTTTGTTTGTATGTTATAATGTAATGTACATATGTATAATGTAATGCATTTATTCATTTTGTAAATCGCTTTTCTTCAGTGCCATTTGACATCAACGTTTCATCAACGTGCCGATTTCGACAATGGTGTTAAGATATGTACGTACATATGTATGTACATACATATGCCAATTGTGTTATGTATGTACATATGTACATATACATCCTTTCGCTTTTTCATATTGCGTTCGATAAGTATTTGATGAATACCGCTGCTTTTATCAGTAATTTCTATGGAAATTCAGCAATGATGCATCAATATTATTGATGAATGGTACTGTAGGGTTAAAACTGTATGTACATATTTATGTACATAGATGATCCTCCTCTATTAACCTTGACATCACATTCATACGATTTAGGAAGGGTTATGTACATATGTACATACATATGTACATAAATACATTAATACAAATGTACATATGTATATTGATATGTACATACATACGTACATATATGTACATATATGCACAAATGTAAGAGCTTTTACTTATGAATTTACTAATTCCAGTTCAAGGACAAGTAATTTCCAGTTCTAAAACTATTTAATTAGCATATGTATTATCTACTACTGATCCTTGTAGTATAGCTTATTTAAAAATCTCGTGGCAATCTTTTACTGGTACCTAACATATTTCCTTTAATATTGAAGTGAATGAGTGATCACTTTTTCTCTATGTGTACGGCTATTGATAATGAAGTGATAAACGCCAAAGCTCCCTCAACTTTTTATTCGTAACAATTAATAAAAAAAAACTTAAAGGGGAATTTCATAACTATGGCAATGTTTATTGTTCAGTCACTGGGCGAGCTTCGTGGGAAACAGACGCTATATGGAACCGGTTAATAAATACAATTCCGAATATATCGAGGGAGCTTTGCGGCAAGCTTATGGTTGCGAAAATCTGCTCGTGGAGAACTTCCACATCGCACCAGTGAACCAAAGTGGTGAAAACTTTTGCAGTGTTATCCACCGGATTGCATTGCAGTTTCGTCGTTCTACCGATGGCGCTTTAGAATCGGGAAAATATATACTCAAAGATGTACTCCAAGCTGTGGCAGAGCTGGGCACAAACGAAGGGGTGATGTTCGAGCAGTTACTGCCAGCCATGGGGAAAATTCTGAAAAATTCCAAACCAAACCTAGGCGAACACAAAATAAGTGCAGAGTAAGTAAGCAAAATATTACAAACTAAATTTTATTTTTAAATAATAACAATAATTTTCAGTTGCCTGCATACCGATAGGTCCCCGGGAAAGGAGTTATACGTCCTGGAAGATCTAGGCGCCCTGGGTTACACCTCCCTTAATCGCTATGAGGGTCTTAACTTGGCAGATGCCAAAATTTGTCTGCGGAAAATGGCTCAATTTCATGGTGCTTCCATGATATTGTACCAAAATCATCCCGAATTTTTCTCAAAACTTTCGCCATCGAATTATGCCCAGGGAATATCAGACTCTTTTGCAAAGGGTATCCTCCTAGATGGCACGGAATTCGCAGCAGATTTATTTGCCGAAGAATTACCGGAAATTTCAAGAAAAATGAAGGCTCAAATACCGGAGGTTTATTCCCAAAAATTGCAAATTGTTGTTGATCCAAAGAAAGCCAAGTTTAATGCTATTGTTCATGGTGATCTTTGGGTGAATAATATGATGTTTGATAGGACTAACAATAGGGCAATACTTGTGAGTTGTTGAATTTATTGTTTCCTTAATTATGCTTCTTAAAGTTTATTTTAAAAACATTTTTTAGGTGGACTTTCAAGATTGTTTTTGGGGAAGTCCCGCCATTGATCTGCAGTACTTTTTTTACACCAGTCTTCAGCTGGAAATTCTTCTTAATAAGCAAGATTATCTTCTAAAGCACTATTTCCATTGTCTTCAAGAGACCCTACATCTTTGTGGCTTCAGGGAACCCCTGCCCACTTTTGATCAACTAAAGGAAGAGATGCATCGTTGTTTGTTCTATGGATACTACGCTGTGACCTGTGAGCTACCCTTATGTTGTGTCTCCGGTGAGGCAAGTGTGAATTTCAATTTAAACACCCTTGGTGATCCAGTAGCAATGAAGAGCAAACGTCACCAGCTGTTCTCTAGTGAGCGAGTGCGCAGAACGGTTAAAGCCAGTCTGGTAGAGTTTGATCAACAGGGTATATTGGATATTCCTTAAATAAATAAATAATAGTTTTTCATTGATTTTTAAGAAATAAAGTTAGTATTATTGGTACTTTGGGTATAGGGATATACATATATTGAGAAGAATACTCATTTAATATATATAGAAAAGAAAATCGAGCTCAATATCAATCAAAATCCAATCAAAATTTGGTAAACTTGAATTTTTCAACATTGTGATTATCGAAAATTATCGCTTTTAAATTTAAAATATTGAAAATTAAGTTTATTTACAAGTAATCTCCATTATTGAAACTTCTTAATTTTATCTCCTACTAATCCTTGTATAGCTTATTTAAAAAACCCATGCCAATCTTTTACTGGTACCTAATATATTTCCTTTAATATTGAAGTGAATAAGTGATCAGTTTTTTTCTATGTGTACGGCTATTGATAATGAAGTGATAAACGCCAAAGCTTCCACAACTATTTACTCGTAACAATTAATAATAAAAGTTGAAGGGGAATTTCATAACTATGGCAATGTTTATTATTGTTCAGTCACTGGGCAAGCTTCGTGCGAAACAGACGCTATATGGAACGGGTTAATAAATACAATTCCGAATATTTCGAGAGAGCTTTGTGGCAAGTTTATGGTTGCGAAAATCTGCTCGTAGAGAACTTCCATATCGCAGCAGTGAACCAAAGTGGTGAAAACTTTTGCAGTTTCATCCACCGGATTGCATTGCAGTTTCGTCGTTCTACCGATGGCGCTTTAGAATCGGGAAAATATATACTCAAAGATGTACTCCCAGCGGTGGCAGAGCTGGGCACAAACGAGGGGGTGATGTTCGAGCAGTTACTGCCAGCCATGGGGAAAATTCTGAAAAATTCCAAACCAAACCTAGGCGAACACAAATTAAGTGCAGAGTAAATACAAAAAATATTACAAACTAAATTTTATTTGCAAGTAATAACAATAACCGGGAAAGGAGATATACGTCCTGGAAGATCTAGGCGCCCTGGGTTACACCTCCCTTAATCGCTATGAGGGTCTTAACTTGGCAGATGCCAAAATTTGTCTGCGGAAAATGGCTCAATTTCATGGTGCTTCCATGATATTGTACCAAAATCATCCCGAATTTTTCTCAAAACTTTCGCCATCGAATTATGCCCAGGGAATATCAGACTCTTTTGCAAAGGGTATCCTCCTAGATGGCACGGAATTCGCAGCAGATTTATTTGCCGAAGAATTACCGGAAATTTCAAGAAAAATGAAGGCTCAAATACCGGAGGTTTATTCCCAAAAATTGCAAATTGTTGTTGATCCAAAGAAAGCCAAGTTTAATGCTATTGTTCATGGTGATCTTTGGGTGAATAATATGATGTTTGATAGGACTAACAATAGGGCAATACTTGTGAGTTGTTGAATTTATTGTTTCCTTAATTATGCTTCTTAAAGTTTATTTTAAAAACATTTTTTAGGTGGACTTTCAAGATTGTTTTTGGGGAAGTCCCGCCATTGATCTGCAGTACTTTTTTTACACCAGTCTTCAGCTGGAAGTTCTTCTTAATAAGCAAGATGATCTTCTAAAGCACTATTTCCATTGTCTTCAAGAGACCTTAAGCCTTTGTGCCTTTAGGGAACCCCTGCCCACTTTTGATCAACTGAAGGAAGAGATGCATCGTTGTTTGTTCTATGGATACTACGCTGTTACCTGTGAGCTACCCTTGTGTTGTGTCTCCGGTGAGGCAAGTGTGAATTTCAATTTAAACACCCTTGGTGATCCAGTAGCAATGAAGAGCAAACGTCACCAGCTGTTCTCTAGTGAGCGAGTGCGAAGAACGGTTAAAGCCAGTCTGCTAGAGTTTGATCAGCAGGGTATATAGGATATTCCGTAAATAAATAAGATAATAGTTTTTCATTGATTTTTAAGAAATAAAGTTGGTATTATTGGTACTTTGGGAGTAGGGATATACATATATCGAGAAGAATACTCATTCGATATATTGAAAACAAAATCGGGCTCATTATCAATCAAAATTCAATCAAAATTTCGTAAACTTGAATTTTTAAACATTGTAATTATCGAAAATTATCGCTTTTAAAGTTAAAATATTATTGAAAAATAACTTAAATCGTTTCTCCTAATAATTATGTCCTTTAAAATACAAAAAATAATATTATTTTGAATAATATTGAATATTAATTAATATTGACAAATCGATTAAAATATCGATATATCAAAATTGTGTAAAAATTCTGTTTGCAGAGCATTATTTTTGTAAATCATCCACTCCGCTGTATTATTTATATATCTGTATTCTTCATTCATTAAACTTTGCCAACTCCCCCACTCTTCTTCTTAATTCCCAACTCAAGTGTTACTTCTTGTGTTTATAAATAAATTTGTTGTCTGCCAAAGTTTTTGGCCAGGATTTTCAAATGTGCGAGTTTGAGTGTGTGATGTGTGTGTGTGTGATGCATGAGCCCTCGCCTGGCTGCATTCAATGCGATAAAGTTCTCACCTCCGAATCCACCCTGCAGCCTCCTCCCCGGCAGCTAAATATGCAAATCGCTTTGCAGTTATTCTTAGAAAGTTGTCAGCTGCCAACTTGGCTCCAAGTAAAGCCAAACGAAGCGAATCCAAAGAGCATATAGGGAGCAAAATCCAGATCCAGTTGTCCGGAGAAGCATTTAGAGGGAGTGAGAGTGGGAGCCTAAGTGCATTTGACGCCAATGTTACTACTTGAAACACGGTTTTACTTCTTTCAAGTGTTTAAAAAGCAATTTATTGTTTTTGCTTAGAGAAAGGAAGTCAGCTTAGCTCATCCTTAGCTTTAGTTTGGAAACTAAAGAGTGGAAAATCACTTGTGGCATTTATTTAATATTTTCTTTGGTTTGTTGAATGTCATAACTGAGATAGGGAAAAATGCAGAAGATATAAAGAAATCGATATATAACGCAAAGATATATCATACCGAACTCTTCCCCTTGATAAGATGCTACCCTACTCCAGCTCCCGCCAGAAACTTCTTTGACAATCCCACAAATCGTTTCAACTGTCGCTCAATTACCATAGCCCCCTTGCTAGCTAGCCAGCACCCCTTGGGTAATTGTAAACCTTAATTAACATTGAAAACAAACACGATGACGGCACCGAAAAGCAAACAGAAATCGGTCTAAGGCTGCCAGCAAGTCGAAAGAAACCCATAAATCAATTTTGAAATGCATTAGAGACAGGTGGTGGTGGATGGTCCTTCCCCCTCTATTTTTGGGGGTAAGGAAATGGCTGCAGGCAAAAAGGTGAGAGAGATAGACTTCTGGAGCTGGTGCTGCTGGTCAGTGGTCAAAAGTTGCAGCGACTGACACCCCCCAAGACTGGGGGGAAATCCTCCCTTGCTGCCTTTGGGCACCTTTCAATTAATGCGTATTTCTCCAGTGTCATGGTGCAAGTTGCTTCCTTTGCTTTCATCTGGGGTTGCATTTACTTAACGCCTCTCGCCTCAGCACTTAACTTCCGTTTCCTGTTTCCAAAGGGTAGAGTTTCGATATGGAGTCTCCGTATTTTAGAGCAAAGAGGCATTTTCCAACTAATTGAAAGTGCAATGCGAAGCTGCAGAATGCAATTAATGCCCCCAGGGAGGGCCTTGGCTGGGTGAGACGTTCTCCTCTGCCTATGTTGTGGGACTTGCAGTAAGAATTTGAATTGGATATCCACAGAAAAAATTGTAGGCAAGTTGTAATTTGTATAGAAGGAACTCAGTTCAAGATGGTAATCATTTTTTGTAATCATAAAAATCCTAAAAAAAAGTAAAAAAAATCCCTAAAAAACCCTTAGGTGACTTTAGTTTTCTCATCTACAATTTCAACTTACTTAAGACCTTTCCAGGCTCTTTTCCCCTATAAATAACGCTTGAAAAACTCGGAAAACTTTTATCAATTAGCTGCCAACTAACTACTCAACGAGTGTCCAAGTGGGAGGGCATACAATTAAAAGCAATAAATTTGCACAAGGCGACCATAAATCAAAGTCCGATCATAATCTCCGGGGTCCAAGTAAATAGAAAGAAAAAGCCAAAAACGAAACACACTTTTGCTTCCGCTCAGAATATTCCCTTCTCTTATTTCCAAAACTTGGCTACCAAAAGTTCAGATTCTACCGCAAATCCGGGGAAATAGTCGCTTCGCTTCGTTTATTAATTGTACAACTGTCTCCAATCATAATTAATGAACTTACGGCACATCCTCCGCCGCAAAGCTCTACATGTTATATGTATATATTCCTCCCACACTGATATATAAACACAAATGTTTTCCTTGGCACACCATAAATCTTTCGTTTGGCAAATCTCTGTTGGGCTTTTCCGTTCTTCCACCACTTTTTTTCCCCCCAGTCATGGGTATCCACATTTTTCGTTGCTCTTTTATTTGTTTTAATGGTTGGCAGTAACAATTTGTCACATTAAAGGATTTACTGGGTGATATTTAAGCTTTAAGTAGTTGTAATTATAATACTATATTTTTCACAAATGTTTTGATTTTATTATCTATTTTAATGAGTGTTATTGTTATATTAAATAGTTGTTACGAGAGGGAAAATCATAAATGAAATATTGACATAAAATTTTACAATTTAAAATTAAAACCATAAAAAACTTTAATATATCGAAATAAAATAAATCGAAAATATCGACTTTCTCCAACTGTGACTTTAGTAATCTCTTTCAAGAAAAGTATAAAATTACACATATAAATCCCTTATAATTATCACCACACAAAGCTTCCTTGAATAGCCACAATGTATATCCTTTTTCTACCGGAAAAGTTTGAAAAGTAAACAATTTTTCACTCGGCAAACGCTTTCTTTTAACCACCTTTCATCAGTAGCTGCTCATTTATCAATGCTGTGCGTGTGTGCGTTTAGTCAGTTAGTCATTCCAAAGCTAAATTTAAATAATTTTAAAATGATGACAAAAGCTTTTCCAGCAATCCAAGTAATTATGCGCACACATGGCAGCCAGGGAGATGGAGTCGACAGGCATTAACACTTTCACAGCAAATAGTCTAAAGATAAATGAAAGCATCATTAGTCATTGGTTCCAACCCCACACGAAGCACTAATCATATGTGCGAGTCTTGGGCAATTTTTCCTACCAGAAGGGTTGGGATTACCTGCGATTAAATCCCACAGATACCCAAGTATTCATATGTAAATTCTTTGTGGCAGGACGTGTCAAGTTTCTAGCTTTTGCAACTTAGTACTGGGAGTCATTTTTGTAGAAAATAATTAATTGGTTGTCATTAACGTTGATTTGCTGAATGCTGAAGGCAATTTTAAAGTAGAGGGTGGTAAAAATGAACCAAACTTTCCTAATCCCCAAGAACTTCTATCCTTTCCTATTTCTTTATAGCCGAAAAATGAATCCTTTAAGAAACTTAACCAACTTGCCTTTGGAAGTTCTTATTTTAATATTTAAGGAGCTGCCAAGTCTGAATGAGCAAATTCCTCTGGCTCAGGTTCATCCGCATATCGGATTGGCATTCTTTTTGCACAATAAGCAAAGGTATAAAGATATCAACATTTTCTTCTTGGATGCTGACGAATTATCGGTAGTCCTTCCTATTTGCGGATCAAGCGTGATAAATGTATACAAACATTCTTGGAAATCAGCTGTGATGTGCGACACTAAACTAAAATTGTTGGAACAGCATTGCACCAACCTGGAATCCATAGAGCTTAAGGTTACGAAGGAAAATATTAACGGCGTAAAATCGTTGCTGACTAAAGTAAGAAGCCTGATATCAATTAACTTAGAAACAGAACAAGAAGTGGAAAATCATGTGGGGATTGTCGAACTACTGAAGTTGCAACCAGGTTTAAGAAGTCTGAAGTTAAATAATTTCTGGGGCGATGAGTGTAAGGAAACATTGAATGATTTTCTACTATGATGTAAGTCTACCGATTTCTTATGTTTTCCAGTATTTAAAGTGCGAAATTTGGTTGATTTGGAGGAGCTGAAAATAATAAATAGGTGGGATGATATTCTCAACATTCATGAGCTATGCTATCCCCTTAAAAAACTTCGAAAGCTAAAGATGATATGCATGGCCTTTACTGCGTCGGAAGAATTTGAGGGAGCACCTTGTCCAGCCCTAAGGGAACTCCATCTTCTTGTCTGGGATTATTTGTTTTTGAAAACGCAATGTCTGAGCACCCCTGCCTGTCTAAAATGGATTCAGAGCCATGGCGAGATACTGGAGGTTTTGGTTTTAGACTTAAATTTTGCGTTGTGTAAAAAAGATGTAGTCAGCCAACAAGATATTTGCAAAATATTAAGCGAATGCAGAAAATTACGCTCTTTTCACATGGAATTATTGGCAATGGATTCCGACATTGCCCATCGCATAGTTAAAATTGTTTCGGAAAACGGGGTGACTTCCGAAGAGCGACCGCTGGAGCTGTATTTTCATGATAACGAAGTTCACGACCAAATTAAAGCAGCGGTAAGTGATATAATTAAATATGTTTTTTTTTGTAATCTTAATAATTAAATAATAAAATAATGTATTCTTTTGCAGATGGCTAATACTTCAGCAAAAAATATATTCACTTTTAAGGACACTCTTTTATGTATACTTAAGAAATTAAAAAAATAAAATAATGTATTTATTTGCAGCCAAAAATATATTCACTTTTAAGGAAACTCCTTTATGTATACTTAAGAAATTAAAACAGATACCTTAGAAAATGTTTTTGTGCTGCATAAGTTTTCAATATTCTATTTAATTTTGTTTTTTTTTCGTTTCCAAATAACTCTTGTAACTATTATAAGCTCTGACAAATATCATCAAAGAAATTACCTAAAATTTATGTTCAATATACTTTTTAATGATATTTTCCCATTACTTTTTAATACTTTCATCAATACAATTGTGTCATGCTATAACCTAAACCCATATCAGCATCGTAGTCACAGTTTGTTTTAATGTCATTTTTCTGTCTGTACGAGAAGCACCGAATCGAGCTTTACGAATTCTTAAAAACTGGTATCCCTAACTATTTATAGCCGGAAAATGAATCCATCAAGAAACTTAACCGACTTGCCGCTGGAAGTTCTTGGTTTAATATTTAAGGGTCCATTCTGGTTAGTTGAAAAAAAAAAATCGAATTTTTTGTTTTTGCATTTTTTGATAGCTTTAGGTGTCTAGAATATCATACTAAAAGGGCAAATCGAAATACGTAATAGTTTAAAAGTTATGAGCCTCCGAACCGGCCGACTCAAAGCAGTTACAGAGGAAACATAAAACTTTAAACGCGTTTTCTGGAAAACTACATTTTTCGAGCTGGCGACCATAATATCTCCGCCAATTTTTAATGAATCTTAATGAATTTTTTTTTAAAATACGCGTAATTAACGTGTCCATGGAATAGGCTACAATTATATTGATAGCTCAAACATTGGATTTTTAATCAACAAAAAAGTGAAGAAATTTTTCAAAAAAACGAAAAAAATTTTTGAGGCGCCGCCATTTTCTTATTTTTTATTCAATTTTGAAAAAAGTAGCCTATTCCATAACCACCTTAATACTAAACAAGAACATATTTGAATTTTTTGTTTCAGTCGATTTTTACGTCCTGCAGGATGGTCGCCAGAGGGGTGCCTTTTTTGGGCATGGGCTTACGTCGCCCTGTGTCCTGCTTCAGGACATGCTCTACAAATTTTTGAAAATTTTGCTAAATAATCTTTTAACTATGATAAAAATATATGACAAGTTTGAACTTTCTATGTCTTTTCGTTTGTCCACAAAAAATTTCTGAAAATGACCTATTTTTTGGCCCAACTAACCAGAATGGACCCTTAAGGAGCTGCCAACTCTGAATGAGCGAATTTCTCTGGCTCAGGTTCATCCCCATATCGGATTGGCTTTCGCTTTCCACAATAGCAAAAGGCTTCAGAAACTCAAAATTGCTTACTTGAACGTCAAGGAGTTGTCGGTAGTCCTGCAACTTTGCGGATCAAGCGTGAATCATATTGATGGGTCCATTGTGTTGTGTGACGAACTAAAATTGGTGGAACAGCATTGCCCCAACCTGCAATTCATAGAGCTTGTTGTTTCGAATGAGAATCTCAATGGCATAAAATCGTTGCTGACTAAAGTAAGAAGCCTGATATCAATGACCTTGAACACAACCCCAATATGGCATCGTTTGGGGATTGTGGAACTACTGAAGCTGCAACCGAGTTTAAGGAGACTGCATTTAAGGAGATTTTGCGGCGAAGAATGTAAGAATACATGGAATGAAATTCTAATATAATGTTGGTCTATCGATTTCCTTTGTTTTCCAGTATTTGAAGTACGAAACTTGGTTAACTTGGAGGAGCTAATAATTGACTATAGCTTGGATGAAAGTTTCAACATACATGTGCTGTGCTATCGCCTTAAAAAACTTCGAACGCTACACGTTCAATGCCTCAGCTTTACTGTTTCAAAAGAATTTGGGAAAGTAGCTTGTCCGGCCTTAACAGAACTCAAACTATGTAATCCGGGTTTTGGCTGGCAAGCTTGGAGGACCAGTGCCCGTGACATGTTAAGATGGATTCTGAGCCATGCCGAGACCCTGGAGGTATTGCATTTAAGCTTAAGGATACCATATTATGAACCAGATACAGACACTTGCGAAATATTATCCGAATGCAAAAGATTACGCCATTTTTACATGCCAATACGCACAGGGAATTTCGACTTTGCCCATCGCTTAATTGAGATTGTTTCGGAAAAAGGGAAGCCGCTGGAACTAGATTTTGATAATAATATGGTTCATGACCAAATTCGAAAATTGGTAAGTGGTAATTTAAATTTATTAGGAATTATTAAGTAATAAAGTTATGTATTTATTGCAGATGGACAAAACTGCAGCTAAGCATTTAATTACTCTTGGGGACCATTATTATTTTTGATAAAATATACCATATACCTACTTGTTGAATACTAAAGGAACTTAATAAACATTTCAATATCTTAGAAAATGATTTTTTGTGTGGATATCTTAAATCTTAAACTTATTTATTTTAATTTTTATAAGAGACTAGCTTAAAAAAATATGGTAATTTTAGCATTTAGCATTTCACCATTAGATGCATTAGCATTTTATGTTTGTGTTCAATTCCATTGTTTCAATAGATACAAAAGTTAAAGGAAAACTAGGATTAAGAGAGATGTGAGAGAACGGTCACTAAACAACTGATCTTATTGTGAAATAAGGGAAAACTAACAAGAATAATCGTTTAAAAATAATATAAGAGAACTCACATCAACAGTAATTTTTGTTTGTACCAAAAGTTACGTTAAAAAATAACCCTTTCAATTTTGAAAGGCTTTCCATAAACTTGTCACATCGCCTAAAAGTTTCTTTTACATGTCTTGTGACTGCATTCACTTTCAAGATAATTTTTAATGACATTTCCCATTAAATTTGAATACTGCAATCAATAAAATGGTGTCCCCTTATACCTTAAACCCATATCACCATCGTAGTTACAGGTTTTTTATGACATTTTCTGTCTGTGCAAGAAGCCAGGCGGAAAATTTGTTGGCCCATAAAAACCTGAAGCCAACCAAAATTATTCATAGTTATCACTTGACTCAAAAAATGTTGAGATTATGTGGGTAAAATAATTTTGCACTGTCACAAGAATGAATATTTTGAAATTTTGTTTTTCAACCTCTAACTTTGGAATTTATAATAAGAATTTCAAACTCAAAATTATTTCACTTATTCTCACACAGGTGCAAAAAAGACAGCTTTATTAATTTAAAATTTGATTGTAAAGGATTAAACAATATAATTTCGCCATCGCTTGAAATTATATGTATGTATATATAGAACAGGTGAAAAATCCTATAGATTTTTTCTCAATAAATATTCGGCGGGGTTTTCCTCCCGCCAGGAACTATCGAATTGTTCAAACTCATTAACTGATTTCACTTCCTTTTTCTTGGTTTTTGTATCATCGCCACCGGCACATAGCTCCTCAGGGATTTCAGAACCCGGGAAAAGACAAGCATCCTTCTGATCTATCTTCTTGTCGCACTGCTCCATAATTTCCAAGTTGTCCAAGTTTTCCAAATTTCTTGCATTTTTATTAAGTTTGTTTGGGTTTCCGGCGCAAAAACAGTTGTAAATTTTTTGAAGAGTCTTCAGACGATCATCGATAATCGGTTGCTTCCACATATACAACTTGGGCATAGTGAAGAGCAACACGAGAACTAAATAAAATAAATATATATAAATTTAATATAAAGAAAATATTAAAAGACTTGATGCTTACCCCATCGGAGCAGAGTGGAGACGTAAAACAAATGCCCCACAAGGCTCATGCCAGCCATAATGGCCAACCACTTGATCGTTTCCAAGGGCTTCTCCAAGAAAGCTACCGATCGGAAATTGTTAAAAAATCCACAGACTTTGGTCGCAATAAATTGAGACAACTGCTGTGACTGTTGCGGTGTAATGCTGAGATCCAAATCCAAGTACTTCTGGAAGGGATTTCCCCGAATCTGGGTCCTATTCAGGCACTGCAGGCACCACACATAGATGCGGTATCCCACCGAAATCCACAAGAGTATCTGACCGGAGACACTCACCACACTGATTAGCGACTTGTGGGTGAGATCGTACAGCAAAGCCTGAAGTATAACGAATATCAGGAGAGACTTGCGCCAGTTGTGCCAAAGAATCAATTGTTTGAACTCCTTGCGGATGCAAACTCTGCCTTGGGAATTATCCTGGTTCGCCTCCTTTGCGCGAGCAGAGTTCGAAAGTGAGTTCGGATCTGTGGCCATGTTTTTTGTAATTTTTGTTTTAAATTGAATTTTAGAGATTAGACAAGGCAATGTCGAGTTCAGCTTAGTCGGGGTGCCAATGACTTATTTACTTGGCTGAGTTCTATGTGGGTTTAGTTAACCAAGTCAAAGGTGACTTGATTGTAGATTTTATAAATTAAAACTTAGATTTCTAGTCTGATATCGAAGTTTAGTAATAACTAAAGTAACCTTTTTGTATTTCTTTATATAATTTTTCTTACAGAAATGTCGTAATCCGAAATCTTTATATCTCAAAAACCTTTAAACTCTAAAATGTCAAGAGCATGTGTTACTAGGTGGTAGCACCACCTGCTTATGACTTGACTAAGGGTGTAGAGAACCCACAAAAATACGCTGAAATATTTATAATAAATGGGACACAATCGGCGTTGGTTTGGTGGTTGAGTTGGTAAAGAGTTACTCTCTGGCTTGCCGCACACACAAATTGTGGTTTCCTTTATGTTATTCCCATTTTTGCATATAATTTATTTTAAATTATTGTTTTTTTATTTACTTTAAGCCTTTTGCTTTGTGTTTTCTGCAATTTGTTCTACATTTTTATTGATTTCAACTGGTTTTTATATTTTTAATTAAGTTTTTATTGTTGAAAAAAGTTTTTTAATATTTTAATTACTAAATATACATTTTATTTAATTAAATTACACATTATTCTATACCCTCTTAAATTATCTTTAAATAAAATTTTTTATTTAAAAAATCTTTAGGATTCTTATATTTTTTAAAATTTATTTTATATTTTGTGTCCCACAACTCTGGTTTATTGCAGAAAATTTTCAAGTATTTTTAATTCATTTTGAATGATTTTCAATACCACTATATCACAGCTTGTTCCCCCGTTTGATCCGAACCGTCAATGGGTTCCTTTGTCGCAGGGTTTCAGGCAAATAATTTTGGCCCAAGGTGTGACCAACGCCTATTGAGAGGATTTTTATTTTTTGTCAACGACACTCAGCCTTCTGTCCACACTAACTCAATCGTTTCTCGATTGATTTGTCAAAGGCATTACGCTAATATTTTAGGCAAATACTGGCAAAACGGGCACTTGCTCATTGGCGTCAAAATGACATCAAGTGGTTTCACTTTTCCACCCTCAAGATACCACAAAAGAAAGAAATATTAATGGGGTGAGTGGGTGAAGGGAAATGACTTTGGGATTTGTATTTTTAGAACTCGAATAAAAATGAACGAAATTAGATATTTAAAATCTTTTGAATTTTTTTTACATTATTTATTTATTTATTAATATAAATATTCAAAATAATCTTATTAAAAATAAAAAGGAAAATAATGTATTAAACATTAAAAATTCATTTTTCTTACGTTAAGTAACTTTTAACTTCTAACCAATTTATTTGTTATTCATTTTATATTTTTCACCTCATCGTTATCTACAAATTCAATCTAAAACCACTTATTCCTAATATTTCTTATAAAAAAAAGTATCCCTACAGGAAATTAATATGCAAAGACTGGTATCTTTGTATTTACTTTAATTAAACTAAATTCCCCCAATGGAAAACGCATCAGGACATCAGGCATACAAATGCATTCTCTCACAGGATATTAGAATGTTTGACAAGTTGTCAATGCATCGTCAGCAACAGGCAAAGGACAAGCAGAAAATTGCCCAAGAAAATAACGTAACATTCATTTCGAATGTAAATTAAAACAAATACACATAAAATTACTTAAAATGGCAATGAGTTCATTTTGATCCTGTCAAAAATTCAAAGACACTGGCCATGGGAATGTAAATAAATATATATGAAATATTTTTTAGCAATGCCAGTATAACATGGGATTTAGGTGAAGAAATTGGAAGTTTTTAGGGGTTTTATTAGTTATTTATTAAGAAGAGAGGGTAGAGAGTTTAAAGTTGATCCAGTATAAAACAACAAACTTATAAAACCAATTATAATAATTTAAAAGGAAATTCCATGCCTCCAAAAATTCAGAGTCTTTCACAGACTTTACAAGAAAATCTTTATTAATCTTAATATTTTCTTGAATTAAACCCATGTCATACAGGCATAAGATTTTAAATACATCCACAGGCCAGCAGAAAATCTCAGCAAAATATTCTTCTTTCAAGCCGATAAAGTTGTCATATGATTGTTCGACCGTCTCACTACTTATTCCCATTCGACTTCTTTAGGGGGGGCAGCGACAACGACAAAATGCCAGGAATTTCTTGTATTAAAATCGAAATTGCCATGGGCAGGAATCAACCCCAGCAAATGGACAATTGTATCACTCTGTGAATGAGGGGATGAGTTGGTTATTCCAGCCGCCGAACCACTGTCTGAATTCATGGGGCTCTGTCCTTACAGCTGTCAACATGTTTAATTGAAACTGACACTCAGTGTCATTTTATGGACATTGCCATGCGTTACCGTTACCTTAACTGTGGCTGTAATTCGACTTGGTTCAGTCTGTCCGATGGTCTTGATTATTTGAGGGGAAGGCATTCCAAAGGAGACGGCAGCTTCTCTACTCCCTATCCTTACTATACACTCTCCTTGTGTGGTATATTAGTTAAATTTATGTCCTTGAAGGAGTTGTGTGGGGATTTATACATATGATGTTAAGAGTTGCTTGTATTTTTTCTTAAGGATTATCTCTTTTAAAATTTTTGTCTAAAAAACAACCTATACACCCTTGAAAATATTCCCTTTATTAAACCCAACTCCTTACTTTCCCACCTTCATCACAGAAGATCTTTTGGCCCGGCTAACACTTGAATGATAATCCCCCCCAAAAGCCTGGGGAAACTGTAATTATTATTGCTAAGCTCAGTCGCCTTTTCCCTCGTCAAAAAAATACAAAAAAAAAAGTAGGAAGCGAGCCCTCATTTAATTGCAGACTAGCGCAAATACTCAAGAAATTTTTATGCAGGCAATTCGTATATTTTTTCTTGCTTTTTGTTTTTGGGGGAAAATGGGGAAAGCGACTCTGGCGACTCTTTTGTTTTCGTCACGGACGAGTGGCGAAAAGCAATCACAACGGCCCAGCAGCTCCTTGCCAGGAAAAGCAAAAATATCTTTCGCCACATTTCCTTATTTATTTTTGTGTGTTTTATTTTTCCTGTTGGGTTTTGTTTGCGCATTTTTCCTGGGCATCTTTTGTGTTATTGGTGAAATTAGAATTTCTCATTAAAATAAGTGTTGGCCGAGGAAGCCGCTTGACTTGAGACATTCAAGCGTCTCCCAGGGCAAGGTGCTCGTCCATGGCAATGGACTTAAGTCGAAGATTCCACATCTTTTTTCCCCCATTTTTGTTTATGCATGGTCACTCATTAGTTGAGCTTGGCATCTGAGTGACGTCGTCTGACATTTATAAATATATATATTTATGTATATATCTTTATTTGTTCGACTTGAGGAGAGTCTGAGGCAGGTCCTACTCTTACTTAGCTTCTCCCATTTCAAGTCTTAATGGCTTTTCTATCCAATTGTCTGACTTTCTTGTGAGTAATTAAAATGGCAACTCTTTTTCATTTAATATTTCATTTTTAAGGACCTTTTACCTCATCTTATTAATCTTCAAAAGGGGGTTATTAGAGGTCTAATAGGCTTAAAAACTGTTACACTTGGCGGTTATTTAAGGGTTAGCGAATTAAATGTGTCCTTTTTCTGGGAATATCAAGTCACGGCCTGCTTAACAGATTATATTCTTTAATGGATTTATGTTTTTATCGGGTTTGCTTTTTTGGTTTTTGTAGTTATTTGTTGGGTGATGCTTAAATTTTGTAAAAGGCGAAGCATTTTTAGACAAGACTTGCTGGTTTTTAGCCATAAACAACACTTGAAATATAAAATAGATATTTTTTGGGGGAAAAACTGAGTTTAAAATATCATTATTTAAATTTTAAAGATCAATGTTATCGATAAAATATTTTAATAAATTTAATTTATTTATTTTTTTCTTTGATTTTAGTTTAAAAACCGTGAAATAATTATTTTATTATTTATTTGTTCCATTATAAATATATTTTTATCGATTCATATATCGCAATCGATTAATTTATTGATCTTTCATTTGAATATCGATCTAATATCGATAGACCCATATTTTCTGTCATTCCAAATTATAAAGTTTAACCTATGATAATATTATGAATTCTGTATTAAGAATTATACTTTATTTTCCAAAAAATAATTTAAAAAAATTCTTAAAATAAGAGTTACAATTACACAAAGAACTTTTGGGTTTCATACTTTAATTATTTTTATTTTTTATTTTTGCAAACTTTTGTATAGTTTCTTTTCATTACATCAAATAAGGCTTGACTTTTCTCCACAAAACTATATCTGTGCATTTTGTTGAACATAGTTGGTACCTCTCTCCCCTTTTTGTTGACTAAACTTTTCGATTGTCCAACTCGAGGGCCACCCTGACCACACTCAACACACAACACAAAACACACAACACACAACATACAGGCACTGGCACACACCACATGCATCCGCAGATGTTTGATAGGAGCGGCACAACATTGTTGCTACTTGGGAGTTTGAAGTGCCCGGCAAAAGTTTGAGCTTTGAACTTTTGGCTTGTTACATTCAAGTGGCTGCCATGTATAAATGTTTGGCTTTCAGTACCGCAAAAACTTTATGCAAAACACAAGCACAGAAAACTTTACTTGACTGAATATGGGCGAACTGTTTTTGCTGGTTTCAGGTTACAGGTTTCTCTGTTTCTGTATTTTTCTGTTATTGTCTCTGCGGTTACTGTGTGTTGTGTGCTGCTGACAAGCTTTCCCCCTATTTCCTAGTATAGATAAAATACAATTTCCTTAAGCAATTTTTGTTTTAATTAATTCTGTATTACTCTTTTTCTCTCTACATTTACGTGCCTGGAATTCCTTGCCCTTTAGCTTCTGTTGAATGTTCTTTAGCAAAGCAAATTTCGACCCCCAGAGGAACTGCATTTAATTTTTTCCTTTCCCTTGGCCAATTTCTGCTTCATTTCTTTGTTTGCTGTGCAGTGTAATTAGCCACCACCTTCTGACCAGGACAGTACAAGACCATCTGCAGATGGTTCTTTTTATTTTTGGTTTTGTATTTTTTAGCATAAAAGAGTTTAAGTTGACATTTTGCAGCCATAGTTTGTAATTTTCTTACCCCTTTTTTTCTGCCAGCATTTTACTTGGCTTGTTTTGTTACTCAATTTCCTTACTAATTTCTTGCTTTGTGCATTTTACTTGCAGACTGTCTAATTACATTAACATTTTTGTTTTTTGTATTTCGGTTACGAAATTTGCAGTTGACATTCCATTGAGTGAGGTAAGTTTTATTCAAGAGATTTTTCTTTAAATTTCTTTAAGGTTTTTGGAAAATATATAGAAAATTCCAAATAAGCTTGAAATTCAGAGAGCTACTTCTTTATTTTCTTTAAGGTTTTTGTAGATATAAAAAATTCTAAAAAAAAATACCTAGTATCTCCCTTGATTAAGCTTAAAATCTCAGTCACTTGAGACATTTAAAACGATTGCTTTTTTTTATGTTAACTTTATTACAAGCACACATGTTCGTTGTATCTCGAAGCCGAATATTGTAACACGTGATTCAATTTCGTTGATCAATTTTAATTGATTGCTTCAATTGGTTTTTCTGTGTAAAAAAGGGCTTTCCCTCCATGCAGACTTTTATGTACAAAAGCCACTTTATATGCAGTTTGTTATTTTTGTATTGCTTTTTTTTTCTTTTTATTGGCGCCGATTTTTATGCGTTTTTAATGTGTGTGGAGCAGCTACTCCTTTTACTCGCCTGTAATTCGATTCTGTAAATGTATTTGTGTTTTCAAAAGGGATTTTTATGTGTTTAGTTTATGGCAAAAAGGGCTCCGGCTTTGCCTTATACAGATCGTTAAGTTTTCCGATTTAATGCTACGCTTTCCACTCGAAGGGGTGTGGGTGTGTGTGCCTTAAAGTATGCCACACTAATTAGCATATGCAGCTTATCGCGTGGCACAAGGGGCACCATCCATTAGCCATTAGCCCAAGGTACAATATTGACATAATCGACTTTCAGCTGTGCCACCCCGGCGACACAATTTAACCACAAATGAGGCTTGGCCGTAGGGCAATGTCACCAACGCCGATTACTTCAAAGTCCACCCACTCTCCTTGCGTCACAGAAATCTCCAAAACCCCAGGAGCCGCAGCTCACCTCAAACAACCACAATTTGGAGGCGGTGGCTGGGCATTTGTTTCCAAAATTTCCTATAGGTATGAGGTGTCCGGTTTACTTAACTTGAAACAATGAGAAATGTGAATTGACCGGAGAATGCGTTGAGGTAAACCACATTTGGTTGTAATATCGGAGGAGAGCTAGGAGCTGGGGAGTTAAAGTAGTTGAAGGACAAAATATTGTATTGAAAAAGATTTTGAAAGAATTCCTAGCTTAAACAAGAAAATAAGACCCTCTTCTTACATAATTTTAAACACAAAATATTTCAAATTAATTATTTTAAGTACTTTATGCTTTTATTACTAGTTTATAGGTTCCTTTGTTATCTTCGAGTTGCTTTTCTTTGTTGTAAAAAATATATAGTAAAAAAATACCTAGCTTTTACAAAAAATTAGACTTTCTTGTTAGTAAAATTCATATTTTTCAACGTAAAAAATGTCTAGTTAATTATTAGGCTTTTATTATTAATTATAAGTAATCTTTCAGTTGCTTTGCTAATTAATAAATAATTTATAGTAAAGAATAACTTATTTATAAAAGAAAATAATACCTCCTTCTTAGTAAAACTCATATTTTTCAACGTAAAAAATGTCAAATTAATTATTTTAAGTACTTTAAACTTTTATGTTAAAGGTTAAAGGCTTACCAAATTAACCAATAAACTATTTCTAAATGTTAACCCAAAAATTAAAATAGAACAGACCCCAATATTCCTAATCCTTTTCTTACCCGAAAAAATTTGTAACCCGAAACACACTTACTCTCCCAACTTCCATTATAATTAAGAATTCTGGCCTCAGGCTACTAAAAGTATTAAACAACGCCGTGAATTATGCTACGCCATAAACTTATGCATGATGTACAGATGCCTGGACATTAAAAATGTTTGTAAATGAAAACTGCCGGCCTTTCCTCAGCAATAAAACATTTCTGCATAAAGTGGATAGGTCCCTGGACCTGGATTTTATATCGTTTTAATGAGCAAGCAAGGACACCGTGAAGATCTGTGCATTGAGATAGATAAAAATATGACAGCTGATACTAAAAAGGGAAGGACCACGCACCGAGAGAGAGAATACTCATCATAATTAAAGCCGCGGGGTTGGCTCGCGCAATAAAAGCCTCCGAAGGATTCATATGGATAATTAAGTTATGGCGGGTGCCAAAAGATGAAGGGTTACAAATCCAATAAAACAATCGTAAAATCCTTGGACGAGCACTCAACTTTTGAGGAGCATGTTCCAAAGGCGAATATTTTAATTTTTGAGATGAATTAGAAAAAGAAAAGGGGTTGGTCATAAAACCCACAAGCTATATAATTTGTTTATTAAGTTTACTTTTTTAATTTAGTAATTTTATAGTTTTTTTTAAAGTCATCTGTTTCTTTTCTTCTATATAATCTAAAAATTTCTAATTATTTTTAATATGTTTTAAGTAAGAGTTGGTTTTCAACTGGTACTGATTCAAACCTTTCTTCCTTCTCTGATATAGTAACCAAAACCCACCTCAAATTTAACCCCCGAGTTCAATAATCTTGAAACCCCTTTTATTCCCTGCCTGCTCTTTGATATGCCAGAAAACCATATCAGTTGGCAGATAGAACCAACTTTTATGTGCTTGTTAACAAAAGCGTGAAATTCAATGCCCGGCACGAGATGCAGAGTATAAAAATATATAAATGAAAGAACAATTTACGACACTGCGAATTAAACTTGATTTTTATTTAAATAAATTGCATTTTATATGCTGGCCCCCTCCGCTCTCGTCCTTGGTTGCCAACGATAATAAGCAGGCAACGCTCGTAATTTGCACCGGAATTCAATGGGTGGATAATGGCAAGATATGAGGGTTTTCCCCAGGATATAAAGGGGGCAGACTGAGAGACGACTGCTTTATGCATTTTTATTTATTACAGCAGCAGGAAATGTTTGTTGATTTTCCGCTGCTGCTCGGCTGGCACAATAAAAATCATCGCCAGCCAGAATTTATTTTCTAGACGAACGCGCCGAGCTCCATTCGAATCACATAAAAAAAATGAGCAGGCAGAAAATACTTCCAAATTGTACAGGGTATGTATTTTTTTTTTGTTATTTATATCATTAAAAACGGAAAAAGTACGTCGCAAAAGAACGCAACCAATTTGAATAGCAGCGAGTGAAACGAATTGATGAGGTCGTGTGCTTAACGTGAGTGTTGTGGGAGTTTGAATAATACTTACATTTAAAAAGAAGTGAAGAAAAGTGTAGAAAAATTAATATAAAATATATAAAATATTATATAATTAACTATTTAAAATATATATTACGATATATAATACAATAAATAATAATAATAATATTATATATATCACATATTAACAATTCATCAAATATTCATCAAGAAATCATCGACAATTCATTAACAATTCTTAAAATATTTATTAACAGTTCATTAAATATTCATCAACAAATCATCACCTATTCATCGTCTATTCATCAACAAATCATCACCTATTCATCAACAATTCGTCAAAAAATTATCACCAATTCATAGACAATTCATTAACACTTATAAAATATATAAATAATTAATTTTTAGAGATATTATTGCAGTGAGGTAAGCCACTATCTCTTATAATTATTTATTTATATATATTATATACTTTAGTATTTATTTTATATTTTATAAAATTCCCAATTAAGAATTTGGGGTTATTATCATAATTTTTATTTAGTACAAATCCCATCTTTAATAAAACAAACACAAAGAACATCCCTTAGAAATTAGAATTATCCATTTATATCAGTAACAGAATGTTTATTACATTTTTTATCTCAATCTTCACAATAATTACAAATTTAAACTCCACGAAGAGTAGCTTTCAATTAGTTTAACTAATTTAACGCTTAATACTCACGGAATAACTCAATTTTCTTCACTCTACAAATAAATGGCTCCAGGGTTCGCAGGGTTATCATATAATTAAGCTTCAGCTTAACCTGTCGCTCGCACAGAGGCTCAAACTGATAGCTCCGAAGAAGATGGGCCAGGACCATCTTCATCATCACCATACCATAGCGCTGACCCACACAGCTCCGAGCTCCCTTCATGAAAGGTATAAATATAGAGGCATCGATCTTTGGCTCTGCTCCCCTGGCCCAGCGATCGGGATTGAAGACCAACGGATCAGGAAAGAAGTTCTTGCAGCGTCCCATGTAGAATGATGAGATAATGACATTGCTGCCTTTGGGTATGAAAAACTCATCTGTAATAGTTGGAAAAATACAGAAATAAAATTTACAAAGTGTCAAATGAGTCAACGATTTTGTAGAAAAACAAATATGAAAACTGCAAGCGTTTATTTTACTCTACGTAAATGACTTACTTATCCGAGTGTCTGAAGTGGCTTTCCTAGAAACGATAGGGGCCGAGGGATACATCCTCAATGTCTCCTTGACACATGCCTCGAGAAACTCCAGTTTTCGCAACTGATCTATGGAGATGGGTTCGCTTATGTCTTGGCCACACACTGACCACACTTCCTCCCTACATCGCGCCTGATGCTCCGGATGGAGAGTCATGTTGTACATAAAAAACTTGAGGGTGGTGGCCGTGAGATCGAAGCCCCCAAAGAGAATGGTATCCACCTCCTCTCGAATATCCTTGATAGTCAAAGGTTTGCCATCAGGATTCTTTGCCTGGAGCAGAGTATCCAGAAAGCAAAGAGTGGCCTTTCCTTCCTCCGTGCAATTGGAGTTCCGATTCTCTGTATCCTGTTGAATCACATCCCTTCGCTTTTGGATAATGTCCTGTGTAAAACCATGGAGGGTTTTCAGTAACTCCTCTTGACCCTTAAAATGTCTCGACTGGCGGTAAATGAATTTATTGTGGTAGAAGGGATTCTTAAGACGCGTATCGATGATATTCAGCATGCTTATAATGGGAAAATGTATAGGTATAAATAAAATTGTAACAAATTGTTTATAAAACAAGAAAGTGAACTCACTCCTTGACAGCATTGAGGAAGTCCGACCTCTCAGTCGCACCCACTGAAACCCCCAACGCCGCCTCACAAATGGTGTCCAAGGTGAAGCAACTGGCAAACTTGAGGAAATCCACCCCCTCTCCTGTTTCTGCATATTTCTCAAGCCTGTCCACAAGAATCCTCGACTGCTTATCGAAGGCAACCACACACTGCTTGATTATGGCATAGTTAAAGGCTGGATTAACAATCTTTCTGCGATGCATCCACTTGTCGGCTTTACTGGTGAAGAGACCTTGGCACAGCCAATCCTCGAAGACATTGTATTCATCGGTCTTCTGCAGAAGCTGCTGGGCACTGCACAAGGCCTGAATATCCTTGGGGTTACAGTCCAGGAGATAGAGCCTAGTGCCTACCCAAAATTTTCCACGATGATCGGCCAGGTGGGTGGAGATAATCTTGGAGATGCGACGAAACGGATGCGGTCCCACTGCCTGAGCCAGGATGTGAAGGTGACCAAAAGGGAGCAATGCCGGCGGACTCGGCCAGTTGTGTGTGAGCCGGTCAAGCCTGGTCTGATTTCTGAAGATATACAGCAAGTACAAGAATATGCAGATCACCAGGATACCAGCGGCGAACCAGAACATTGCTAGGGGTGTACTGGATAAGAACTGTCTGCCGGCGATGTAACACCAAGCGTTTTAAGCCTCGCACAATTTGAGCTCAGAGTTCAGACAGTCTGTGAATAACGATGTGGGTCACTGCTGTAAAAGTGGGTCATATGTATAACACCTAATTAAATGGCTAGAAAAGTATAATAAATTAGAGGAACTTGGGACTGAAAAATTAGAGTATTCTCAGCAATGAAGCTAAAATAGAACAGTTAAATATTGGGACTATAATATATGCCAAGATCGTACATGTTTGATCTTACTATTTTAGTTTCTAGATTTAAATTACTAAGCTGAGGTAAATGTCTTTGTGAGAGCTACACTTTATCCTTTGCCAAAGAGATAGTGTTCCTATTTCGGTCTTAAGGCTCTAACTAGCTCAACAAATTTACCACTTTTCAGGGCTAGATAGACTCGTCTAGTGATCATTTTTAAAAACATTTGTACTTTAGTATTTTCCCCTTAGAATTCTATAATTTTTGTTTATTTGTAGATATTATTATTAACATTAGTAGCCAAGAAATTAATGGCCCAGATCTTCACAGTCAATTTTCTTGAGCCTACAAAGATACGGCTTTATGGTGTGCAGGGTAATCACCAAGTGAAGCTTCAACCTCACTTGCCGTTCGCCCAAAGGTTCAAACTGATAGCTACGTAAAAGATGAGCCAGGACCAACTTGATCATCACCATTGCATAGCGCTGACCCAGACAACTCCTGGCACCCTTCATAAAAGGTATAAATGTGGAGGCATCAATCTTAGGCTCTGCTCCACTGGCCCAGCGATCCGGATTGAAGACCAACGGATCAGGAAAGAAGTCCTTGCAGCGTCCCATGTAGAGTGGCGAGAAGACCACATCGCTGCCTTTGGGTATAAAAAACTCATCTGAAAAAGGAGTAAAAAATATATTTTAGATATACTAAACCACAATTAAGAGTTACCTACTAATCTGACAGTCTTCCATGGCCTTTCTGGCAGTGACTGGACCCGAAGGATACATCCTTAATGTCTCCTTGACACATGCCTCAAGGAATTCCAGCTTTCCCAACTGATCTATGGAGATGGGTTCGCTTATGTCTCGGCCACACACTGACCACACTTCCTCCCTACATCGCGCCTGATGCTCCGGATGAAGAGTCATGTTGTACATAAAGAACTTGAGGGTGGTGGCAGTGAGATCGAAGCCACCGAAGATAATGGTATCCACCTCCTCACGAATATCCTTGACAGTCAAAGGGTTCCCTTCAGAATCCCTTGCCTGGAGCAGAGTATCCAGACAGCAAAGAGTGGTCTTACCCTTGTCCAACTCTGCATTTTCCATGCAATTGGAGTTCCGATTCTCTGCATCTTGTTGAATCTCATCCAATCTCTTCTGGATAATCCCCTCCGAGAAGCCATGAAGGATTTGTAGTAACTCTAGTTGCCTCTTGAAATGTTTCGTTCGGCGGAAAATAAACTGGCTTCGGTAGAGGGGATTCTTGAGACGCTTATCCAAGATCACCAGGATTCTATAGTGATATTTAGACAAAAATTAGTTTAAAATAAATTAGAAAGATAAACGAAACTCACTCCTTGACCGCATTGAGGTAATCCGACGTCTCATCCGACTGGGCACCCACTGAGACCCCCAAAGCAGTCTCACAAATGGTGTCCAAGGTGAAGCAACTGATAAATTTCAAGAAATCCACCACCTCTCCTGACTCTGCATATTTCTCAAGCCTGTCCACAAGAATCTTCGATTGCTTCTCAAAGACAACCACAAATTGCTTGATCATGGCATAGTTAAAGGCCGGCATGATGATCTTCCTGCGATGCATCCACTTGTCGGCATTACTGGTGAAGAGACCCTCGCTGAGATAATCCTTAAAAACCGCATAATCATTGGTCTTCTGCAGAAGCTGCTGGGCATTGCCCAAGGCTTGAATATCCTTGGGGTTACAGTCCAGGAGATAGAGCTTGGTGCCTATCCACAGCTTTCCACGATGATCCTTCAGGTGGTTGGTAATCAGATCGGTGGCATTGCGGAACTGCTTCGGTCCCACCAACTTGGCCAGGATGTGAAGGTGGCCAATGACGGGCAACGAAGGCGGACTGGGCCAATTGCGGGTGAGCCGGTCTAGCCTGGATTGGTTCTCAAAGACACGCAGCAGGTATAGGAGACCGGCTAGGAGACCCAAGTAGAACCAGAACATTGCGTTGGCTGCTGTAGATATCAACTGCCTGCCGTCGAAGTGGCATCAAGCGTTTTAAGCTGAACACACAGGCTAAGATCAGACTATAGGTCTGGGTCACCAACACCATCAACAGGGGTCAAAAAAAAAAAAAACGGGGCCATAAAAAGGGTTACACTTGGAAAAATAGCATGGTGGTAAGAGGATTTTACAAGAGATTTTAGGAATTTATTTTATGATTTAGTTTTGAGTTTTTTAAGTGAATATTAGACATTTTTTTAAAACATTTTTAATGGGAATTTTATTTTTATAAAATTCTGCTTTTTATTTATTTTGAATTTATAAAGGTTTCTTTATATCAATCCTTCTGGTAGTTATAGTTGTAGTTTTTTAAATATATTACTTTTGTATGTTTTATATTTTTATATATTAAATTTTTTAATGTTCCAACACATTTATAAATTTTTCTTTATTTTTTTCAAGTGCAATTTTTTAACGATTTCTCACTTCGTTGTGCATTATTGTGCAATGCACCGATTAAGAGCAACTGTCGCCTCGACAGCGTTGTTAAGACTGCGAATACTTATTTATAAGAAATTCGTATAACCAAATATGTATATTATAAGCATATTCAAATCGATGGGGTTTTTGAATTTGAAGTGACTCTTTTTTGTTCGCCCACAGGCAGTATTTGTACTTGAGATCGATCAAGCAGCGGAGATGTAAACAAAACATTAAGAATCTGAACTTACTATATGCAAAACGAATGCTGAATACTCTAGTCTGGCTAAAATTAGTCTCGGGAATAATTACAATAGTAACCTTAAAATAAAGAAACCTTATGTACACAGCTTAAAGTCTTCATTAAGTTTAAAATAAATCTGCAAATATTACCTTTGAGCTTTGTTTTAAAGGTTTAGAATTTCACACAAGCATTAAGCTTGCTTGCCACTTTGTCTGAATTTTATTTGCTAAATTATAATTCCAATTGTTTTTCGCTCGATTGCATACCAATTTCATAAGGCTCGTAAAACTGAATGGATGGATGAGATTGAGACGACACCACCCAGATCGTTGGGTGTATACGTGCGGGGAAATTGTGATTTAAGTTAATTTGTAGGATCCTCGATTTAGTATTTACCTTGAATAAACAAAATATAAATTATATAATAATTAAGGAAGACATTTTTCTTATCCGGTTAAAGATATATTATAAAATATTTATTATTTAAAATGCTTATAAAGCCTTTCGTTTGAATACGATAGGTGTTCCAAAACAATTTTTTTTTTTTTTTAATTTAGATTCAATAAATTCATAATTAAATATTTAATTGTTTATTTATAGGGACAAGGCAATTATAAATATATTAAAAATTATATTAAAAAAGTGCATTAACCTTGGATAAAAATGATTAAATATTATCTAAATTGCTTTTAAAGATTTTAGTGTGTTCCAAAAGAATGTTTTGTTTAATTAACAAAATGTTGATAAAATAAATGTATAATTAAATATTAATTTGCTTATTTATCGACACTAGATATTTATAAAAATATTACAAATTATATAACGCTTGTTGGTCCTGATGATAATAGTAAAAAATAATTTTTATATTGAAATCAAAAATTAAAAAAAAAACATAACTTGACCTAAAAGCATTAATTTTAAATTAAAGAATAAAATATAAAATATTTAAATAACATTTTTTAAAACAAATATTTATAATTAAAGAGTGTTTAAACAAAAAAAAAGAAATATATATAAATATTCAAAGAATTAAAAACAAATAAACTACGCAAATATCTATCTTCAATGGGCTTCTCACAAAAATAAACAAACCGTTCATCAGATTTATAAATAATATAATTTCTGCTTTATTGTCATTTATTACGCATAGAACAAACATTCATTATGGGAACTCTTTTTCGATGGTAAATTAATACACTTCTCGTGAGTCTGTGTCTGTTGTTGGCTTTCCTCTCGACCAACTGTCATTCAATTCAGTTTTCATTTCAAATAGTGCAAACAAACCAGCATAAAAAAATCCCCCCTGCCTCGTGTTTACACTAATTAACACGAAATAAAAGTTAACAGTCGAAACAAAAAACAATAATAAAAAAAAAACAATAAGAGAGCAAGCATAATTGTAATTGCAACGGATGGGGGACTGGGGCTGAAAATAATATTTGCCTTTATTTTTTTTACTTGCAATGCATATGCATTTCCGTCACTGTAAAATTGTATTAAAGCAAACTGGACAAGTGACATAAATATGAGTTTAATTAAAATTGTTTTAGTTAGTTCAGATTTCACATTTAATGGCACTTCAATTGAAGTTCTGGCAAATACGTTAATTAAGTGCAGATATGTATGATTTATACTAATTAGAGGATATTGACGTTGACTTTGTATTAAAAGGATATATTATGGTCTAAAGTTAAAGGGAAAAGAGTTTATATTATTTTTGTTAAACATTTAACTCTTCTGCAACTCCTATACAATTCAAATTCAATGCCTTGGCCTAATCGCAACTGCCATTCAATGCCACTAATCACAACTAACTGGACAAAGTACCAACACAATAGCCCTTTTGAAGTCGTAAGCGAAGCCGAACAATTGCTTTCGCGTAAATTCCTTTATCTAATGGATGCCAATAAACAGCAATGTACACTCACTCTCTCTCCACACACAGGCCTGGCCAGTATTATGCGGTTTATATAGTATAGGTTTGCAGCTGACAGGACCAAGAACATTGTCTCAAATACAAAATTAAAAGTGATGCGCGGTCAAGGAAGGAGAAGTCTTGGCTTAGATTCGGGGAAAGGTTGGTTTCCAGAGGTGAAAATGGGAAATAAGGCAGTTTAAACTAATTTGAAATTATGCAGGAAAGTGTTAAGAGTCCTTTGAAGGTATATTTTATATATACTTCAAGAAAAATGGTGGCAATATTATAGAAATATATTATTATAAATATATATTAAATTAAATTAAATATATTTTTAATGACCTACCTTTTATTGAATTTTGAATATTCAAAATAGTAATAAAATAATTTAAATATTAAAACAAGGAACCCTAAATAAAATTCTAAATATTTTATCTAAATTTTATGACAAGGAAGAAACATTTTCTTCTATATTTCTTTCTATATTTTCTTAGTTAAAATTCTATCTTAAACTTGTATATTTCCTTTGTTATTATCCCTCTTCCTTAGAGTATATATCCTTCGAATTCCTGATGATACGATTGTCCCCTCATTATTGTTGTTTGTGGGCATTGGTGTTCTGTAATTAAACTGCATATTATCAGCCACGAGACACACACATACTGTAACACACAAGCACTCTGAACCCACACTTAACCCACTTCCCCACACCCAACCCACTTCCCCACCCCTAGATATACCACATAATTATGCAGACATTTCCAAGTCCTAAGCGAGGTCAAGGAAAGGGGTCCGACCTGCCCAGCTGTCACTTTGTGTTCGGCTTTTGTGTAAAATTTAATTTGGCTACATTTAATTATTGTTTATGTATAAGCCCTTGTCCCTGTCGCTGCCATCGCATATTGTCATCTCTTATAAACAATGATAATTTGCCAAATGCAAGGCGATTGGCTAATAGATATCTTGAGTAGAGTATCTCGCCACACATCTAATGGCTAAAATGGGAGATGTCAAAGGTTGAAAAGTACACCAAAGAAAACGAATTTTATAAAATATACAAATATGAAATTTATTTTAAATAAATATAGTAAATAAATAAATTATAATAAATATAATATTATAATAAATAATATTATACTAAATATAATAATATAATAATATAAATAAAAGCCCAGTACAATCTAAAATTTTAAGCTCTTTCGTATCTGAAGACTTTCATTCACATTTAATGATTTTCCATTTAAAAAAATACGTTTGGAAAGGAAAAGAGATAATTTAAGGCTTATGTATAAACAGTATTAATGGTTTATAATTATATTTTTACATTAACTTATTATATTTTAATGGCCATGCTTGTGATTTGTTTTTTTCCATTGTGACTTGAGTTTTAAATATGTAAATAAATTGTTACAAATTATTGTTAGTGCATTTTACCCGCTCACTCTAATCGCATGTTGTGTCAACATTAATCGCATCAAATTTAATTTCACAATTAAATGCAAAGACGCGATGCGTTTAGCATAAATTAAGCTAGCCTGTAAATTGAAGCCGCGGGCGGTTGTCCTGCTCCTGCTCCTGCGGTCTGGCCTTATTTTCCTTAGGTGTTGTGTTGGGTGGACAAAAAATTTAAACACCACCCAAGCCTTGATGGCTGCTTCCGTTTCCGATTCATTTATAGAGGGGGGTGGTTAGAATTTCTCGCGTATTTATTGCTTCAACTTAATTTAATTGACAACCCAATCTAAGGATTCATTAAGCCTGGGGAATTAAATGTCTTTAATTAGTGAGAGGAAAATCAATTAAACTCATGATGCTACCTAAAGTTCATTTAAGAAATGAAGGGTTTAAGTTTGACTTTAAAAATGTATTGTTAGATAAAGATAGTATTTTTTATTTATAGTTATTGTTTATTTACTAAATCCCTCCCTAAATGGTTGATAATTGTCTGTAATTTAAGTTTATTGTAACTGAAAATTGATTTTCAACAGAAAGAACCTTTAAAATATGGCAAGTCATTGATCATTGTATGTCTCAAATAGATGTCAAGTCGGATATAAATAACTTATACTTCACACAATAAACTAGATCAAAGATCTATTCTTATGATTTCTTTGTTAAGAGCTTATTTATCAGCCAGTTTATAAAAACTTTAAATTTCTTTACAGACTTGTCTCCAATTCGCAACTTTTCTTTCTATAAACTCTATCTTAATTGCTTAATATTTTTTTTTGCAACTACACTTGAAGGTCATCAACTTTGAAACATAATTAAAGAACATTAGCTCGAACAACTCACAAAATTTTCTGCATTTTCCAGTTTCGTTTACAATTTTAAATGAAACCAGTTTCGCTTCCAAAAATAAGTAATCAAGTTTTCAGCACATCTCTGAAAGAGCTCTCCTCTTAATACAAATTTGTATTTCAAGAAAATTTATCGGGATCAAAAATGATGTGGCAACATGACGCCTTTGGTTATAGCAAAACCTTAATCTTAATCTTAACCTTAATCAGTCTCAGTCTAAGCATTCGGCAGCTTTAATAAAGTAAAAATAATAATTTTAAATTACTTTTTTAAGCCTCATGCTTGGCTGCCCTGGCTGCCTTTTTTTCTCTCTTTTTTTTTATATTTTTCTCATAGTGTTTTTGTTGGGCTTTTCGCTGCTTAACCTTCGAGGCGCAAAATGTTTTGTTTAAGCGAGTACTTTTTGGGATATATCTTTTAAAATACTCTTTTTGGTAGTGAGGTGAATTAGTTAAATATTAATAAATATATAAAAAACTACTTCATTATTTATTATATATTATTTGAAATCTTAAAATATTATTTAAGTTGAAAATTAAATTCTTACTTCTTATTAAATATATATTGCAAGGCTCTCAAAACCTTGTGGAACTACTAATATTATTATAAAATATTTCGGCTAAATATTTGTTTAAATTCACTAAACTCTTTATTAAAATTTTTAAATTTCATTTTTCATTTTTTAGGGTATTTTAATTTTCGCCTTTTGTTTCTTAATTATTTCTTGGTGTTGTTTTTTTTTGGACAGGGCGTAGTTGCAAGTGAAGGACAGCTCGACAACAACTACGGCCACTGCAATTTGAAGGCAAGCAAAACAAATGAATTCTGGGAGACTGAGAGTTTTTTTTTTTTTTTTTTTTTTGCAGTTGTTCTGAATGTAGTTTTTATTTCTTGGCAATGCACTTGAAATAAATGAGAATACTTAAATAATTTAGGTTTTTAATATTTTTAAAAAAGAGTTTAAATTTTGATTAACACAAGGAAAAAAAATCTATCAATAAGATCTTTAATTAAAACGTAAAATAAAAATAAAGTTGAAGTTTATATTTTTAATTAATATGTAATTTTTGATTAATATTAATATATTTTCTCATATAAATAAAGTTTATAAATATTTAAAATATATAAGGAATAAACATAAATTGTAGTTTTCTACTTTATTTACTAATTTGTTGTATTTATTCAAAAAAAAAAAAAAATTATAAAAAGCTTAGTGGCTCTTAGCCTCTATATTAAATATTATAAACACAATTCTAAATGATTTTAATTATAAATCTAAACCAATATTAATTTAATTTACGAATTAATATTGTAAATAATAATTTTAATTAAGAATTTCCTTTAATAATCAATAATTTCTATCAGTGACTGCCTTCTCCTTGCCACTTCAACGTTAGAATTGTCTTGGTCAGCCTCAAGATAGCTGTTAGCAGTGGCAGTTGCCTCGACTTCTGGACGGTTGCACTTCACTTGACTGCAATTTGGCCAAGTAAAGTTCGAGAAACAGTTGTCGCTGGTCTTGTTGTTACCTTTAATTTGAGTACGTTTTGGTGTTGTTTTTATCTCGATTCGATTTTGGTTTTCTTTTTAGCAGTTTTTGGGTGATTGTTGGCCACGGCTAAGTCACGTTCCGATTGCGCATTTAACGCATTCGACCGTCCGGTTAAGTAAGTTAAGTTTCTTGGCCAAAAAGTCTGTCGAATCGCTGGCTCCTTTTTTTTTTTGGACATTGCAACATTTGGCTGCCTGTCAGCTGGCAGGGTCAGACGGGTTTTTTATGGCTGTCTCGGGAGAATCATAAATTTGCAGGCGGACACCCGATGACCTTTCTACCTGCCCCGATAAGCGGTCAATTTGCAGCTGTCCAGAGGTCTCATAAATTTAGGAAAAATTAAGGAAATCACTTAAATATTTACAGTGCCTCCAAGTGGCCTACGTGACGAGGCACGCGACTGAATTATCTGAAACGCAAGCGATGATTTGGGTTCATTGTAAGGTCAGGGTTCAAATGCTTGCAGGAAATGGTTTTTTAGGGTTCGTAGTAAAATAATAAAATATTTGAGAGTGTACTTGGAACCTTTGAGTGTCCTGAGCAATATTCAGATTCAGCAAAACCTAAATAAATATTTGAGAGTATCCTTTAACAATTGTATACTGAATGTGATATGAAGCAGATGCTATTTCTACTTTGTAAGAGAATTATCATAGGTCTCAGCCCATGTTGGTTTTTTTAAAGAGGTTTATTTAGAATTTCAATTTTAGAAATCTTTAAAAATCCCTAAAACCTTTTAAACATATATTTTTAACGATCTTTTACTATAAAAAAAATATAATTAAATACTTCTACTTATTAAAAATAATATCTAAAATGATTTCTTCGATTAAAACCTGCTTCCCTATATGTATATTTAGTTTATAAATTTATCTTTATTACTACAGAAATAATTCCAGAGAGATTGATTTTAAATTAAGATCTCTAGGATCAATGTTCGGATATTATAAATTATAAAATTACATTTTTAAATGATTTTCCAGAAAAATAGTAAAATATTTCAGAGTGTATTTAGAACCCATGAGAGTCTATAATATTACCCTTAAATAGACATTTTTGAATATATTGCTATGTAACAATTTCTTAATTGTTATATTTTTATTTGTTATTTATAATTCTAGGTATAGATAGTATTTATAAGCTATTAAATATTTAATAAGGTTACATTTTATTAGCTAGCTCATTCTGTAAACTGTATTAAGCTGTTTATCATTATAAATATCTAGTTTATTTTTGCTTTTTAGGATCTCGAGTATATACGAAACTTATATATAGGCCTATACCCCTTGGTAACCCCTTGAATAAACCCCACTTTCCTTTTCCTATATTCCCTGATATTGTTACATATTAAGTAACCACGAACTTGTTGCCACAAAACTACTCAAGTGGGAACCCAATTCCCTAGCTTGGGTCATTAGCCTGTTCGGGTAATCGAACTTGTTGAGTAAGTCGTCCAGCTTAAGTTGGTACATATAGCGTACATATAGTATGTATACCTGGTATGCCTACACCCGATCGGTGGTATGTAAGTAAGTGACTTTGCTTTAATCAAACTATATATACTTTTTTTTTAATGCGTCTGATGGACAGCTGTGGTTGGCCGCAGACAATTAGCACCGGCCGAAACACGGCACAGTGACAGCTAAAAGTATATACCCTCCCTGAGAGAGAGCAAACCCGATCGAGAGAGTGAAATCAGCTCTCTCTCTCTCTCTAGGTATATATCTCTCTCCGATCAGCTGATCGCTTTGGGCCTAGCTTTAGTGCTGTGTCTTGGACCCGCTCCAGCTCACTGGCATTGCTGATTTCGGACGAATCGCACGTACCGCCGTCGTCGTCGTCGTCGTCGTTGTCGCTTTTAGCTCACCTCATCGCGTGCGTTACCTGTATTTGTACCTGTACCTGTTTTTTGTTTTGGATTTACAGTTACTAACGAGTTATGTGCGCTTGAATGCCAAATTTAATTGCCGCTCTTTGCATGCTCGCCAGCAGAGTAATTTGAAAACGTTTTCAAAGAGTTGAGTTAATATATTAAAAAAAAAAAAATACGACAACTTTCGTTTTTCCCCTCCCCAAAACTTTCATTTTTCCTGCTCATCGTGTTGCCATTGAAAACAGTGTCAAAACCAAGGTGCTAAAAGAAGTTAATACTCACACATAAAATCCGAATAAAAATTAAAAAAAGAGAAAAAATTCAAAGAAGAAATATAAAATAAAATTGTGCAACAATCGCGCGTGTGTGAATTGGCAATTTTTTTTTGGAGTATATATATTCATGGCCATCATGGACACCGCCTGGCGCTGCCGCCTCACGATCTTTGCCATCGTCTCCCTGCTGCTGGTGGGCGATCTCTTTGGCTATGGCGGTGGCATCAAGTCCAACCACCCCGATCATCATGCCGTCCGCCGCTCCGGGGGCGGTGCGGTGGCAGCCGGTGCCCCAACGGGTCCGGCGGCTGCAGCGGCCAGCAAGTTCCAGGCGAAGAATGCCGAAATCGATATAGCCGAAGGTGAGTTTTGCAAGAAAAACAAAAATTTTAAGTTGGTTAACTTTGCTGACGATTTTTTGGGAATTTTATTTTGTTAGCCAAATTATGAAATGCCTTACGTTGTTATTTTGGAATTTTAAAGTGTGGTTTTTAGATAGCAGACAAAACGGTTTTCAATATTATTATTTTAACTAAAATCAATAAATAGAAAACAAAATTTTTAAGTGATCTTAAATGCAGAAAATTATTTTAAACTGTTTTAATAGTTTTTTAACTATTTTAAAGTAAATTTGTAGATATAATTCCCTCAAATAACTTTAAAGTATTTTAATTTTAGTGTGGTATTAACTACAGAAAATTATTTAAAATTGTTTCAATCATATCATATTTTTTTAAAGAAAACTTTATACATTTTTCCCACAAATAACTACAATTTATTTTAATTTTTATAGTTTCTTAACTGCAAATAAATTATTTAAACTGCTTTATATTTAAAAGGAATTTTGTTCATACTTCCCCCAAATAACTTCAATTACTTTGAACAAATTTTAACATAAATTTTTGTGTGTAATTATTAAACGTTCGTGTGGCAGTTAACAAATTTAATAATCGGGTTCAAGCACTCGTTAGCCAGCCTCAAAATATTTTGCATTAAAATTGTTTGTTTAAATTGGTTGTGTTGTATACATTTATTCAAGTATTTATTTGGTTATATCAAGGTTAATTTCGATTTATAAACGGAGGCTTACGTACAAACAAATATTGAATACAAGCCCGAGGCACGTGTAAGCTTTATTTTTGGGGCTTAAATGTTTAATTACGTTATTTTTTGTTGGTAGGTGAAAACCGGAACTGAGCCGGGGGAGTCAAAAAAGTACGATTGTTTATTAGGCACGTGTGTAGCTTGGACTTAAAAAAAAATAGCTTATGTAGGTGATTATGGTTTCCAGAAGTCCATTATAATACTGGGACAAATAGGTTTCTTTTATGTGAAGTGCTTATATTTTTTAGAGCCTTTCCAAGTAAAACCAATTTGTCTTTATTCTTTATTTTTGCACCAAACAAAGTATCAGTCACATAATTCCTCATTAGGAGAGTTACTACTAGGTAGTAGTATTCCACAACTTTTTCTAAAGAGTTTTTTAAAGTACTAGTACGAGGAAATGTTAAACAATTTAAGTACCTAAACATTATCTGAAGCTGAACGTTGTCTGGCATATTAAACGGATACTTCAGTTGGCAAAAGTTTCCATTAACTACAGGCAGAGTCATTAAGGTTTTATGATCTGACTTCGTTGTTGTTTTTTAGTTAAGTTTTCATAGAGGAAAGTGACTTCATTATTCGAGTACATAAATAGTAACGTTTTTAAGAGAAAGATATTATCTATGGAAAGTTTATTGAGTAAAAAATTTAAGAAACCAATACTAAATCTAAGTAAAATTAAAAGTAAATTATTTTTTAAAGCTTTTTAAATATATATCACTAGAGTAATTTATGCTTCCTTTTTTGCAATTCATCAAAACTACGCAAAAACATGAAAATATTCACAACACTCGTTGAATTATTTAAATTATTATTCAACACAGTCGAAGTTCATGTCCAAACCGTTTGTTTAAGAGCTTCCAAATGCCATTCGAATTCACTTCTTCGGCGTCACTTTCTCGCTGATTTGCATACACCATATATCGAACCCTATATCGTATGACATAACCTATTGGAGCATTGCACAACAGTTGTAGGAAATACACTTCAAGAAATTGGTGTTGAGGGAATAAAAAATAACAAAAGGAAGTAAAATAAATAAAATTTAGAGGAAAGTCGAATGTAATTTTATTACAATATTATTTAAAGTTACACAATTGGTTTCGTTAGCGTTTTTGGGTCTTAAATTCTTAAACTATTGGCTTATATATTCTACTAAATATATTTTTTTAAAATTCTAAAGACTTCTAATTATTACAATATGAAAATGCTTAATTAAAAATACAATATTAAATTAGGTAATAAAATGTTTTCTATTACTGTTTAGGGCTTTAAATTCTTGACATTATGGTTTTTAATTTCTTAAAATTTGTTATAAAATTCTATATTTAATTTGTTTCAAGAACAATTTCTCTTTATTTCATTGATTAAAAGTTAATATGTTCCTAAAAATGGAATATTGAAAATTAAACCTTATAAAATTTACAAAAACCTATAGAAATATATTTTAAATCTTTTAATTAATCACTTGTTTTTTAAATAACTTCAATACCTCTCGCCTCTGACAACTAAAACCATTCGCAAGACCCTCAAAGTTAGTATTTCTTTTGTATTTCTCGAGGTGAAAGTGGAAAAATGCCAAGCAAATAAACTTGACGTAATAAAAAAACTACTCACAAACACAACAAGTTTTTGCTTTGCATGTTGCCAGGCATCGAGAGGTCTTTGAGTCTTCAACTTTCCCAGAGAGCTGCCGGTTCATTAGAGGTTTTTCCAAATACAAATACAGCCTTTTTTTTATTTTGGCTCTCAAAATTCCAGTTTCGTAAGCGGCGTCTAGACTAGACTCTAAAGATTTTGCTAGTCACTCTTATAGAGTCAGCAAAGTTCATTATTCTAACCTGATTACGCGAACAGGAAGTGATGGAAACTCGACTTGATTTGTGACATTTAATTTATCGAACTAAGCCCTGATTGGGTTTGGGAAATATTCAATCCGAACGACCACAACCGGTTCCGCTTCCAGACGTAATCGGTTCCATCCGAAGAAGTTGTCTAGGCCAGAAACGAGTAGCAACGGAAATCGAGAGTGAACGAAATAAATATTTGAATATTCACGTTGAGAGCGAACGCTCTTGTAAACGCCACTCGTTATCATTAAAGCACGTGCCCTTCCCCATCTTTTGCCGGCTGGAAATTTATCTGAATTGACAATTTCGGTTTCGTCTTTCCACCAGTCTTCTTCTCTAGGCCAAAACAGAAGCTAAACAAAGAGATATATGTATATAAAAATCACAAGAAGCTAAACAAAAAGATATACCTACATAAAAAACACAACCTTAAGGTGATGAAGGCAGCGCAGAGTTTGCAATTCAATTTGTATTTATTTCCATTCAAGCAAATCGATTCACCTGAAGTCAACTTAATTGACTTGGATATATGTATTGTATGTAGGTGCAAGAAATTGCATTTTTAAGAGTCTGCAGAAAATTCAAGTTCAATAGTTTAAGTATTTTAAGTAATTCAAGGGAATTTTTAGAGTATTTCCTGGCTTAATTATAAAATTAATTTAATGGAGTTGGCATAATGAAACTATACAAGTTTACAATTTTATTTATGAATAACTAGAAATAATTTTAAATATAACATTTATTACTTTTTTTTTTGTATTTATTATTTATTTAAAATTAAAATTTTATATATTTTATTGTTCATAAATAACTGGCAATATTTTCAAATATAACATTTCTTATATTTTTATTCATTTTCATTCAAAATTTATTATTTAAAAAATCTTTTAAACACATCACAAAATAACTGGTTTAATTGTGTTATATTTTATTTTATTATTAACAAATTTCTGGATTAAAAATATAATCTAATCTTAATGATCGTAATCTAGAAATCTGCTTAAAATAAATTTAATATCTTATTAACTGATCTTACTTGTTATTTAAAAAACAAATAGTAATACCAAATTTCTTCTAAATATAAACAAGTTTATAAATATACCAAGCAAAATATTTATCTAAAATTTCTAAAAAAAACCTAAACCAACTGAGTCATGCTTAACTGCATTTCTTAACAAGCAAACTAGTTATGTAATGAACCCCTAAAAAAACCACCTACGCGTCATAATTTGCTTATATTAAACTTAAAATCAGTTAACAGTTACCCTGGAAGTTAGGTTTTCACATTGCTATAGGGTTTCCTTTAGCGGTTCCGTATTTAAAGTTCAAAGTCCGAATCAAGCAGCCGCCTAACTTGGCTAAAGCATAATGAATATTCCGATAATTAATAAATAACCTAAGCGTTGGATGACTGAACACAAAATATTCCAAGTAAAGTTCAACGCATTGACTTGGCCTTGTCTACGGGGCATGGAAATCGTTAAAACAAAACGAAAATACAGCAAAAAACATAAAATAAATGTTGAAAATATTTGCAACAGCTGATGAAGCGAATGGCCGAACAAATATTTGATTTACTCACCATGCACTCGAAAAAAAGTCAACATAAATTCGGTTTCTTATGTTTTTTTTAGCACTTCCAATTTCTATAAATATTTGCTCAATTGTTCCCTAAATTGGTTGTTTCTTTGTTGACAAAACACATATATTAGTCATTGTCTTTAGATTTTTTTTTAGCTTTAGATTAGGCAACCTTGAGTTTGGATTCTTCCCACCTCCGTTCACCGATCTCTCCGATTCTCCCCCTTAATTTATTTATTTATATTTTTTATTTAACAATTTGCGCAGTTCCCGAAATCTTAATTCGAAAGCAGTTAGCTATGCAAATTAGCACCAAAAATAAATGTCAAATTCTGATGGATGCCTGAATTCCTAACTTTTTTGTTTTGTTTTTAATTTTTAGAGCACGACTTCAATGAGCTCTCAGCCGCTGCCGAGGCTCTGAAGCCCAGCATGGCTGTGGTGACAGGGGCCAGCCTGAAGTCCAAATCCCAGCTGACGGATACCATCAAGGAGTCGTGTCTGCCAAAGATGCTGTGCGAGCTGGCCTCCAAGCCGGAGTATCAGCTCAGCGAGAAGGAAAGGGAGCTACTTAGACTGATCAGGTGAGTGAGAAAGGTGGAAGAAAAATGGTAGAGAAAGAGAAAATTGTGGGGAAAAATGTACTTGAATGTACTAGAAATTTTCAAGTCGTAAACAAACATTAATATTACAAATAATTTTATGGCTTAAAATTCTTTTTTTAATTTCATAAATTCATTTAATTTTCCTTAGGTTTTCAAATGTTTAATTAAATAAATATATATTTTAAAATATTTAAAATACAAATATAAACTCAACCTATTAATTATAATTTTAATTACCTAAAAATTCAACTAAATTAACCGTTGTTAAGGCTTACGAAATAAATGAGCTAACATAATAAATTGAATATAAATGTCAGCATAGACTGCAAATACAAGAATTTATGGAAGTTTCTAACAAATATGTTTTTGAAACCGGTTGACAGTGACTTGCACATCTGGTTTTACTAATAATATAAGTTTTTTTTTTTGTGATAGACAATCCATTTATAAAAGATATTTGACATAAAACTTCAGCTTGTTAGAAAGACTTTAAAAGGTAGCAGGTTTAACATGTTTATTAGCTTACAGAAAATCTAGAAATATATACAAAAAATTAAAGATATTTTTATAAAAGTAAACAAAGCCTTCTGAACAACTTTTATATATTTTTTTTACTATTCTGGTAAACAAAGCATTTGGAACTTATTTTATCATAGGTTAAAAAACGTACATAAACCCCATTTAAACTAGTTGGTTGAGAGCCTATAATTACCTAACAAAAATTGTATAGTAAACTTTAAAAATATATTATTTTAACTTAATATTACCTAGATATCAGATTATTTTCCTTGCAACAACTTAAACCAGTTCCAAACTGATCTAAAAATGATTTGCATAATCAACAGTTAGAAAAGTCTTGCCAACCGGTTTCAAAAGGGTTCGTTAAAGCCTCTATTAAGATCAGTTGATAGCTAAATAAATTCTCAAAACCCAACTGAAAAGCCAAAGTGCAACAAAACGTATTCCATTTGGAGTTCGTCCAATGTGACAAATACTTGAGATACAGGTAAACACCTCGTACGGATCAGCAGTCGTAACCTACCTCAACTTCAGCTGTAACCTCGCACTTGAGACGAAGGTGAGCTAATGTAAAAGCTTGGCTTTAGAATCTATACTAAGTCAACAGCAAGGTGAATGCCTGGGGGGGGGGAGCATTCTAAAGAAACAGAGTCTAGAGATATATGCTCACTGAAAGCGAAAACCTGAACAAACTCCAGCAAAGCGTGAAATGATAATGACTTATTATAATATTTAACATTTGTTCAGTTGTGGAGAAACTTCCGTCTAATGTTTCCCTCCCCCCCTTTTATTTGCAGATCTCCAACAATGCCCTGGATGATGAACATGCCGCCAAGCAAGTGGTACTTTGCTGCCCACATGGGAGAGTTAATGCGTCACACGGGAGACAATCTCAGCGGACCCATGGGATGCGCCAATCTGTGGCCCAACTGCCCCATCAGCTCCAAGAAGCTGATGAAGCTCAGCTACAAAGTGAGGGTCTAGTGTGGATCCTTAAGTATTAGGTTTTTAGAATTAGACACCTCGACTTTTGTACCATATATGTCTCTTCCACCTTTGGCTCCACCCTACAACTACAACCTACCTTGTACACGACCTTAGGTTTAGACTTAGACCTTAGTCCCGACACGACTGAAGTGACTGTAGAACTGTAAGCACTTGTATCTACTAGCTGCGAGTCCTAGGTAGATTTTAATTACATTTGTGTGACTAGTCACGACCCGATTTAGCCTTAGGTCTAGTCGTAAGTTCGATGCTCCTGTAATTGTTAATAAATTACACTATTTTGTGCATTCACTCGCCCTAATGATATCTGCCTTAATCCGTCTTAATTGTTGCTGCATCACCTTCGGGCCATTTGTGAAATGGCTTTAATGAAAAGCAAACACTGCCTCAGTCACCCAAGTGAACGTGTACGTGTGCTGTAAGTACCATAATTGCTAGGAAGCGTTCAACCTGCTGGCAATGGATTTATATATTTTTAGGAATTACTGTGCACTGTGGAAGGTCGCCTTTGCTGTCAAATGCGACAATCATTGGAGATTTGCGGGGTGAAGTTGAGTTGATTCAGCTTAATTGGCAGTGTTACGGCCAGTGGGAAATAGTTGTTGAGATTGAGATTATTAAAAGAAAAAAATAAATTAATAAGAAACAAGAAATAATAAAGAAAAAGTAAAACAAATTCGGTTATTTATTTATCAATAAAGGTATAAAAATATAATAACTAAACCTAAACTGTTTCTTACTAAAATTATTATACTCTAAAAGGAGCTTTAAATATTTATCTTTAATTTTATATGATAAATTTTTGGAAAATTAAAGCTAAAATAATCAAAAACCCCTTTTGAACCCGTTTAAAACTAAACAAATAACTATTTTCAGCATACTTTTGGGGCTTAGGCAAAAAAGCCTGCATACCTCCCGCCTTGAATGCACAAAAAACAAACCCACCAACTTTTTTGGTGTACACTTTATATGCAAATTTAACTTGGCTCAATGACAGGGTACAAAATAAAAATTAGAATACTTTTAGCTTTGTTTACAATTGTTTCTCTGGCGAATCATATATTCCAGTCGCATTTGCCAGCACAAAAAACAAACGATGTTCGAGTGAAATTGATGGATTATGACAAACATATTGATAGCTGAATTATAGAGAAATACTTTTAAATAAAAACAAAAACAAGAAAGTATTTTTAGATTTTATTTTTCGTCTATACATAAATCAGTCAGTGACACGAGGCAGTCAATGAAATAAATCAATGCAGCAGGTTTTCAAAATTGATTTTCAATTGAAATTCCACTTACACTTTGTCGCCCGTAAAAACACGTTCAATTTGGTAACCATAAAAATTGGTCAGAAATTGCAAACAAAAAATACAATAATAAAAAGTCAACAAATTTGTAATATTAAACTGAAATTGGGTCAGATTCGTCCAACTGTTTGCTGCCTTTTTTGTTTCTGTTACGCTAGTTGCGTGTTTTGTGCGCAACTTTCATTGTTTTGGCCTGGCCCAAATTTCGAGTTTGGCTCAATTTCTGCTTTTATTATTATTTTTTGTTTTTGTTTTTTGGCCTGACGTTTGACAAGTTGTTGGCTTATGCAATTGTGGAGGGTATGTTTGGAGAAGGAAAAATGCAGGTGCATTCGCATTGTCTTAGACTTCTGTCAGCCTTTTTGGTGGTGGGTTTTTTCTTTCTGGTAATAATTTCCGCATACCTTGGCGGCTCCAAAAATGAAAGCTAATTTTTGGCGACAATTTCCAGTCACTGAATGTGGAATACTCTATGAGTTTTTGATTAATTGCTGTATTAGAGGTGGTAAAAATTGTAAAAAAAATTAATTAATGTCTAAGAGTTGTACAAAATTGTTTTTAAAAATGTTGTAAAATTGATCGGTGCTTTATTTTAAAAAATAATGACTTAATTCAATAAATAAAATAATGAAAATCTAAAATTAATATTTTAAATTCAATAAAACCACAAAATAAAATTGTTAAAAATTATTTGAAAATATTTACATTTTTTGTGGTGATTTTATTATACTGAAAAATGTATATAAGTAAGTTTCTGTTACTAAAACTAAGTTTATTATTAAACCAAGATTTTTTTCCTATGAAATTTAATAAAGTTACTTAAAATACAACCTCCTGGGGTGTAAAAACCCTCAACACATCTAAAAAAACCCAAACATTTCCCTCTGTTCAGACACATTTCCTCAACCTTCTCTCCTGCTGCTCTTGCAAATATATAACAAACTTTAAAACAAACTAAAGACATCAAGGAAAAGTCGAATTTTCCATCCACTTGACTACCTCTTGAGGTAGTCTCCACTGTGGTTGAATTGCATAACTCGGCCTCCGCAGTGCCTACGTGAGCTGGCCAAGAGCTGGTGGCTTTAAACGGGTCCCGGCAACTTGGCCAACTGACTGATTGAACCACTCTTTGGCGGATGATTATTCTTTTTATTGAAACCTCAATTGCATCTACACAGTTATTTGTAGTGGATTTCCTCGATATTGCTTTCATTTCCTTGCCCTCACTTTGCTCAGTTGATTAGAGCAGTCTCCCAGCTCGTTCACCTGGTCAACGACACGTGCTCCATCGCTTCATAAATGTTTAGGCAAATAATAAGCATAAGTTTATGGGCTAATATTAAAGGTGTTAATTATATTTAGTGATAGGGAATTTGTAGCCTTTAGGCATTAATTTATGCAAGTAATTTTGGTTATAAACCACTTTTGAGGCTCTCAATGAGGGTGTTGTAATTATGGCCAGAAGTGTGTTAAGCAGAATCCTTTTTGTTTTAATAACAACCTAAATATCCCCTATTTAAGAATATATATAAATTTATTTTATAAATATTTTGTAAACCTGCCTAAAAATCTAAAAATCGTTTCCACCTTTTGTCTACTTGGCCAACTTAAACTTTGTTGACCCACAACGCCTAGCCACGATCTGGGCAAAACCAATTGCTTGAAATTAAGCAAACATCTCTCGCCCATATAGGAAATCTCGCACTTCGTACACCCCAGAGACACACCTAACGGAAATGAAGTAATATGCAAGCCAAATAAATATAAATAAAGAGCAAAGAAAGGAAATCCCCATCCGATGCGCCCGAAGTCCGAATGTTTGGCCATTTTTTGGCTTCAAAGATTTCATAACTTTTCATAATTGCACAGACGTAGAGAGCAACAACCACACCGCAGACTGAGGAGAGATATAACCAGACAATACAGCAGGGGTTAAGATAATAGTAGCAACCTAAAAAATATTTAAATATATTAAAGAAATATTTTTTATGTATGGTAATTAGGTATCTTATTTTTCCTAATTTTCTAAATTCTGGATGTATTTTTTATTTGTAAATTTATTTTAATATTTTTAAATTAAAATTAAAATCTTTTATAATTTTTTTTTTTACTTTTTGTTGCTTTTATCTTGACCGTTATTTTTATTTTTAATTTTTAAAACAAATTAAAATCTTTATTTAATTATTTCTTTATTTTTTGTTGCTAATATTTTGACCTTTACTGTCTATATGTACAGAGAGAGGCTTTTTGGACTTGGGGAGAGCTTGAAGCCTAGACGGCTGCGCCCTGCGCTTAGTGGGCCTCACTTTCACTTACTGGTCTTGTCTTTGGCTTCCGCACAAAACTTGGTCAAAATGCAAAACAAACTTGGTCCGCAAAAAACCAGGCAGAGGCGTCGAAAAGGGGATAAATAAAATGTTGAAGCTGGACTTGTATTTTTCCGAAAATATTTAAAAATTTAAATTGAAAAAAAGTTAGATAATTATAAAACTACAAAAAATATTTCAAAATTAATAATTAAAATATCAGTTTTTTTTTGTATTAAAAAATTAGAAATTAATTAATATCAAATTATTTTTTAATATTTCAATTACTAATTTTTAAATATTTTGCATTATTATTTTAATAACTAATTTTGAAACACTTTTTGTAGTCATAAAATTATCTAATTTTTGAATATAAAATATTATTTTTAATTAAAATTATACCCATTTTTAATAAGGGTTTCAGTTATATTTTTTTTTTTAGTTATTAACATAATATTTTAGTCTCTATTAAACCGTAAGTACCTCTATTTTTATATTTTGAAAATGTATAAAAATATAAATATTATTTAATATATTATATTTGAATTTATTGATGGGTTTTCCAGAACATTTTCTATTTTTTATGCTAAAAACATCAAATTTTAAACTTAAAACACCTTTAAATTGTATCTATCGATGGTTTGTTTAAAACATTATCTATTTCTTACACTAAAACCTCCAATCTTAACACTAAATACTTCGTTTAAAATTTATTTCTCTATTGGTTGTTCAATTAAAGAAATATTTAGTAATTTAATTTGGTCTAAAATCTGTTTAATGTGTATTTAAATTAATTTAAATGGGTCTGAAATCTGTCAATTTTTTTTTTTTTTTAATTCCCCACCCTACGTCCCTGTACCCAAAAACTCGCCCATTTGGGGAGTGTAAGCTTTACACAACAAGTGATTTCTTTGGGGGGCCTACACTTGAAGTTCGGCTCAGCTCTCCGTCTCCGTGTGTCCGTCTCCGCTTCTCTCTCTTTGTTTACATTTAAGTTTACGTTTGGTTTACTTTTTATGCGGCACTTTGGCGGCTTTAAGCGGCTGCAGGTCGCTTTAGTCAGTCCAAGACTTCAAGCGCACCAAGTCGCCACTCGCCTGAGCCGCTTCTCCCGTTGTCGGTGGATAAAAATAAATAAATACATAATAGTATTACGTTGTGTTGCCCAACCTTTTGGTGGCCATGAATCTCCGGTACATCTGCACGCTGTCCCTGGTGCCGACGCTCTGCGTGCTGCTCGTCTTGCTGCTGGAGTACGTGGAGGAGGGCCTGGCCCAGAGCGCCGATCCACTATTCGAGCTGCCCGTCCAGCTGGTGGGATTCCCCGTAATTGTGCTCTCCGTTCGCCTGTCCCAGTTTGCCAAGAAGTTGGCCTACTCCCTCAATCCCAGTGAGTCCGATTGATTTCTGCCTGTTTTTTTTTGTTAATCCGAGTGAAAGTTGAAAATATGTTGTGCATAAATTAAGTGTTTTGCATTGTTGAAATCAGTGCAGGAATTCGATGGGGAAATTCCAAAAATGCAAAGCCATCGAAAGTTTGGAGAGCGTGTCGAATTGTAGAGGAAATTTGATATGGTTATTAAGTTTTTATAGTGAAAGATTTCAAGGTATTATTTTCTCTTGCAAAAATCCTTTAATATTCAAATGTTAATTGTGTTTTAACTATTATTTAAACAATTCAAAAGATCTTTGCTTAATCAGACTGAAAGAATATGCGCTCCTCGTAGAATTTGATAACCAATTGGGGATACTTCACATTGGCCACCTTGGCTGCCACCAAATCGGCGCGATCTGTGTCCTTCCATTGGATTAAAAACTTCATTTCGCCAGACGCATCGGTGGCTCCCAGTATTTTCAACGGCTCCAATACTGTAGTCACTTCTGTTGTAGCCTTTTGATCCACAATTAACTCCACTTTACTATTATTTTCTTCCTTGGGACCATCTCCCTTTTCGTTAGACATCTTGAAGGTTGTTTATCCTCGAAAAAATCGCTTTAAGATATCCTGAAAGTATTTGTAATTAGTAAATACAGCTTTTAAAACTTTCGGAACTAACTTTTTTTCAGCAGCAAACAAGAAATTGAAGTTGTATTGATGTCAGCTGTACAGTTTTTATTTTCTTTTTAAATTGATACGAACGGAATAGAACACTTTTTGACATAAAAAGCTATCGGTTAACTAGAGCAGGAATGTTGATATATCGAAAAGTTGTTGGGTATTTTTTAAGTGCTTGTTGTAGGTATTTTAGATTTGAGTTTAAATTTAATATAGAAATAATTAGGGGAGTATTAAATATGACTCTATTTTAGTAAGTTATAAAAAATATCTATGTATATTGTTTCCACTTTTTGTTTATAAACTGTAGAAGGACAAGTGAGAATATGCTGTTCCCACTTTACAAAAATCTCAAATGTTCCACAGTGATGTGCTATAAGGGGCTACCGTATTTTCTAGGTTTATGAGTGGATTTTTCAGAGATGTGTATCCATTATTCCCAATAAGTTTATTTTTACAGGGTTCAAGAACTCTTAGATAATTCTTTATTTTTTAAAGTATATTTAAATTTATTTTTAAAATGAGCTCTTCACACTGCTTCGATGTGTTATCATCGTGTTTTATTGGAGGCTCTCCAAAACCATTTTGTAAATGCTTGTCCATTTGCCTGGATGATGTTGCGCTCATTGCGTTTTTGGGTCCGTAAAAACCTGATCCGCAAGTGCGATGACAAAAGTGGTGGCCAACTGTGATCGTGATCGACCACTTAGCCGACAAAAATTGTGAAAATGAGGTCAAGGCTGATGGTAGCTGAAACCATAACAACCACAACAGCCGGAAATAAAGTCATGGAGAGTGATTGGGTTGAGTCTTTGATGTCTGCACATGTGGACAGCTGAGGTGAAGCGATGCATGAGTAATTTTGGGTATATCCCAACATTTTAAATTAAAGGTTACCTTTTGAGAATGGTGTATTTATTTTTCTGTTATCGATAAATCAATATCAAATGCCAAATTTGATTTTTATTGATAAAAGATTGAGGTTTTACAGCTTATTTTAAAGGATTCAAGAAACTTGAAGCAATATTTAATACAAAATGTTATAATTAGATAAGTTTAAATATTAATTTACATTTTAAATAGAATTTAAATAATCTTAATATTTATTTTATATTTTAAAATTAAATCCTTTATTATTTTTATTATTTACAGGCACTTATAGATCTCGCAGCCGCAGGGATACTGCTCATCCGCTCTCCCTAGACGCTGAGCTAGCTCAAAAACAGATCCTGCTGGAGTTTGGGCCGCAGGCTTGTATCCTGGAAGAGCCTTGTCGAGTCCACGCCTCCCGCCATTTGGGCAGCAGCGAACGCCGATTGCCGGGTGAGGGCAAAGCGAAGCCACACGCCGCCTGGTCAGAGGTTTTGAGGTGGGTTTAACTCATAAAATGTATAATTTTTACGCTTAACTAAAAAGGGGTTTGGGTACTACTAAACAAATTATTTAAAAATATGTGCATATGTATGTTTTTATTTTCATAAAATATTTAAAAGGTTATTTAATATATATTTGGATTGGTTAATGTTTGTATGGTTTATATATTTTAAGTCATATATTTTGGCTAAGTGTAAGTACAGCTGTAGTTCTGATGTATCAAACTGAACTTTAAAAGAAACACTTTCCCTTTAAATCTATAATTAAGTTAAATCTGTTTTAAATGTTTAAAACATCTAAACATTTAAGACAGTTTTTCCTGTTTTTCGCTATATTCTCATACCCCGTAAATCCATTTATGGCTGACTGACTTAATGGCAAACTCACTCGACTCTCAAACTGGCAGTAACAACTTGAACTTTCGTTAGTTCTGGTTCTATTTCTGTTCTGGGATTGCATTTCTCATTGCAGTTTGGCAAATGAATGGCTTGTTTTTAGCTAAAGCAAAATGTTTTCCAATCAATTTTTATAACCTCCTTGTTGTCGCTGTCTGTCTGTGTGTCTGTCTCTCATCCTGGCATCCCAGTTTGCCCATTGTCATTGGCATTGCTAACTCATCTGTGCATAATTTAATCTCTCCTTGAGTTTAAAAGTGCATGTCACGACTGTGACTCTGACTGTGACTCTGACTTTGGATTTCAATTTGTAAGTTTACATAAATTTAGTTTTTCCGCAGCAGTTCCTGATGAGTTGGTTGCCCTCGCAGCCATCTCACCATTGTCATGGTAATGTTATAAAGCAGCAAATTATTCTTCTCGCCCAAGCTAACTGCTGTGATTCATAATTAATGCGCTTGTCTTTGCAGTTTTCCTACTCGGTTTTTCTTTTTATTATTGACATTTTTTTCGTTTAGGTAATAAAAGCAAGGAAGCCAGTGACCAGTCGAGGTAGTAAAACATTTTTATTGTGGCCTGAAGTTTCCATTTTGAAATACTCCTTGCACACTCGGCAGGAGGACAAACAAAGGGCAGATTAAAGAAAAGCTTCTTAGGACTGTGGCCAGCCCTTGGGCAGACATGTCGTATGTGTAACATTTTCTCGTTTTTGGACCTCTCCATTTTATTCCATTTAATACATATTTTGTGATATCGCAAAAAGGTTTCCACATGCATCTGACACTTTCACACTTAATGTGCAAAAATGCTCACCATTTTCCACCCTTCCCAAAGTTGTGTTGTGTTTGTTTGGCCAACGTGTCAAGAGCAAATATTCAAAATTATTTTTGAAATGTTCGTCTGTCTGACTCTCGGACTTCACCTTCACTTCATCCCTGACCTCTCCCGTCTGGCTGTGATGTTTTCTCGTTTGGTTTTAGTTTTGTTTAGGTTTCGTTGCCCTGCAAATGTAATTGGCATTAGAAGTACGAAGTTTTCTGCAAACTCGACGTGTTTTGTAATAATAAAATATGATTAAAGTTTTTGATTAAATTTATGCAACTGCACAGTGGGGGCAATGGAATGCCAAAACTGGTATTTCTCCAGGTTTTGTTTCTGTTTTTGTTACTGGACTTGATTAAATTATGCCATTGCAGACGTGTGAAATTTCAACTGTCCAAAGCTGCTTGCCATAGGTGTAAGGCAAAGGGTTTTTTGGTGTACAAAAAAAGAAGAAGAAAAGGATATCAGACAAAGTAATCAGCAGGGAACATTCCAAAAGGGATACCTTTGTGTAGAACAAGAGACAGAAGGAAGTTTGTTTTATATAAAGAAATAATTTAGCTTAAAGAGTTGGGGTTTGGTGTAAAATAAAATGACTATTAACTTAAGTATCTTTAGTGTTTAGTGTTTTTTTTAAACAAAAAATCACATTTTATCACATAATTTCCAACTAACTCAATCTAATCAAAGCTCATAGATTTCCTAACCATAAATATCACATTTTTACATCATCTCAAGCACAACTAATTCTCTCAATAAGCTACATTAACCCCCATCCAGCAACCCTTTTTTGGCTGCTCCTCAAAAATTGCTTTTGTTTTTAACCCAAGGATATGGCTTCTCTGGTGTTGTCTACATGTGTTTACCTGCTGACTTATAAGTAATTATTTTCTGTAATCCAACTCTCCACATCGCCTGCATCACATGCATCAGGAACTACAAAGTGCAGCCGGGCATTGGCGGCATGAAGCAATGGTATCTGCTCTCCCTGTTCATTGGCGATGCTGTGCGGGATGTGCCGCTGTGCAAGCATTTGGCTAAAAGGATGCCCTGTCCAGGAGTTGGACCATTGCCGCCACCCCAACCTCGCTGAAAGATAAATCCAGGAGAAGAGCGGCTCCCCTTTTAGTCAGTCACATTGGACATCTTTTGTTAATCATCCATCTTTCGGACCTCATCCATACCTACTCCTGCTCCATTCACCTCTTTCATTACGCAGTACTTTTAGTTGCTTTTAAGGGTTTTAATTTAAACGAACGCTTAGATTTATGAGTAAACAAATAAAAATAAAACAAACCAAGCCCAAAATTTGTGTGTTCCTATGCCGGGACATGTCTGTGTCTGGACGACTCCCTCAATTTTTTTCGCTTGGACAATGCATTTCTCACTCCCTCCAGTTTTTATGGTGAGAAAAGGAGCAAAAAAATTGATACGCCAAAGAGTATGCTGGGGTAAAAATATTCGGACTGGTTGCAACGCCACTTGGAAACTGTTGACGCAAGGTATTAGGCTTGAAAAGAGTGGGTTTTCTCATACCCTGTAATTATTTTGGAATTTTAAAGGGTTTTGTTTGGTTTTAGGTTACTTTATCAAGATGATTTGTTGGCTCTTCAAAAAAAAAAAATGTAATAAATAAAATAATAAAAGTAAATAATAAATAATATTATTAAAACAATAAAAATAAATATTAAATATTAATATTATTGCTTATCATTTTTTTAATAACCTATAATTTACAAAAATTAAATTGTCTCCTGTAAACACAACGTTAAAATGGTTTTAAAAATATTTGTTTTGGTTTTGTTATGCCGTTACGAATCTTGCACATTTTTGGCTTAAAAAAAACATTCTTCAATTTTAAATTATAAAATTTGTATACCCAATAGTAAACCTAAAATAAATTTTAAATATTTAAAAAACATTTCCCAAAATAAAAACCATTTTGAAATAGGAAAAATCACAGATCATCTAACATTCGCTAAGGTTTTCCCAACTTATTTCCACTTCCAACTCTTACCTTCCCTCCCTGAACTTTCAACAAGAATTGCAACAAGCCAAAACACACACACAACTCTCTCGGGGGGTCTCAGAGCCTCCTAGACCCCCAACCCCCAACCTTCAACTTCGTCGCCTCTGTGTTTCCCCATTTATTAACTCGTTGCATATGGTTTGCATACAAACTGTCGCTTCTGTCGCCGTCGTCATCGTCGTCGCTCCGAGTGCTGTAAATAAAATAAGACGACAGTTTTGGAGCACAGCAGGGGGTCTGGGATTGGAGCTTTTCGTGTTCCATGGGGGCAACCCTGACAACTTTCGGTGGGTCTGTCATGCACAAAAGTATGCTGCACTTTTTTGTGCACTTTTCCAGTTGCTGTGTGCATTTTTCCGCTGACAAACATTCACAGGAAATTTTTTTTTGGGAAAAAAAATAGGAAGAAATGAAATTGTTTGTGCTCCTAAGGGATATGTCCCTGCATTTTCCTGTGGGTTTCTTTTAATACCTCGTATTGGGAGGGAAACTGGGGAATATATTCCTAGAATCTAAGGAGCATTCTGAAAACTTGATTGTTATAAATCTAATTTTCATTATTTATGTATTTATGCGTAGTCCAAAGGGAAGAATTTTAAATAATCTAATTTAGGGAGATTTTAGAAAAGTCAATCTCTATTTTATTTTAAATATCAAAATGAGTTAACAATATTTTTTTGTTTCTTGTCTTATATTTTTGAACTTTAGGTATTCCTTCTTCCATCTTTAAACTTTTCTTATCTCTCCTTCTTTATTTGCCTTGCATTTCCTTTTCTGTTTGGGTTTATCACATTTAATTTTTCAAACCGTGGTATTCCCTGGTTGTAGCCGCTTTCTGCTGCCTGATTTATGCGGCAATTTTCGCTGGCAGCGTAGTCACTTGTTGAAACAATGGCAAAGTTTATCTTTTAACAAAAAAATATAAATAAAGAAAATAAAACCACTTTGAGTTGATTGAATTGTGTGTTTTATTAATAAATATTTGTTTAAAGCATTAAATATTTACAGACTTATGTGACTAAGTGGTGGTGGCCTGCCTCTAAGTGGGTCTTAATTTTTAGTAGAAAATAAAAAACAAGGAAGTGCCTTTGAATAGTTAACAAATTAAACAAATTAGATCAGTCATATTTGTCATATTTCTTCAATATTTAAATATTAAAATACGATTTTTTAATACAAGCAATCCATTCCTACAATTTCTATTTCCTTTTGTAAGCAACTTGTACGAATTTAAGACCCATTGTACTATAACTACATAGCTTATTTATAAGATTTCAAGGTTTTGCCTTTCTGTTTTTCTTTCCTCACATTTTTCTTTCTTTAAAATAAAATCCTACAGTTGTTATTTCCTAAATCCAACTATAAACCTAACCTGTTTTAAAATAAACCTTTCTGCCATCGGGTCGTATGTAGTACTCATTAACACCCTGCGAGTTGGTCACATAAATGTTCTTGTCATCCTCCCGATACGTGGGCTTTTGACTTCCGCTTCCATATCTGTTGTCGCTGATGTAATTTGTGTTTGGATAGTTGTAGTGCTGGGGTCTTTCACTAGCCGCAGAATCTACAAAACGCACATGATTTCCCGGCATAAATTCACCGCGGTTTAGGGAGTTAAAACCACCTTCCAGTCGGTAGTGACTGCTCACCACCAGGCGATCCTCCTTGGCCTCGCCCAGGTCATTGTACTCGTAGGTGGGCGCATATGTGGGTCGATTCAGGATCTTGCCTTTGCGAATGTGCTGTTCATAGTGGTCGGGAAATATAACCCGAGCTCCTCGTTGAGGAGGAGCTGCATCATCGTAGACAGCATTTGGGGGGAGAGAATCTTCCTTGAAGCTCTGCTGGGTTAGTTGCAGCTCACGAAGGCGTTGTATTTGCAGCTGTTCCTCACGAATTCTTTGATCTTCTCTCAGTTGTTCTTCTCTAAGTTGTTCTTCCCGATAAGATTCTTCTCTGATTTGCAGTTCCCTAAGCTCCCTAAGTTCAGCTTCTCTAAACTGCTCTTCTTCCCTTAACCTCTCCTCCTGCAATCTCTCCTCTTCTGGATGCTCGTTGGTATCCCGAAATACTATCCTTTTACCTCTGCGTTTATCCACGCCAAAGTCTGATTCCGCCAGGCCATTAGGCAGGACAGCCTTCCAACCTTCCATCAAGGACAATTGCTTGGCTCTCCTAACATTTTCAGCTTTCGATTCTTCATCCTTTTCCTGGGGAAATCTTAGCTTCCTTTGGGCGGCATCACGGTTAAATTCCCTGATAACATCCGCTGGTGTGGCATCCGGAAAGCGTATTGTTGCTCCATCCTCGTGCTCTTCCTCACTTTGAATGTCCTTAAAGGTAACCACTCGACCTTCGCCTTCGCTTTCGGGAAACTGCAGCACTCCAATTAGTTCGGTGTGAGCCTTGGCAGCCTCTTCCTCTTCATCATCCTGGAACTTGACCAGCTGCTGTTGACCCGACTGTGTGTCCAGATTATCCTCTTCGTCGTGGAAGTCATCATTCAGGTTTAGACTCCTTCTTCGCCTTCTCCGTTGGTACTCCACACCATTCAGGTATTCGGACAGCACTTGAGTGAAGAAGCTGCCAATGCCACTGGTTATATCCGTGGTGGGTCGCTGGGTGGGTCTAGGTGGGGGTCTGGGGGTGGTGTAGGTTTGACCGCCACCTCCAGTTAGAGCTGAGAGAATGCTGAACAGGCTGCCAGTTCCTCCTTCGCCTTGAAGCGAAGCCTCGGGCTTCTCCTCTGGTTCACTGAAGAACTTGAAGAAGCCACCGCGATGGTTGTTTAGGTAATGAATTATTTCCATCTGTTTGGGAATTTAAGATTTAAATTAGTTTTATATATTTTTTAATTTTTAAAATTGTTGAAATTACTATAAGTTCTTAGAAATGGTATATTTATTTATTAGAATTTATTCGTTAGACTCTCACCTCATTTTTGGGACACTTCTCGTAGGTCTGGATGCAGCTTCTATCCCCTCCACTCAAGCCCAAGAGTGCAGCTCTTCCATAAATTAGGGCAGGTGAGGCCACAGGGAAACCAGCCAGGAAACTGTTTTTAAAAATTAAGTAAGAGAATATTTATAAATGAATAAATTTAAAAATCTGAGGGAAAAAAGTATATATAGTTACATTAAATATGAAAAATATATTATTTCCTAAAATCATAAAAATATATAATTCCACCATTGCACGTCTTGTGCAACCAATAAACCATATTATTTAGACCTAATAGCCTCATTACCTTCCCACCTGCATAGATATTTCACCCCTAATCTTCCCATCAAGTTATACAAGTCCTTCAGAACCTTCCAAGTCCTGTCTCTAGCCTGCTTATATAGTAAAACTTAATTGTCTCGAAGCCAAGAATTTGCCAAAGCCAAAAACAATTTCAATTTACAATGGGTCTTACTCAAACCTCTTCCCAGCTCTTCCCAGCTCTTCCTAGCTCCTCCTTCCCACCCAGACGTAGCTCATTTAATGGAACAATCAATATGGTTGCTGCAGTAATGAAGTCTAATCCCGTTTAAGGCTGCACCCCATCTGCCTCGAAATGCAAATTTAATAATATTTACTATACAACTAAGACCCCTCCCCCCACTGCTATCCCTATATATATATTCCTGTTCCTCTTCCTGGTTAAACTCACTTGGTTATGGCCGGGGAGGTAACGAATCCGGGCAATTGGCCACGTAACGTTTGACCGGCAATCATCTGGCAGAGCACCTTGGGCACGCACTGCAAATCGTCGTTGCGAGCGATGTTCTCCAGTGCCCTAATGAGTCTTGTGTTGGCTGGTCGCCCTCCTCCGCCTCCACCCCCACTGGGGTATCCTGCTCCTTGTGTGCCAGCAAAAGCGCCGAGAAGGCTGCCCAACGGACTGGCTGATTGGGAGGATGTAGAGCCACCACCTCCACCCAAGAGGAGATTCGTAAATTGCGGTGCATACTGCTGCGTGGAGCTGAGCAGCGAGGCCAGGGTGGCCAAACCACCACCCATACCTCCTCCTCCTCCGCCTGCTGACTGACTGGCAGGACGATAGTTGAACTGCTGCTGCTGCTGCGGCTGCTGGAAGTGTTGGGACTGTGGTGGTGGCGGTATCTCGCCAATTTGATACTCGTAGTAATTGTGTCCCGGTCTGGGTCGCTGGGATATGCCAGCTCCAGGTGGTGCTCCGCCTCCTGCTCCGCCATTCTGGGGATTGTATTGATAGTGTCCAAACTGCGGCTGTAGCTGCACAAAGAGAAAAGGTTGTATGAAAATATTTATGCTTCATGTAAATTTAACTCCTAAATAGAGTTTTAATATTTTTTTCTCAAGTGTACCTGGTTGTGGCTCTGTATCTGCGCCTGCTCCTGCTGCTGCTGCTGGGGTTTTGGCCGCTGCAAATAATTATCAAAGTTGTTTGCATAATTAGACGAGGCTGGCGCTGGCGCTGGTCCTCCTCCCCGATTCCCATTGATATCTTGGCGCTGGTACAGCGGTCGCTGCTTGGGCTGCTGGGGCACAAAATTGGATGTCTGCTGGGCCGCATAGCTGGGCGGTGGGTAATCATGGCTATCGTAGGAGATTTTCTGCGAGGCTGTGGTGGGCGGTGGTGGCAAGGCAGGCGTGGCTGGTCTTGTGGGTCGTCGATATGTTGAGGCCAGGGGACTCTCATCGAAGACATAGCCGGGTCGCTTTAGATACACCTCGTCCACGTGACCAGGACGCTGCTGTTGGTGGTGCTGCTGTTGTTGTTGATGATTTCCACCCACCAGGAGGGAAGATTGCACGGTGTAGGCCTGATCATCTTGAGGTACTTGCTCTCGTTGATACTGAATTATGGAGGGTGGAGTGGGCGTATAGCCATAGTTTTGCTGGGTATAAGGATCGAGATAGCTGACCACCGGTGTGGTGGGCAAAGGCGTGCTCTGGAAATGCGATTCCTGGGGAAAGGAGAACTGCTTGTCCAGGGCGCCCACCTGCTGCTGCTGTCCCAAGGAACTGGGTATTTCATGCCTGTAGTTTGGCTCCAAATAGCTGGGGGGATAGCGATTGAAGATCCCGCCCTGCGGCATTACATCCGAAGGCGTGAAATCCAGCATTTGCGAGGGCCTAAAGCCACCGCCAGAGGTCACCCTAGCTGAGGTTTCTGGAGGATTCTGGCTGTCCTTTACCTGCACCTCCTGCTCCGAGGGAAAAAAGTTTTTCAGCTTCACAGATATTTGATTTTCTTCACTATAAAATAAAAGGATAAAGGTTAATACTTAAATTTTAAGAGCTTTAAATTAGGCATTAAACTTGTCATAGAAATTTGCATAATTGAGGAGGAAGGAGTAGAAAATCACCAGCTCAATCAACTCACCCATTGCCATTTCTTATGCACGACACGTCGGCGACTAATGCGATAATTAGAATTGCAATTTTCCATTGCACACTTTGCGGGTCCCATAGCAATTGCATTTTCAGGCAGGATTTGGGCTGGAACGGGGGGAAAATATGGAAAATCCCGCAGCTCACGTCACCGATTCATAAGCTCCAAGACAAGGCACGGTCTTTTTGCACGTCGCCTAAAGTGAGGAAAAATGGAATGGAAAACATCATAAAAACTTGCTGTCAACTCAAACTACAAAAAAGGAAAATTTCCAGCTTGACATTTTCTTTGCTACATTTGCACATAAATTTATAGATTTCCTCCCCCAACCCTCTGAGGGAAATGTACATTTGCATTCATATTAATGCAATTCTCACGTGCTATACCCCCGGCAAGGAGTTTTCGCCGACGCCGACATTTGTTTAATTCCGCTTTTTATGATTGCGCCGTGTTTATGCAACCGCACGACCGCCAGCAATAATCGGAGATCCCATCATCTTCCCAGAGAGTCCTCTCAGTCTCGCAGGAATCATGCTGAATTATTCGGATTATTGTCAACTTTTATTTGGCGGGACTCTTGGCTGGCTGACAGGCCTTAAAAGTTTAACGCCCCCCGCGAGCTGTTTTGGTGTATATTTTTATGCCCGGTTTCTGTATCATGATGACAAGTGTCTATCCGAGTTCTAACTAGTCTGGTTGTAAATAAACTCTTTAGCCTGATTGTCCTTTGTTAGGTCCTTGCAGGGTAGTATAATTTTAGTTAGAAGCTTGCTACGTAGGAAAGGAGTTGTTTCTGACCCCATAAACCCTATATATTCTTGATCAGCATGAGCAGGAGAGTTTATCTAGGTATGTTTTTAAAAACAAAAATTTAGATCCATTTTTTCGAAATTTTAAAAGGGGTAACATCATTAAAATTTTCAAAAATTTCGAAATTTGTTGTATTTTTTTATTGCTTAATTTAATATGCAGATTTATTAATCTGATAAAAACTAACATAGCAATGCTTTCCGTATTGAATTTAAGGTTTTTTTTTTTGACTAAGAAATGGATTTTTATTTGATTTGTTTAAAAAATGATTATATTAAAATATTAATAAATATCGATTTAAGAATTTGTATTTTTCAAGTCTTTTTGAGAGTATAAAACCTCCAAAAAGCCGGTGATTGCCCAAAGGCATATAATAATATTTAGATTTATTTTTAATATTAATTAATTAACAATAAAATATTGAAAAACAAATATTTAAAAATTTTACTGATTTTTTTAAAACATTTTCAAAGGGTTACATAGTTGAATTTTTTTAATTTGACTAATATTAATTTTTTTAAATGTTTGACTAGTGTTAGTTAGGGCATTTTTAATCTTTTATTGTTGTTTAATTAAAATAAAATTGTAATATATTTATAAAAATATATTTCTGAGCACACAAAATTTAATAAAAATTAAAATATTATTATTATAAAGTTCCAACTAAAAAAATTCAGGCAAACGTAAGCACACAGTTTTTAAAAATTTATTAAAAAATACGATTAAACTTATGTTTTAATTTATTTAAAAAATCACAATCCATTCTTTAGTTTCGGTTTACATAAATATTTAAATTTTCTTCTTTTAACTTTTTTTTTATAGACTTTCATATATTTTTTTATACATTAACTTTTTTATGGATCAGTGAAAGTGCAGGTCTTGTGTTCTATACTTTTGACTTCCAAGTCTTTCTCTTCTGGGTTTATAGATTTCTTTGATTTTTAGCACAAAACTGGGCTCAACATTTTTCACCTTTTGTGTTTTCTGTGAACCATCAATTTCACCATAAATTATGCACAGTTTGTCGCCTCATTTAGCGCTCTCCTCATCGATTTGCATTTGCATTTAAATGGAGTCAAGGTTATTGTACGAGACAGTGTGTGTATGGTGTGTGTGTTTGTGGCAAAAATTTGAAACACTTTTTTAAAGATGACGCACAAGAAATTTCGAAATTGCCGGGTTAAAGTCTGAGGCAGCTTGCAGCATCTGTGTCGAGCTCAAAAATAATAATATATTATTTATGTTTTTCTTGTGCGCTTGGGCAATATAAAAACAACTACAGAGCCAAATGTCTTGTTGAATATAAAATTTAAATTTCATACAATTGCGACGGGCAACAGACTTTCCACAGCTCTGTAATTGCAGCCAAAAATTTTATGATGCCAAAAAAGGAAGGGGGGATTCCCCCTGAAGTACTAGAAAACTGCATTTGCCCGGCAACAGAGGGCGCTGCACTAAAACCAAAGGACAGCAGACGATGGCAAATGGAAGTTTACAACAAGAAATGGCAGAGAGCTAATTTTCTAGGAAGAGGATGCACTAGCAGCAGGTGCAAGGATCACAAACTGCAAGAGACATACACACACCCGCTGTGAACACGGAGGCGTCGACACGAAAGGACACTTTACGCTCGAGATGCGTTCCAAATTGTGCGGGCAAAGACGAACAGAACACGGATACGGATGTGGCGTACGTGTTGTGAATTCTTTGGCGCAGCATCTCTGCTCCTCAGCTTGTCAAATTACATAATCCACTCAACACAAGGACCTGCCCCAGATCTCAGCATCCACGCACACACACCCCTCCAATTAGGTTTAATGTTTAAGGCGTGCTGAGGTTCGATTTGAGTCTTATTGCTGGACTTGCACAGGGAAAATTATATAAAATATATATTACACAAGTTCTTGAATGAAATAATTTAATAAGTAATTTATTAAATAATTTATAGAATAATTACTTAAGATTTTTAATCATTTGTTGTTATATAAAGAAAATCTTTAACCCTTTTTCAGGTTTCTTACAATATTTATAAAGTCACTCTTTGGGAAAATTCCACAGTTACCAAATATTTGATTCAATCTTTTTTTCAACAATTTACTTTAGGTATTTCCCATATGTTAATTAATTTTTCCTGTGCACTAGGTGATTCACTGACTTCCACTTTTTTTTGTAAGTCAACTTTTTTGCGCAATTCTCCTGCACTGTTTGCCTCCACAACTTTCTTTTCTTTTGCCGCTCTTCCTGGCTGGCTGAACTCGAAAATTACCCGCTCACAGTTTCTAGACACAATTGCCATGCTTTGTTTGGTTTTTGAATTGTTTAAATTGCGACAATTTCAAGAGCTATTTTCGTAGGGGCCCGGCTTTTGATTTGATTTGCACACTTTCAGTTTCACTTACTCACTGCACTTTTTTTGTATTTTTTATTTTTGGGTGGTAGCTGCCGTTGCTTCTTTTTCTCTGCGAGTCGCAAACGAAACTGAAAGCGAAATTTTGAATTTATAAACTGGTTGGGTTGACTGCTGAACTTAGGCGACGACGCAACCGTCGTAAGCTTGAGCTTGTAAAAAAATAAACTCGAAAGAGCTGCACATGCGCCGACGATGTCTTTCCGGCTTTGAGTTTGGCGTTCGTTTGACACGCGACGCCGGCGCAGAGTAGCCTCCAAGCCCCCATGGTAGCCATATCTTTGTAAGATAAAGCCCAAGTCTGGGGAATTCCAGAGCAGAGAGATATGGAGAGTGAGCTGCGGATCAAAAGAGAGTTGTAGAGCGGCTACAAGAAAGCAGAATCAGCTGCAAGAGACTGAATAAAGAGCAAAGAAAGCCTTTAGTTTGCGGTTTTAATGTTAATTTTTAAACCAAATTAATTAATAAAAATTTGTTTTACCAAAAATTAGCATTACTACGAATCTAAAAAACTTATTGATATTTATTTTCGAATTTAATATAAATTTGTTTAAAGTTTGCTTTACTTTAAAAGTTTTTAAAACCCAAAAAGCCTGAATACCCAATTGGAAAATCTTTAAAATTGTTGTCCTTAGTCAAAGAATTTATATAAAAAAATTATAAAAATAGTAATTAATTTTTAAAAATTATAAAATCTCTACAAAAATATTTTATATATTCAAAGTAAGCCTGTTTTCATTTAAAATTTAACCAGACCTCAGCAAAGTTGACAACACTCACCTCTTACACGTATTAATAAGCTTTATTTCTAAACAAAAATTTAGCAACCATAGTTGCTATACTTTGTCAATACAGCAGGTAATCGGATTTAGCATTATTTACCTCTTTGCTGGATCATTCACCTCGGGTTACACACGATCTTGTCAATCACAATTACGCCTTGCATTGGCGGCAATTAATTGGAACATTTGTTACACTTTTCCGAGCGAGAAATGATTGTCCAACAACGAGACAGACGACGAGGCAGTTGGCCAGCTAAATGGCTTAATTATAATGGGCCAAGAGAGTCGGCTGAGTGAAAGTTTGGGCCCCAGAGAGGAGGCCAAGCGGCTAACAAGCGGCAAATGAGCCCAGGCCTCCCAACTGAAACAGAAACTAACTCGAGTTGAGTAATTTTCTGCTCCCCCACCAGTGGCTTTCTTTTCCATTCCAGCTGTTGGTAATAATAATTTACACCTTTTATTGCCTCTGAGGTAACCCCAGCAGCATTCGGCGGGATGATGGGATGATAAAGCTGAGCCAATTGGTGACGGATTTGGCGGTCAAACGAAAGCAAAACCCCAAAGCGAAAAAAACTTCCAGTAATCGTGGGCTGTTCCTCGAAGTTGGTTTTTAAAATCTGTGCCAATGTCTGTCATTCAACTCGGTTTAATTTTTTTTGTTGTCTTTTTTTTTTCGCAATTTGTTTACATTTGGTGCCTGCCTGCGTTATGCAAAGCTTGAACCGACGTCTTTAGGTCATGATTGATGAATACCAAGCCGTTGGACTTTTATATCCGCCTGTGGGAGTGTGTTCGGGGTGTGTTGCCCGACCATGAAAGGCCGTCAATGAGTCTATGATTCACTCCAAGTTTTTTGGAGCTTTTTTAAAAAAACTAATAAGTAAAGTTGTTGCGATAGATAGCTGGGATTTACCTCGCTGAAATGGGGAAAATAATTCGGTAATAGGTGATAATATTCTTTATTTACAATTTTGGTTTGGTTGGTTTGGTATTTAAAATTTACTATTAAAGATTCCTTCTTAAGCTTCCTTGATTAATAACAAACTTTACTTTATCTACTTTACTTTGTATTTCTAGCTCAATCTTCATATAAAACCATAAAGCCGCCATGAGACCCAAGGAACATCCCGAGCTTATCTTCGATGTGATCCCCAAGTTGTACGAGCAGCACTTCAAGGTGTTTGTGACTCACCTGGGCAACATGCAAGAGCAGCTGCTTGTCCTGCCCCGCAAGTTCTGCCGAATGTACACCACCCGTCCCTTGGCTAATCAATTGCTCAAGTATCTAAGGTCCCGCCAGGCGAAGATCGAGGAGGCGGATTTTGAGGTGGTGGAGGAGTGCCAGCCTTTCTCGTTGCGCCTCAGCGATGGCAAGCGTTTAGAGGCGATGCTCTGTCCTGGAAGTAAACTTGGCCACAATCTCATTCTGCTCATTCGTCGGCCAACGAATGTTGGCAAGCTCCTCTACTGCTATTCGGCGGTGAAGCTAGAAAGTCTCGGTTGTCTGCTGGCCAATTCTATATTTAATTCCTGGATCGCTCAGGGTACAGAGCAATTGTATCTGAATCTCTCGTCCGTTAATGTGCCCTTTGAGCCCGTGGACTTTGACGAGTTGGCTGCCAACATTGAAGAATATCGTAAAAGTCACAATGCTGTGGTGCTGCTCGAGCTGCCGCTCTTTGGTTACGAGGAACTCGTCTGGCAATTGAATTACACGAAGCTTCATGGTCATATCCGTCTCTTAGGTGACTTTCAAGAGAGCTTCGAGTGCCTCAATTCCGAGCTGAAGCTTGTACCGGGAAGGCTGACCAAAGTCCATGTCAGCGCCATCCAGAATTCAAGCGCGGAAGATAGCCAAGCGGAGGAGGATGAGAAGGTTGCCACTGTTCACTTTCCCCTGGGAATAATCAAGTGGTCGCCACTGCCAACGAGAATGCATCTGCGGCAACTATGCAGCCTGCTGCGTCCCGATCACATTCAGGGTATTGTGCCCTTTCATGCGGTGGGCAATGTTCCACCAGCTCCAGAATTTCTTCAATGTTTCAGGTCCAAATATTTTGTGGGAAGCAAGGAAAAGGAGCCTTCATCAAAGGAGATTCAGACGAAACCAACAAAGGAAAAGGAAAAGCAGAAGGCACCTCTAAGGATTATTGGCACTGCCAAGCGTTTCGCATTTGTGGATGATGAAAATGATTCCGATTAGAGATATAATTTTTGTATTGTTAATTACACATATTTGAAAATATAAGAAGTTTTTAATTGGTGAAAACGCAGAAATAGTTTTGAGATAATTTTGAAATAAAAAACAAGAAAGGAAGCTAACTTCGGCACGCCGAAGCTTGTATACCCTTGCAGATTGCTTTTCATATTTATGTCATAAATTATAATGCCGAAAACAGACACTAAACTGAGTTACATACCATTTTACCTATACTTATTATGTTTACAGTTTGACAGTTACAGTTATACATTCCCAGCTTTACATTTTCTCTACATCTGCGGATCGCTTCTATGGCTGCTATATGACATAGTTGTCCGACTTTCATAAAATGTATACCAAAATTCTATAATAATAAGTAAAGCTCATATCTCAGAGTAGATGAAAATACGTTAAAAAACAACGAAGTTATAATTTTTTCTATTACTTTCCCTATCGTTCCTATGGCAGCTATAAGATATAGTCGTCCGATTTTCATAAAATTTTTACCAAAATTTTGAAATAATACCAGAAGCTCATGTGTCAAAGTAGATTAAAATACGTTGAAAAACAACGAAGTTATAATTTTTTTGATTGATTTCCCGATCGTTCCTATGGCAGCTATAAGATATAGTGGTCCGATTTTCATAAAATTTTTACCAAAATTCTGGAATAATATAAAAAGGCTATATCTCAAAAATGATGGAATAATATTGAAAAACAGCCAAGTTAAAATTTTTTTTCTAAAAATTTATCGAACATTTGTATGGCAGCTATATGATATAGTCGTCCGATCCGGCCCGTTCCGACATATATAGCAGTGAGAGTATATAGAAGACTATATGCAAAGTTTCATTCAGATAGCTTTAAAACTGAGGGACTAGTTTGCGTAGAAACGGACAGACGGACGGACAGACGGACAGACGGACAGACGGACATGGCTAGATCGACTCGGCTGTTGATGCTGATCAAGAAAATATATTCTTTATAGGGTCGGAAACGTCTCCTTCACTGCGTTGCAAACTTCTGACTGAAATTATAATACCCTGCAAGGGTATAAAAACAACGAAGTTATAATTTTTTCTATTACTTTCCCTATCGTTCCTATGGCAGCTATAAGATATAGTCGTCCGATTTTCATAAAATTTATACCACAATTTTGAAATAATACCAGAAGCTCATGTGTCAAAGTAGAATAAAATACGTTGAAAAACAACGAAGTTATAATTTTTTCGATTAATTTCCCGATCGTTCCTATGGCAGCTATAAGATATAGTGGTCAGATTTTCATAAAATTTTTACCAAAATTCTGGAATAATAAAAAAAGGCTATATCCCAAAAATGGTGGAATAATATTGAAAAACAGCCAAGTTATAATTTTTTTTCCAAAAATTTATCGAACATTTGTATGGCAGCTATATGATATAGTCGTCCGATCCGGCCCATTCCGACATATATAGCAGTGAGAGTATATAGAAGACTATATGCAAAGTTTCATTCAGATAGCTTTAAAACTGAGGGACTAGTTTGCGTAGAAACGGACAGACGGACAGACGGACATGGCTAGATCGACTCGGCTGTTGATGCTGATCAAGAATATATATACTTTATAGGGTCGGAAACGTCTCCTTCACTGCGTTGCAAACTTCTGACTGAAATTATAATACCCTGCAAGGGTATAAAAAGAAAGATTGCAGAAGAAATTTGAAATCAATATTTATTTCGTATTATTTAGTGCTTTTATTACCAAAATATTTACAATAAAATTATTATTTTTTCTTTAAAAAATCCTTTTCTTTTTTATTCAAATGTAAATTATATTACAAACATTACTTAAACAACTCAAAGCCTCTTGTTTATTCAGGAGGATCAAAGGTCACACGCTCCTCGTAAAATTTAATAACCATTTGGGGCCACTTTAGGTTGGCCTCTTTGGCTGGTACCAAATCGGCACGATCTGAGCCCTTCCACTGGATCAAAAACTCTATTTCCCCGGAAGCATCGGTGGCGCCCAGTATTCTCAATGGCTCCAAAACTATCTCCACTTTGCTATGATCTTTGGGGCCAAAACCAAACTCCTTCTTGATGGACATGCTGGCGGTTTGGTAACCACGGAAAAATCGTTTTAAGATGGCTAAATAAATCGTAATTAGTAAATAAAGCGTTAGGAATTTTCACAACTAACCTTTTTTCTTATTCGTATTTTCGTTATATTGTACAGTTTGTTTTTTACTAATATGATAAAAACGGATTGGGACAGTTTTTGACATAAAAAGCTAGCGTCACTCAGAGCAGGAATCTTAAAATGTTAAACTTTTGGGTATTTATTCATTGTTTGTTGTGGATATTTTAGATTTAAATAAAAATGTACATATAATCAAAGCAGCTGTTGTGTTAGTTGGTTTACATTTACATATCAACAAGTACATATGTACACTATATGGCAGCTTAAAGTACAAAAACATATTCCCCCATATTTAATCAAAGGCTTCCTTTCGAGGTTTGCGTAAAAAGGTTGTTCAAATTATTATGAAATGCCTGTTGGCATGCAGGGGAACCCAAACTTAGATCCAGGATAAATGACCACTTATCAACGTGTAATGAAATATGGTGCATCTGTGCTACCATAAAATACAGCCCACTACAGCCCAGTTCCCCCTTTTGTACTGGCTTCTGGTCATCGCCTTTTGTCGTCCTGGCATGTCAAATGAATTATGTTGATGGCCACCACACACACAGACGAGACTACCACCTAGCTTCCTGGCTAGCATCGTTGTGGGTCTCATTTATTACATTTTGGCTTTTTTGACAGATTGCTAAGCGTACTTGCTAAGCATTTCCGCACTAATTTCCGTGTCCTGGAACTATTCGTTGTCCTGGACAAGCTGAAAAAGTGAGAGAAATTGATTAAATATTTTCTTTTAATATAAATTTATATTTTTTGTATTAATAAATTAATTTATTTGTTTAATTATTTATTTATTTATATAATTTATTTTATTAATTTTTTGTTTTTAATATTTATTTTTTAATTTAATTATTAATTTAATAATTTATTTCTTAATTAAATTATGTATTTCATTAATTTATTCATTTTATTATTAATTTATTTATTTTTATAATAATTTATATCTTAATTTAATAATTTATATATTTATTTAATAATTTATTTCTTAATTTAATTGTTTTTTTATTTATATATTTATTTATTTTCTTATTTATGTATTTATTAAATATTTATTTATTTCTTAATTTATTTATTTTATTTTTTAATTTATAAAAATCCTCTAACAATTAATTGTAATACTTATACATATTATTTTTATATTTACTTTCCTTAGTTTTACTTTTAGCTAAGAAATCCCCATTTATTCCAAGTGTACTGGCCAACATTAAAAGCCAAAAGCAAATTACTCATCACATCAACGGGCCAGTAGTAAGGGTTCTCCCATCCTATCCCCACCCCTGACCAGCTTCCTTTTTATTATGTATGCCATGTACAGGGATTTTAATAAATCGTTTCCTATCCTATCCGTCTCTTCGCTGGCCAGGACATCCTTTTTGGCTTGCACATTTTCTCTGTCCTGGGTTTTTATTAGTTTGTCAATAAAGTGCCAAAAGACGTTGATTATGATCGCCATCATATATGGTCTGCCTGCCTGTCTCTCTTATGAGTTATCCGGCTGATGGCCCCGCAGGCCAAGGAAATTTACGAGCCGAGCTCCAAAGCATTTCCACAGATATATGAGATTGTTTATTTCCTTCCGTTTGCCATGCTTCTTAACCTGAACATGTGAGAGTTGTCCTTGTGTTTTCTGTCTTTCAAGTTCAGATGAAAGGATACTTATCAGTTTTGGAGATGAGAAAAGTTGCAGTAAATGCCTAAAGGGATGTAGACATGGGGAACTTAGAAAGCAAATTACTACACAAGAAGTAAATATTCTTTGAATATTACTAGGTAATTTATTATTTCCATTTAAAACTAAAATTTATTTAGTTTAAATTAAAGTAATGAAGCCTGATTTAACGCAAAGCTAATACTAAATTCTTGCATATCTTTGAAGCAATCTTTTGTGCCAGAATACATGTAACCTGAGACAAGCTTCTTACATTTGCGTTCATGTTCCAGGAGCCATCTCCTTTACAAGAAAGAATGGGAAGTTTGTGTCCTCTGTGTACATTTTGTAATGAATTTTTAATGCATTTAATGCAGCACGTGTATGTATTTCACAGAAACAAGACTGCATAAGTAGGAGTTTTTGGGGGGAGTTAAAACCTTAATGAAATTAAGTTTTTCTTCCCCTTCTTTTTTGCTAAAATAAGCAGATGCCTTCACACTCTCTTTGGATTTTGTTTATAATTGAATTACTTTTAAGTGGCTTTCAAGTGGCGAATAGTTAAGTCGAATGTAATTTAATTAAAAACATGTGAAAATGTTGTGATAGAGAAAGTTAAACTAATTAAAAATGGTTGAAGGAGTGACAGGATTTCAATTGATTACAAATTCATAAGGATTTCTGTGGTAAACCAAAAGATGGAGCAAAGGGTAAGCTATGCTTATTAATTCTTTTTTTTTTTCTTAGAAAATTAAATAGATTTTCTATACGATATCCCTTTAAGCGTACCTGCCACGCGTCTTTGTAAATGCTAATCACACAGTTTCGAATTTAATATCTCGTTTTGATTGACACTTGCATGTGTCCGTTGTCGTGATTGAAGGCGGAAACGGATGTCATGACCGCCGTCGTGGTTGTCGAACTTTTGGTTTTGCGGGTGGCCAGGTTAACATAATTGCCTGAGCGTTTCCATTATAATCGTCATCGCCAGCTTAATCCGTTAATAACACATCATTTTTGGTTGGTTGCTGAGGTATCCCGTTACCAGGTCGCGTGTCGCTAGCTGCAGGAGCAGCAATTATGGCCATTTAATCCGCGGCCACAAAAACGGAACAGAAACTACAAATTGGCTTTAGGCATTCATTTGCCGCCTAAGTGGCCAGCAATCGGAAGAGTCCCTTCACACGCACTCAGAAGGCACTCATCCCCCTTGAAAAATAAAATCAGGTAAGGGTGGGTTTTCTCATGTGTTTGGAAATGAGAGGAAAACCAGGAGAACCAGGCTTATCCAGTGATCGTGGTTTTTAATGCAGCCTGGAAGTATGCAATGGAAAATTGAGAGTTTTGTGTAGAATATTCTACGAGGTAAAATTTCAGATCAATGTAAAATTGGATCAGAAAATTTATATAAATATATAAAAAATTATATTTTTATAAATTGTAAAAATATAAAATATTAAAATATATATATTCTTAAATCGATATTCATTAATATATTTATCTGATCATTTTTAAGATAACAATATTTGTTTTAAAATTTACAACTAAGTGAAAATCTCATTTAATTCGCAAAACATTTTCGTGTAATATTTTATCGCGTTAATAAATTTAAATACTAAATTAAGTTTTAATAAAATGAAATTGTTTTTAAATTTTAAAAATTTTAAAGCAAAAAAATAAATGCATAAAATGGAAATACTTAGCTCAACACCCATTCCCTTCTATTTTTGTAATAAAATTCCAAATCATCATTTAAAATTTTTTGTATTTTTTATTTATTTTTCTTTTAAATCATTTTTTTTGTATGCATTTTTCTTTCGTTTTTTTTCTCTGTAAATCTTACATGATATTTATGCGCGTTTTATTTCATTTACACACAGATGTATTACAATGTATATATATAATTCTTGTTGTCTTATGAACATATTCATGAGATCATTAATGATATATATGATATATTAAAATATTACAGCATAATGTATAAAATGTACAAGTTAAACAAAGATATCGTCTGCTTTCGAACACATAAAACAGAAGCAGAAAAATGCTTAGAACTCTAAAAACTGAATTGACCAAATTCTGAATCAAACTTAGGATCAAAGTTACGATATATGTGTATGTTATATGGTATATGGTATATATAATATATGCGAATACACGTCGTCGTCTGTCACTGTTTTGGCACCAAACGAAAAAAATTCTAAACAAGAAATGGCATTTGATTTTATGATTCGAAACTGCTTTAAATATATACAAAGTAACGATGCTTAAATTTAAAAACGGATTAAGTCGCATTGGGTCAAAAATATATTAATATTGTGTGTTGTTTCGTTCTCTGATTTTCTTATGTTCTTTTTTGCTTCATGTTTTGTTCTTTTCTTTAACTTTTTCTTTTTGTTTCGAGTATTTATGGCAAACCAAAAATCGATTTTTTTTGTCGATTTTCATCGATTTTTCATCGATTTTTGGGCGCAAGGCCACAAAACTTTACCGAGATCATTGTGAAAACTAATTAGCAATGAACCGGGAAAGGAGTAAGAGCTCACATTTTCCGGTTCATTTGATGCAAACAAATTTACAAAAATAATTTTTCATTTGGGTTTTGTTTTTTTGGATGTACATATATGTAGTTGTGTGTTTTTTTCTTTACTTTGTTTTTTGTGATAATACAAATTGTGTTTCAATACAAGAAATATTCTATTGTCTGGGCTCTGGCTGGGATTATCTTGGCTTGGCTTGGCTTGGCTGGGATTTGTGGGGGACACTTAGACTATACAAAATTAATATTGCTTTATATTTATATATACAATTACAAACTGGAGCTCAAAAAACTCACTAAACCGAAACTTAAACTCATTTTAGAATGTAAAACTAAAACGCTTGGCGAACTTAAAACTAAAAACCTTTCGTTTCATTTTTTTGTTTTTCGGTTTCACTGCTTAACTTTTCACGTTTTTCTTATCTTTTGCTTTCCATATAACATATTATTTCTCATTGTAAAAAAACGATTGATTGTATTATCTGTATATTGTATAAATCCATGAGATCAATGCGATTTTTGGGAATTGTTTTTTCTTTCATTTTCTTTTTGATTTTTTGATTATCTCTTATCTCTTCGCTTTCATGTCACGGTATTCGATTAGCATTGGAAACGCCCTGGGAAATTCGAAGCAAAACAATTGTTGAAGTTTGGCAGCTTTTTCTTCATCATATTTTCCTCATCATATTCATATTTTCTTTTTTACTTTGGCTAGCTGAGCGGAGATCAATTTCCATTAATTTCCATTTTGTGAGAGATCATTTATGTGTGCATTCCGGAAAAAAGACTGTTTAATGGGGAAAACCATATGTCTAACTATATATTTTCCTGACCAAATTCCAAGGGCGTGTGTTTGGAGCTTAAAACTACAAAATTGTGAGACCAATTTGAAGATGATGATGAACAAAAAACACAATGACAAATAAAAAAAAATTACAATTAAACATAAATCATAAGAAATTTAACTAAAAAATAACACGACATATAAACCGTAGACACAAAACATCACAAAAATGGCATAAAAACTATATACAAAATTAATTTAATTTTTCATTTCATTTCATTCATTTTTTTTTAGTTTTTTCTCCCTTTTTTTGTTGTTTGTTTTAACAATTAAAGCTAGGCGTGTGATTTTCTTGTGGGCTTGGCTTACATTTACAAAAATTCTACTAGTTAAACATATATATTTAAAATATATTTATTCGTTTTGCTTGCAATTTGGAATTACAAATGCGAAGACATTGAAATTGCTGTTTATTATTATTATTTTGTTCTAAATTAGAAATACAAGTTTTTTATGGTTGAAGAAAATGCAATTGTAAATGATTAAATGCAACAGAAAAAAAGGCAAAGTTTATCCAAAAGTATCTCAAGAATTGGCAGTAGTTTTTTCTTTCTTATTTTGTACTTGTTTTTAATTTAGTTTGTAAATATTTTCTATATTTTTCCACGTTGTTCAAAAGGTTGTACAAAAATAAGTTTGATTTTGAGTCTCTTGCCAGTCTCTTACTATTACTTTGAGCAGTTTGAATTGTTTACTTTGAGGAAAGCACTGTTTCGTTTTCGTTAGAAAATGCAATTTGACAGATAGAATACATATATTGTTCTTGTGTCCCGTCAACCTTCTTAACTTTAGGCATACACACATATTTATCGGATGTATATATAACAAACGGTTTACGAATTAATGACTTTCTGCTGTTCAATAAATTCGTTGCACTTATTTAGGGTTTTGCTATAAATCTTAGAATTATATATATAGATCAATCGGCATACTGAATTCACTATAGATCATTCGAATTTGTCTCCTTTTTTCGGTGCTGGTTTCATCGCGCCGCAAAAAATCCACAACCCATGGCCAAAACGACAACAGTCACCACTGTGGGCCAGGTGAAGCTCTGAAAGAAATAACAAATAAATATAAATATTAATAATGAAATATAGAACATGTAAATATGTCTATAATGGTTACAATCCACCTTTAATTTACTATTAAATTCCTGTTCTCATTCAAACCTATAGCTCCCTTGTGTGGCATAAAATAAGTATCTAAAAACCACACACGTGACCAAGCCACCCTCTAAAAATCCATTTCGTACCGTAAATCAAGCGAAACTATTGACTCTGCCCAGCGGATGAACTTCGCTGTGGTCTGACCCAAATGGGCGGTCAACTTTTGTCCGGTCAATGGTGTAATTATTTTTCTATACAACGCACTTGACTACCCTACCCTCCCCCAAAACCCGCATCAATGGTTATATAATTTACACCATTTATTTGTCCAATAATCCACGCTTCGATGGTCTCTGTTTGTGGTGGAGGAACTGGTGCAGCAACCACCAAAAATCCCACTGACCCTTTAGATATTTATTATGCAAATTTTTGGTGGCCTTTCAGTTGATTTTGTACCAAAATTTTGCCCTGATTTTATGTTGCTCTACTTTTTCTTTTAAGTATCTTTGCGGTTAATGGTTTGTGAAAGACCATCAAACATGTGTCTATATTTTGGGATTTTATCAATATTCTAGTCAAGGAAAAACCCCAATTAAAAGCCTAAAAATAAGTGCGTGTTGGCAAAGCATTAAGCTATATAGAACATTATATACGTTTCACAGATTATAAAATTTCTCACGATCTCATTTTAGCAGCTGAGACAGAGTTAAGTCTCGGATAAGGTCGAATCCCAGTGAGCCGAGTGAGCTTCCCGATTGCAGGCCCCCCCGACAGCCTCACCAAGGATGAGCCCCCACAAAGCGATTGGCGATAAGAGCTTGGAACAACAAATCGTAACGAATAAAAAATAATAATAAATTTAATGGACAGAAACTGATTCAGAGTCTCCAGAGAGTGTGAGTGTGTGTCATGCGAATTGCGATTGAATTTCTTCAAGTTTGCATTTCTTTAAATTGCGCAGGAAAGAAAAACTAAAAGAAAACGCGACGCATAAAAAGTGTGAGCTCAAAGGCCCGACTTGTAATTATACAGAGTTAGCTTAGCTATAAGCTTGTATATAGAGGCTGACATGATTAGCATAAAGTCAGAGACAGGAGCCACTTGACTGACTCCTCGCTTTGCACTGCGCAATTAATTTTTATCACACATTTAGCATGTGCAAAAGTGCTATATGCACTTCACTCCGGGACAAAAATGTATCTATGTATCTGCTGGATCGGTGCAACTTTACATTTTTCGCGTGTGGCAATTTGTCATTGCTTTGATGGGGGAAAAAGGTATTTTTAGCCAGTGTGTTGAGCCTTTGAAAAATGTTTGCCACGTGCCAGGGATTTGGGAATGGAAAAGAAGAGGAGGAGGAGCCTGGCCTGGCCTGCCTAGCAGATGTTTTTCCAGGTCTCAGAGAGTTAATGAACTTCCCAACTTGGTGGCTAAGAATTTGAATTTATAGTTCCTTAATTATGTTGAATTTCTATTAAATATGAATACTTACATACAATTAATAAAATAAAATTTAAAATATTTTATTTATATTTAAAGTATTATAAAATTCTTACCTTCTTATCAGCCTGTCTCCTTTGTTGCTCTCGCTCCACCTGTCGCTGCTGCTGCTGCTGCTGGCTGTGACTGTTGTGGCTGCAACTGCTGCTGCTGCTGCCACTCTCCGCATTGGTGGAGGTGTTGCTGGCTTGGTTTATATTTTGGCTGTTTGGATTATTATTATTGCTGTTGTTGCCGCTGCTGCTGCCGCTGTTGCTGTGACTGTGACTATGACTATGGCTGTTCTTCTTCTTCCGGGGCGGTATACGTCCATTGAACTCCTGCAAACGCTCCCGTCCGGCCGTAAAATTGTCGTAGCGATCATCAAACTCAAACTCCCAACTGGCCTCATGGTCGCTCTGATACTCGCGCTCATCCTCGCCCGTCGAGGTCAATCGCTTGCTGTTTTGGTGGGAAGAAGAGAAGACGCACTATAAATATCGCTGCATATTTTTTATATATGTATGTATATATGTAGATGTGGGCAAAAGTGACTTGGGAACGTCATGAGCAATTATCAGTCGGTTCGGTTATACATAGTATAAATGTGCATAATAATAATCCAGCCACAACTTGGCAATTTCATTAATTAATAAATAAGAAAAAAAACTGCGTTGTGTCATGGGAATTTGAAATGGAAATTGGAATATAGGGGAAATGTGTCTAGATATTTATGTGGAATATAGGATCTGGGTTCTTTTTTGAATACTATTTTTATATTTTTAAAATATAGATATAAATAGGATATACAAAGCTTTACCTTAAAGATACATTTTCCTTAATGAATTTCAAAGTTTACATCTAACTTCCCTTAACAATCTGTATTTCAAATTAATGTATATTTTACACAACGTAACTCTACATAACTCCACACAATATCTCTACTCTACGAAAGATTTATAGCCTAATCGAACTTCCCTAAATCCTTGAACAACCCACCCATACCCAACATCTGTATCTGTATCCGTATCTATATCTATAGCTCTCACCGTCTGGCCGCATCAAACTGGCTCCGCTGCAGACGCATCTTGGGCGCCAGTGGCGTGGACGCCAGCGAGGGACTATGGACATGGTTGTGCCAGCCGAAGGCCGCCGAGGAGGTCGAGGTGCCGGCACTGGCCGTATTCGGTGTGGGCGGTGGCGTATAGGTGGCATAATATGGCCCATAGCCGGGATGCAGCAGGTGGGGCGACTGCTGCGGATAACTGTGGCTGCAGTGCATCGCCGGCGCTGACTGCGGCGGTTGTGGTGGCATCGGTTGCGGTGTCGATGGCGCCGGGTAAGGCAAATGTTGTTGCGCCTGCTGCTGTTGCTGTTGCTGCTGTCGGTAAAAGTTATACTCCTCGCCGGAGGAGAAGCTCACGCTGGTGCGGGGTGTGCGCGGGTGCGGATTCGGGTGGCCGTGAGGAAAGAATATATCGCCGCCTGTGTAATTGCAGGAGGGACTCTGCGGCGGTGGATACTGGAAGATTTGAGGGGCTGCAATAAAGAGGGGAAAAGGAAATGATTTAATTTATAAGGGAAACTTGAAAGAACTTATAAATTGATTAAGAAACTCATTAAAATATTTATTAAAGTTTAATTTAAGGCATGTATCATAATATTTATAGGTATGTTTTCGATATAAAGATACAAAGATGAAGTTAAACAAAGGCGACATTGGGCTGGGTCTGGCAGTCCGTCGACTTGATTCAGTGACAATGTAGGGAAGTGTCTAAGGTCGGGTGCTTTGTCTGGGCCATTGTCTTGCCAACTGCCACTTAGCCGACTGACTGACTGTAAAAAACAAAACACAACCTGCAGTAATTACGGCAAGAGTCCTCTCTGATCATAAAAACCGCCCATAAAAACCGATCACAGGTAGCCCCCATCTGAGGCAGACATTAAAAAGGGTATAACTTTAAGATAAATTCGCAAATATCTATACCCTAAAAGGTGCCTTGACTAAGTAATATGGCTTATGGGGCTATAAAAAGTATCTTTTTGCCAGTTAAAATAATTAAAAATCCATATACATCTACAGAGTTCACTTGAGGCCCCCACAGATATTTATTCCAATCTGATACATATCAATGTACAACGCAAACACTTGATTTCAGCGTTAAGTACACACACATCCCAGTTGTATATTTCAGCAAACAAATGCCAAGAGCGTATCACAGCCGAAATCTACTTGAGAGTGGCCCCAACTTGAAAAGTATCTCAAGATCTCACAAAAGCTTAGCATCATTTATGCATGTAATAACGATACGAAGCGTATCTGTATCTTCTGTATTTGACTTCCAGTTGTGTTGCAGTATTATTATTCTTGCTTTTTTTTTAGCTTTTTGCAATTTCATGCAAATCGAAACAGCAAAAGCGTTGATAGGTAAATGCGCTGCTTAGCTTGGCCACTTGATATGCGCATAAATTGCGCGGGCAGGAGCTCCCCCATTAGTTGGGTGTACAATTTCATTTGTATATGATTTGTTAATGTTTATTTACTTGGCCCAGCGACAGCTGATTGATTGTAATGCTGGATTTATACAGCAGCCGGCGGCAGAAGTATCTTACAGATACGATAATTGACCGCCCGATCTATCCATCTGTCCATCGGTGGTCAGTGGTCAGGCCTGCAGATACTATGTATATACAATAATGTCACTCACTGTCAACCTGCAGGCGGCGACTAATTTGCAATTTGACCCAATAGCCTTGAACTCGAAACGAATCGAAACGAGCCCACAGCTGTTGCAGTTGCAGTTGCAAGAGCGCAAAAAATCTGTATTTAATTGCGGTGCCAAAGCCGAACGAGCCAAGAGCCAAGAGGCAAGAGCTAAGAGCCACTCCTTGCCGAAGCCTTAGCATGTGTATCTGTATCTGTAAGTTACTGCCAGGCATTTGAAACTAGTTTGCTGGCCAGCAGCTGAGGCAAGACTCACTCACGTGCGCTCACTGCGCGCCATATCGTCGCTTTTTAACCTTGAAAATCTGCCAGCCTCAGCTTCAGCTTCAGAAACGAAGCAAAGCCAACACGGCAGGGATCATTACTTGCTGGCTGGCCAACTTATATAACTAGCCAAGCCATGTCGGATACACAGTGAGAAATGGGAGTGAAATTGGTTAGTTGGTTAGTGAAATTGGTTAGTTGGTGCTGTAAAATAAGTCTTTAAAGTAAAAATAAAATATTTATAGCTTAATTTAAGTTATTTTCTTTACTAAGAGTGAAAAGATAATTGCTAAAAATTTTGTATATATTTTTACATATATTATATACCCCTTTTCTTTCTCTGTAGTACCTTTATGATGAAACTGACGAGCTATAGCCAAAGCTGAAGACAGATAAAAAATGTTATTACTAATTGCAAATTGTGTGGAAAATCATTTACCAATACATTTCGTTTGCTTTCGCATTTGCATATGAGATACATCATATATATGTATATACATATATATTCAATCGGTGCTGGCAAATATATTATTCACAGCTGAGTAAAGTCGGAAAAACTAGCTTGAGTGGGGATTTAAATCTGTGATAACTATCTAAACGTTGACTTCGTATAACAATATTATCTTTCGGAAATCTTAAAACATAATTGTACAAAATTCTATTGTTACGCTAAAAGCTTTAATTAAATCATTTTGTTGCGCTAATTTGTGTAGCTCAATAACCAATTAAAATTAATCAAATTAACGCCTTTTAATATTGATTAAAAGAAATATGATAGTCTTGCTAATTCACACTTTAAAAAGGTGATAAATAAGGGTCAGTGATTCTTTTAATTTAAATTTAAAGTTCTGAAAACTTAAATGATTTATCAGGGAAATAAAAGTGATAATGAAGATTTCATAAGTCGAGCATGTTAATTAATGATACTTAGTTCTGTAAAAATAATAAAAAAAAACCCATAGTCACAGCTCTAAGTCACTCTTTTCTTGGCCATCTCTATGAGGGGATTGGGTCTAAAACAACTTCAGCAGCCATGCAGATCGTTTACGGCACCTCAGCAATTTTTATGATCACAACTCAATGCGGGCAATGCAATTGTTGTTGGCCAGTTTGCTGTTGTTGTTGTTGGTGACGAAACGTGACCAATTGTTAGGAGCATTGTTTTTTATTATTCAAACCTCTGTAGTATTCATTTATATATATTTTTTTTACTGGCGACAATATGTGGAAAATGTTTAATTGAATTACGAGTGCCAGAGCCAAGATGCTGGGCAACAGAAAAAAATGCAATTATGTGTATAATTTACTTTAATTTTCTATCGGTTCTAGGCGATGTTGCAACCATTTCTAAGGCCGCTGGGCAACAGCTGAACAGCTGACAAACATCAATCAGGCAACGACAAACAGCGGCCAGAGTTTAACTAAGCAGAACGCCTCAGAAAAGCCTCAAGAACAGCTCGGACTCTGCGGAAAAACGTGAAAAATGAAAAAATGCCTCGCTTTAGTTGCCACACAAAAGAACACACACAAATCGTCGTCGTCGTTGAAATGCATTTTTAGTTGTGCCTTTTTTTTTCTTTGCAGTTGATTGCAGTTGCAGTTGCAGTTTTGCTACCCGCAGCATATGTTGCTCATTATAACCTTGAAGTGCTGCTGGCTTAATGGAAATGAAGAAAAAAAAAAAACTATACATAAAAATATACTATAGTCACTGGCAAAGTATGAATAAATACGAGTACTACGAGTACGTACGGGTACCCGTAATCGTATCTCCCAGCAATTGCGTCGCACTTCGAAACGAGTTTGCAAAGTGCGAGCTCCATAAGTTGGTCAGTGGAACGGAATGGGAAATGGTCGGTCAGAATATTGGATTAATCAGATAGATATAGGGAGAGGAAGCTATAGAACAGGTCGGTGATACATATAGGAAGGAAGTTGTGGCTGACAATGAGATGGTATCATAAATTTAAATATGCCTGAGGTTTTAAGTAATTATAAAATGGAATTTCAGAGCGAGAAGAATGACTCTTAACTGATACAAAATCGAATTTTATATCTTTATACAACTCTTCGAATAAATCCCTCAAGGAATTTCTCACCCCATCTCATGTTTCAGCAAACTGCAATCTTCTTCTGCCAAAAATCTCCACAAAAAAAAAAGCACTCGAAACAAGCGGCAACTTCACTTTGACATTGACATTTATTGATGAATATTTAATTTTAAATTAAAAAAGAAAAAACAAGATTCGAAACAAGCTTAAGAGGACAGAACAAAGGAATACTCCACAGCGAACTCCAGCTTGAGGTTAAGCAAAGCTTGGGATTACAACATGAAATACATGTCCGGAGGAGACCTGAATAATTTGGCCAAAAAGGAAAAACTCAGTTTACAGTTACACACGCCCACACACGAAGAGGAAGCAGACACACACAAAACAGCCATAATGAGCAACAACAGCAGCAACAACATTAAAATCCCACAAAAATTACATTTAAAGTCGTACATTTAAGGCGATTTGTCGTCTGTCACGATGCGAGATTACTAATTTGGTTGGTCAACTCACATTTCAAGTGAGTTTGTCCGTCTGTCACCTCGTTTTAATTAGGCAACCAGCTGGCTGCAACTCGGATGAACGGTAAATTCGCTCAAGCCCCAAGGTAAGTGACTAATTAATGGCAAAAATCTTCAGGAAATCAATAGAGAATTCGGGAAATAATCAATGGAATCTTTGAAAACTCCTGATAAAGAACACAATCTGTTCTGACTTTTCTATATAAAGTATGTTTGCTATATTTTGTAAAGCCTTTTTGGGGCTTTCGATCAAGTTTATATTGTTTTTTTTTTCTCGAATTGAATGTCAATCAGGTGTCGATCTATGTGTGCGCTTTATGACCATATATCCCGCTGTTATATACCAATTTTGGTTAGCCGCTAATTAGCCATTTGTGGAATGCGAGAAGTTTGTAACAAAAAAAAAAAAAAAGATATAACCAAAAGAGAACGGTTGCCGGAAGCTGTTGACAAATTTGGCAATTGGGAAAGTCACATGAGAATGATTCATGCAAAAAGAAGGAGAAAGTTCTGTTGAAATGTAAGGATGATTCTTTGATCTTCAGAAATTTAATGAACTTGCGTAATAACAAAGAGAAAGTCTCTTTGTTTGATGATGATTTAAGGGAATTAGATGTGATCGAAATACATGCCTGGAAATCGTGAGAAGAATTCCAGAATCTTTAGTTGATATTCTGAACAACAAGGCCTGAGTTCAAGTTTATTTTATTCTGAGATTAAAACCCATATCATCGGCAATTCTTATTCCAAGCTTTGATGATCCAACTCAGTCCAGTTATATTCGCCGATAAAAATATTTCTTAACTGAGCTATTAGTAATATTTCCTTAGCAAGGTCAGCTCTGAATGCGTGTGCATAAAAATTTAAATTAAAAACAAAACGGGGCCAGCAGACACGCAAGTGATTCTAGAAAAATAAACCATAATAATGCAGGAATTTAATTAAATACTCTAAGAATTAAATGCCGTTGTGAAGCCG